ATAGCAATTTATTGTTGAATGGTAAGGGTAATAGCTAACTATCCAACCATAGTTATGCTGACAGAAACCTGGCTTGGAGATGGCATAGATAATACCCTAATAAGTCTAGATGGTTACAGCAACTTCCGAGAAGATCGTTTTTTTTTGGTCAGGATTTTTGACATGACATTTTGACATTAAAGTTCATTGACAAAATCCACGAATACTTTATTTATTTATTTAAAGGTACATCCCACAAACACACAGAGGTAATTACATGTGAGAGATCTTACAACTAGACTTATTACTAAAGTTTGAAAAACAAAAAAAAATAAAATTGACATTAATATACTTATAGAAACAGTTAAAAAATAAAAAAAAAAAGGTAGTCTATATTTACTTTAAAACCATTTATCACCATTTATCTTTGGTATTTGAGCAATCTCCTGATCTCAGCAGTTCCCACATTGCATATATCTACATTTTCCATTTCATTTAAAATATTATTACAAACTCTCAACATATTATTCACTGGCGACGTGCTATTTGTCTTATCTACATAAAAATATTCTTTTTCAGTAATTCTAAGCCTAGTCTTTGGTACTCTCAATGAAATATAGTTAATTAGATCACAGTCTTTGTATTTAATATTGTTAATTATATAATATATAAAAATCATTGCTTGGTTATTCCTTCTATCTGACAATGTTTGAATCTCAAAGCATTCCAGCATTGTCTTGTATGAGACCATATATGGGTACTCATTATTTTCCTTTACATACAAATATCTTAAGAATCGTTTTTGCACTTTCTCAATTAGGTCTGAGTTAGAGAATGCCACAGGTGACCAGATGCTTGAAGCGTACTCCATGTGAGGTCTCACTAGGGCATTATGCATTATAAAGTTTTACCATAGTATTTATTTTAAAGTTTTTGCCATTGCGCAGTACAAACCCCAATGCACGATATGCTTTATTGACAATGTCGCAGTAGTGGGTGTTGAACCTTGCGTTTGTTTGAAAATTAATTATTATTATTATTATTATTATTAAATCCTTTATTTAGCATAAAAATTGCTAGTTTACAATAGTACAAAATATATACAATATAAGTATATGAAAAGTAAGTAAACAATAAAATGTAAAATAATAAATAATTCATAAAATAGGTAAACTAACAGAACAAAACTTAATAATCACAAACGATACACAATAATTTAAAAGTTATCACAAGATCAACCATCCAGTATATCACAATTACCTAGCATATAAATTTTTAGTTTTTTCTTGAAACTCAACAATGAAGTGCAGTTTTTTATCTCTTCTGGTAGGTTATTAAACTCGTTAAATCCTTTATGAAAAATTGAATTCATTGTACATTTTTTACTCTTTGGAGTTATGAAAAAATTATTTCTATTTCTGGTATTATAGTTATGCACTTCATTGTTGTAAACTATTTTGTTTATAAGGGATTCAGGAGCACGTCCAATCTTTATCTTAAAAATAAAAACCAAGGCATTATACCTTACAAATTCCACAACCGGTAGCCATTGCATTACTCTTAACATTGAGTTTATTGGTGTATACTTGCTACAGGAAAGAATCATACGCATAGCCCGGTTCTGCAATTTTTGTAGTCTAGCCACCTCATTCTGCTTGAATAAATACATGATTGTTGCACAGAAGTTGAAATGTGGCAAAACTAATGTATTATATACAACTAACTTTGACCAGAAAGAGAGAAAATAGGAACATCGACATAGATAGTTAACACTAAAACTTATTTTAGACACAATATAATTGCAATGTTCCCTAAATAAAAGTTTATCATCCACTATCACCCCCAAATATTTAAACTTTTGTACTCTTTGAATCTTATCAGATCCAACCATCAATGAAAGATCATTGTCATCACAATGGAGTTTGGTTTTGTCATTGGTTATTAACATGAATTTTGACTTATTCGCATTTAACTTTAAACGATATTTCACAGTATATTTATAAATTCTATTTAACGCCGCATTCATGTTTTGAACAAGGCTTGTCAAATTCCTAGAGGTGCATAAACCAGTGTGTCATCAGCAAATAAGTGAACGTTAGCATTTCCTAAAATATCTGCCATGTCATTTATATATAATAATTCCGAGATTTTTAATTGTGCTTTTTCTCTCAAGTTGGTCTCCGTTAATGTGATAGTCTTCAACAAAATATGACTTTCTACGAGTGTATGTCACCACTGCACATTTTCCTACATTAAGATTCATTTTGTTGTTACGAAACCAGTCGGCTACTTCACCTAGGTCGCACTGCAATTTGGCAGTGTCTTGCTTGTCGGATATGGTCTTAAATAGTTTGAAGTCATTCGCATATATTAAACAACTCGAATTGGTGACACAATCAGGCAAATCATTGATAAAAATTATAAACAGTAGCGGTCCCAGGTGGGACTCCCGAAGTGGAGATGTAATGATTAGAGAAGTAACGACCTACCTTGACGCACTGCTTTCTGTCAATCAGATATGATTTTATGAGATTAAAAGCTTTTCGGGAGAATCCAAATTTTATAAGTTTGTTTAAAAGCACACAATGATTCACCTTGTCAAATGCCTTTTCGCAGTCAGTGTATAGGACATCCAATTGCTGCCCATCTTCTATTGCCTTCGATATATATTCAGATAGTATGCAGAGGTTTGTTACAGTGGATTTGTCACTCACAAAGCCATGTTGATACTTGCTAATCCTATGCTTTACGTGATCATATATTTCACTGTACAGTATGTTTTCAAAGATTTTTGCGACACTGTTGCCAGCTTTAATAGATCAGGAAAGCTTTCTTGTTCAATTGACACGTTAAAAAGATGGGCCAGCGGTTTTGCCAACATCTCAGCACATCCCTTATAGATATATGCTGGTATTTCGTCTGGACCTGTAGATTTTTTTGGTTTAAGCTTTTTTATACTGTTGATAACATCAAATTCAGTTATCTTTCTAAAACAAAAATTACCCCACTCTCTATCATCCCAGTTGCAGTCAGAGTAATCAGATGTCCCATACACTGATGCAAAACATTCCGCAAATGCATTTGCAATGCTTAGAGCATTATTATATTTATTACTATTAAGTGTCATTTCCACCACCATCCATACTCGTTCAAATGAAATCAAATCAAATCAAAAAATGCTTTATTGTCTAAGAACAAAATTCTCATTGTCAAAGCTGTATAAAAGGGAAAAAGAAAAAGTAAAAGTAAGTAAATCATTAAAACAAAGCCATTAGAACAGAATATGGAGTCACTTTAGAAATCAAATAAATATAAACATAAATCAACATAAATACAAAAACATGATCATTCTAAAATATAAATTAACAAAATTGCACAAATATAAAGTCAACAAACACAGAAGTCATTAAATAAAACTACATAACTATATTCAAACAAAGTCACAAGAAAGCATCTTGGAAGAATTCTTCTGTGCTGTAGTAGGCTTTTGATAATAAAAGCCCGAGTAAAAGCCTCTTAAGATGGATTCTAAATTTTTTACCAGATACTATCTGTCTCAGATGCAGTGGCAGATGGTTAAAGATCTTTTTACTTTGATAAATTATTGAGTTTTTTGTTTGTGTGGAGGAAGGGATAGGAAGGTTAACATTGTGTGATTGTCGAGTGGTATGTACAGATGAAAATTCGTGTATGTTTTCCTTAAACTTTTTATGAACGAGACATGAAGTCTCTAGTAAAAAAATACCCGGAAATGTAAGTAATTTATGACAACAGGGACATTCAAAGAAACTGGACAAGAAAAAGGCTGAAAAATACCAAAGAATAAATCTGGTACTCTACTCGTGAATCAGAACATAAATTGACCACCCCTAATATATACACGTTTGAAAATAGTGCAGTTAGGATCATTGTGTATGTGTGCATAGTAGTGAACAACAACTTCATGAACTTAAACCTTCGATGAACTAAACAATAGCTTATCAGTTCTACCATCTGCTATTGGAAAATTACAGGATTACAGAAGTAAAATTAATAAAATTCTATTATTCATGCATATATTTTAATCTATTTAAATAAAATCAATCCAGGTAAATACATAGAAACAATAAGGAAATGCCTCGGGAAATGCAATAGTTTCATGTCGTCAAAAGATAGAAGAGAACATGAAATTCAGGCTTTTGGCTGTTCTCGAAAAACCAAGTGAAAAACGTAAAAGTGTTTAAAATTAGAACAAGTTTATGCTGCAAGTAAGATGATTCTCAATTGAAAAACTCTCGGTAGTGGACTTCGGAGTGGATACTTATATGGTGGCCTCAATGAAAAGTCTATTGGAAAGTTGATGAATTTTGACTAAACTAGCTCAAGGGATACATTTTCACTTATATCAGTGTAATATTTGATATTAGGTAGTTTATTTCGAAGTTTATGTACCTTATGTTATGTTAAACCTAGACAACTATACACTTAGCTTTTACCCACCTGCTCTCAAACCAGATATTGACTGATCGAAATACCTACCTAGTTTATCGACTGGAAATAATGAATATTGATATCTTTAGCACAACTGCGAATAAAATTAAGAAAATGTAAGTTATCTGATAATTGTAGAGTAACACAAGTATGAGATTATCTACCTATTTTTTTGTCCTGCTTTTCAATGTTTCTGTATTCTTGTTTATAATATTATCCTACTTGTTGCAATCATGTTAGGTTAGGTTTGGTTTGTCGAATAGATAGACCCTCAGGATAGGCCTACTTTTTGTTAGCAATTTTGGTTTTGTTATTCCTACAGTGTTTGCGAGGTTTTTAACTAGATATAAAGCTAAATGTAAGAAGCAAGGCAGTATAATAATGCATAATGTCTTTGATCTCACAGGTATTGATAGCTGATAGCTGTCTGAAGCTGCATTCTCACCAGCCCTCTCGGTTACTTTAGGATCATAGATTTTCCTTTTATTATCTGAGTAGCTTCACAATGACAAATAATAACGACACAGGAATAAGAAAAACAAGCCTCTTACCTTAAAATATGTAGATTATCAATTATATCACACACAAAAACTAGAAACCATAAAAAACACACATAAATAGTTTCAACGCACGAAGCAAAGAAAAATGTTCAACGGTTTTTATTTTTTCACAGCCAATTCATGGAAATCACAATTAATTATAACCGATTAATCATCGATTCCATCGATTAATCTAATCCGTAATTTGATCAATCAATAAAAAGTTCTATTTCGCGGTTGAATTATGTGGGAAATATGACATAATAAATTGACATAAGCCGCTTTCCAGCTGACGCTTTTGAGCACGCAATCGAGCTTTTGCGCGCGCAAATGCTTCAAGCGCGTGTTCGTGTTCCAGCCGTACCGCACTTCGAGAGCTGCTAACTTTTGCGTTTCAGACACAGAACACTGTGCTGCACCGTGCCTGAAGCACACAGCTGGAAAGCGGCTATTATAATAACGTGGTTCGAGCAGCTCTAGGTTTGCTCAATCGGTGCAGTCCGAGCTACTCCGTACGCACTCTATTTGCTCGGGTTTTACTTTTGCCTTTTTGGGTATATTCGCCTGGGTAGAATGTAACTTGACTTGTTTCCGCTCCTAGTCTAGGAAAAAACTAAAGTATGAAAAAAACTGTGCTCTATTTGACCACGAATTTACAAGGTCGTAGGTCGATTTGCTTTTACTATTTTATTGATTAAAACAATATGAACGAATGAAATGAAGAAGAAGTGGGCTCCTCATCTTATGCGAAATAAATGCAAAACTACTTCTATAAAAATTCCTTTCCCGAGATAAAACTTTTGGAGTGAGTTCAATTTACCCGATTCCGTTTAGCAGCCAAACGTTGCCCGTGTTCCTCTATTTGCCCTAAAAAGAAGACTTTGACGTTTTGTTTTCGTCCCGTCAAAACATAACCTGAAAAGTGAAAAAGTCGTAGATTCTTAAATGATTTGACAAATGGCTGTGTTTAGGGCTTTGGGGCGAAATTTGCCCTATTTAAAGCAACAATTCGAAGCTTTATTGGGTAATACCAGCACATCGGTGAAGTTTATATGCGGAGTTGTCCTTATCAGCTATGGGCTATCATATTGGGAGGATGCCCTGGAAGTCATATCCGTTACTCCAGGATACATCATGCCCCCATCACGAATATGGTCTCTATTTACCTTTTGCTTCATGGAGATTCACTTTTGGGAAGTCCTTGTTGATATTATAACAGTGGGATTGTGCGGGAAATTAATTGAACCTCTATGGGGCCCTTTGGAGATGATGACTTTTTTTGCTCTCGTTAACTTCGGAGTGGGCATACTAACCACAACATTTTACTTCATTCTGTATTATTGCTTCGACGATACAAGATATTTGTACAATGTTTACATACACGGACTTGCAGGATACATTGCTGGCGTATCTGTTAGTGTTAAACAAATCATGCCTGATCTGGTGATAGTGAAGACTCCGTTGGGAAAACTGAGCAACAAAAATGTACCGTTGACTGTATTTTTTCTTTCTGTGATGTTTAAAATTATAGGTTTAGTTGATGGCACATATCCTACAATGTATTTTTGGGGCATGATTGTCAGCTGGGTATACCTAAGGTTTTATCAGAAGCATACCAGTGGATCCAGGGGAGATATGGCTGATTATTTTACATTTGCCAGGTGAATATTGAATCTTTAATTATTGTTAAGTAGCATTGTAGGCACTTATTTTTTAACATATTTCGATACAAACCCAAATACAAACCTAAATTTCATAGGTTTTTGAAAACAATAATATATTACTTTAAAATTTTACAAACATACTTAAGTTACAATGAACTGTAATCAGTGCCTTAAGCACTGGCCTCGAGTACCTAGTTTTGTACACAGTATAGAAGTTAGCATTTTTACTTGAATTTTAAGTACTTCTTGAATTCACAACACTCTGTTTTTTTTTTCTAGTTTCTTCCCGAATGTGATTCAACCACCAATTGCTTTGGTAAGCAATACCATTTACAATGCTCTAGTCAGAATTGGAATTTGCAAAAAAAGTGTGAGAAAGTTTGATTTAGCTAACCCATCAGGAGTCACTGTAACAGTTGCTGGTGCAGATCAGCATGATATGGAAAGAAGAAGGTTAGTCACAATTTGCCATCTTGTTGTTTTATTGTAAATTATAATCTTTTTAGACAAATTGCATTGAAAGCACTAAGCGAAAGGCTATCAAAATCCTACAGTGACAAACAGCCCCTACTTCCTTCAACAAATCACCATAGTTCACCAAAGGTATCTCTCCCACCAACAGTAATTCAGAGCACAGTGCAGCACACTGTCGCATCTCAAGTCCATCAACAACAAAGCGTGTCTGTATCAATTCCATCAACTTCGTCCGACATACCTACGAAGACAGGTACTTAGTTTAGAAGACAAGACTTATTATTTCATTATTTCCCGGTGATTTTTATTGACTCAGGTACTTTTCATGTTTTTAACTTCTTATTTTTTTTTTGTTTGGGAACATTTGAGAGTAAAGAAAAGTTTTGAGAAAATAAATTATTTCATGTTTTAACTTTGAAAATAAAATTTATAATGGTTTTGAGCTGGAGGCTTTGGGTACACAAGTTGGTATTAATAAAACGAAAGTTGTAGCACATTGAAATCTACTAACTATTAGCATTGTCTATTAGTGTGGAACAGAGACATACTAGTTGAGCTATGAGTTTTTAGGCAAGGTAAGAATGGTGGGTAAAATCTTACCTGGTCTGGTGACTTCTGAAGATATGCAAAGCTATCTCTAGGTCAAAAAGTGTGTTGCACTAGAATCACACTACTTCCCTATTGTTCAGATTTCTAGTAGGCCCTCGATTCCAAGTCTCTGTTCAGCTTCAGAACAAAGTATTTATCATTATACCTGCCAGGGCCAATTATTATAATTTTATCATGGTGCACAAATTTTTATTCAATCAAAATCTGTAACATTACATTTGATTTTTGATTAAGGCTTGGAACAGTGCTGCCCTACATAATTTGATAGACTTCTACACACTTCCTTCCTAAATTTAAATTCGAGACAATCTCAGTCTTTGCTTCAATCGTTGCATTTTCTGCATTGGACTTTTGTGTAAAATCAATTGGTTCTCAGACAAGATTTTGTTGTTGAAGAAATTTGCCTATTCCTGAAACAACTATTTATGATACTTTTTGGTTCATTGCGGTTCTGTAGATATAGAAGTCCTGGAGCCACTCTACTCTATGAATAAATAACTGTAATCTTGAATCAACCCCTGCTTCAAAATATGTATGTCTGGATGATGTGAGTGAGTGGTTCAAGGATTTCTAGATGAGTCTGTTTCAATAACTTTGATGTTATTCCACCTGGCCCTGAACAGATTGAATTAGGTAAAAAAGTCTCATTTAAAATTGTCTTGTCTTTGCTTATTTCTTTAAATTTGATGTTGCTTCATATAGTTTCCTAATACAAATATACTCTACAGTCAATCAATATGCTGACCCTTTTACAACAAGAACATATTTACACATAGTTCTTACTAACAATAATTTAAAGTCATGAATCACTCACTTTGTTAAAAAGGAAAGTACCATTTACATTTAATTTGAATTTTATGGTGTAGATAATTGTAAGATTGATTAGTGTAAGATAAGAAATTATATATGATTGTTAACTTTATTTTTTAATATAATATAAAACAACAAAAAGGACTAGTTTTTGTTGACCAATTTTATTTCAGATTCCGCACCTGTATCTTCTGTAGGGTTTACTCAACACGGTATTCCGGAATCTTAATTTTGTGAATGTTACATTATTAATTATTCTTTTTGGGCATCTAGAATGGCCTACTGACCATGGCTTTTTGTGAACGAGTTTAAATTTTATGATTTCTGTTTTTTCAACGAAAATGTAATCTACTTTTGATAATGTACTAAAACTTTGTTTTATTGAAATAGACATTTGAACATTCCTTTGTACAAAAAATGTTCAAAAAATTCTCACTTTAGCTCTTTGAAAAGCCTCATTCCTTAACCATTTGTTAATTTTTGGATTGAAATGAAAAATAAACATCTAATCTAATTTAAAAAAAATAGGATATTGCAAATTAAACATAAATATCACAAACGATTCGAACAAAAATACATAACTTTCAATTGATTTTTTAAAGGCAAATGACTCCCTCCTGGACTAAACAAAAAACTGCAAATCCTTTCCTGGTTCTTCTTTATCCTTCTGGGGACCGACTTACCAATACACCAAGTAATACCCAAAAAATTACTGCATTGTTCAATTGTTGTTTATATTATTTTGTTTTATTTATTCACATTAGGTAAATTAAGTAGAAGAAAGGCAAAATACAAAGTATTTTTTTGTGTCGATGATAAATTATAAACTTGTTCACTAAGAAAGTAGGTATTTCTAATTTTAGTTTAGTTTTGTTGAACCATTATATATTAGGGGGTCTCATTTGGCTATTTGATATTTCATTAGATCCATAGGCTTTTTGATGAGTGCTTAAGTCAAAAACATTTGGCTGATGTACTTAACTTTTGGATTTATCGGAGGAATTGAGTTTTGCTTGTGTTTTGTCATGGCAGTGGCTTCAATAGCTTTTTGGTTCGAAAAGTATAGGACTCTGGCTTTGAGTATAGCAGCAAGTGGTAATGGTTTTGGTACAGTTATTTATTGACCGTTAATAGCTTATTTGGTTAAGAATTACGGTTGGAGAGGCTCAATGCTGATAATGGCAGGATTGTGTGCCAATATGTGCTTTAGTGGGGTTTCAATGAAGGATCCTTTTTGGATTAAACAACAAAGGTAATTAATTGCGTTGTTTTATTAATTTTACTTTTATTAACTTGTAATCTTGTGAGGAGAAAGAATAGAAGCCACGGCTAACGGTATCGAAGAAAAAGTTTGAAATTGACGCTGTAGACAATATCTTTACCCAAAAAAGATACAGCACTTCTTTAATAGAGCTACCAACTTCCTTAACATGAGCTTTCAGCTCTAGTCTTATGAAGTAAATATTTATTATTAAACTATTCACAAAATACCGTTTCCAGAAAAATTCCATGGGTTACCGAAACGCCATGTTAAACTTGCACAAGTACAAATTAAAAACCTCTAGTTGCCAAGATTTTTTCAAAAACTCCACTTTGCTGGAGGAGCATGACGAAGAAGAAGAATGGTAGAGTAAAAATCAAAGGAGAAGAAGCCAGTGACTGAAAATGCGCAGCGACTCATTTTTAAATCCTATGGATACCTTCAGTCGCCTCTTCTCCTTTGATTTTTACTGTACGACTATGTCTTTATTCAACGGGCTGCATTTTTTTCTGTTAGGTATTTCGACTTTCGACGCAGATGGTACTGATTTTTATAGTTTCTAAACAATTTTTCCAGAACGTAGGTAATAATGATTAATTTATCTTTATCAAACTACCTGCATGTATCAAATTCATAAAAAAATTCCTCTTTTCTACAGTGGCAAAACAACGGGAAAAACGTCCTTTTCAGCAAATAAGCAAATGAAAGGATTTATTTATTTCAATATAAATAATCCGTGAATCATCACTGAAGCACAGATTGAATATGCCTAGAACAAAAAATGCCATGATCTTGGTAATAAAAAAAAGGGTGCCGGGTAATGTAAACAAACTCGGACAATGGATTGGCAGTCGACACAATGCAGTCGACTGTTTATCGTCGTGAAAGTATTGAAAAATAATAAAGCAGTTTTAGCGAGTTATGTAACCCGCTGCTTTATTGCGGATTATCAAATTTTCAAGTAGGTAACTAAACAAAAAAATGGGGAAGGAATCTCAGGAATCTATCTACAATATTGGGGCGTGAATTGGTTGAATTGAATAATTGATGAATTTGACAAAGTAAGTTTTAATAGATGTGATACAGGACAAGACGTTGGTAAGCTACTAATCTCATTGAGTAAGTTTATTAACATTCAAGTATGTATTCCATGTTCTATTTCCATGTTAGCATATTTTCTGAAAGTACATACTGAACCATAGTCAAATGTAAAAATTCATTATCAAACAAGAATGAAAATTCTAGAAAGGCGCCCTAGAATTTTAATTTTATTTTTAATAATGAATTGAAAATAATCGGGATGGAGAAGCTTCTTTTATACATGTTTTAAAATTGACCAAGGCCCTTATTTGCTTTATGTTTCTCGAGAATCAGTGCAAATCTGTTTACTTGTGTGTCTAGTTTAGGTTGATAGGTATCCATCATCACACCGTCCTGGATCCATTGCTGAACATAAAGAGCTCCTCAAATTGTTTCCAGGTCTCCCTTTTCTATTCTAGGCAATCCAGTTTGTCATGATTCTTTTCAGTCAGGTCATCACATTACATCAGGTAGGAAGTCTTCACAGCTTTCTGGACCATTCGCACACGTACCCCTTAATCTAGCAACATTTTTGGCCCATTTCATCAGCCTGATGGCTTTTGCTCTGGATACGGGACAAATGACCACTTTTAATGCCTAAGAAAGAACCCTTGGTTGGTGTTTACAGAGAATTCAAATAAATAGAGGTTTTATGGATCAGACTCTGGTGTTTCTAAAAAGGTAGAGACTTTCTCAGGAGCTATGATTTCCAACTGCCCTTCAGGCACGCCACAGGTACTAGAAAAGTCCATGTTTACTTTTATGGACCTTCCAATTACATTCTGTTTTTTTCTTTTTCAGCTGTGACAGGTACACAGGAACCAAAATTTCGGTAATATGGTACTTGTAATTGAGTAAGTTTGGTGCTGGGCTATGAGCATTTGGCTGTAAATGTTTCCAATAACTTCCTTTTTAAATGATTACTATTTTTTACTAATTGAAGTTGCGTTTCACTGATATCCAGAACAACAATTCATGGTTTGATTATTTCTTTTTGATATTTGGTGTCCCCTGGGGAAGCCGTCCACCATAATAGGTTAGGATCCCATTTGTTACACGATTATACTATTTAAGGTAAGTGTAGCAGTGGGGCACTACCGAATGCCGGCGAGAAATGGCTGAATTATGATTTGTTGTTGGGTATCGGCTGCACAATGTGATTTAAAGTAGATTCAGATACAGTCTAATGAGGCTTAATAGAATAGCTGAATGCTCTGCGACTTTTCCAGGTCAAATTGTTTTTATGTTTTCCAGATAAAGAGACAATAGTGATCATGTTCTATATTGTAGCAGAAAGTATCTAATTGTTTGAAGAAGATTTTTTCAGAAGAGGAACATTACAAGTATGTTTTTTTATTGTGTTTAGTTTAGGTTGGTATCATCATCATCACATAGCCTTGGTTTGTCTTCGATTCTTTTCAGCTAGGTAGGAAGTCTTCGCAGTTTTCTGGAGCATCCGCAGCTGGCTTTCACTTTGTATACAGCACAAATGTGAACCTTGAATGTCCAAGTTCCTACAGAGAATTCAGATTAACAGAGTCTAAAAAGTTAATTTCTAACTTCAATACTAAATTTTTTAGGTACTAAAATTGTTTATTTTTTCCAGATGAAGAGACAATTTAGCATGCTCTATAATATTGTAGCAGAAATGTTATCATCATCATCATACAGCCTTCCTGGATCGACTGCTGATAGATACGCCTTCTCAAGTTGTTTCCAGTATTTCCTTTTTAATATTTTTTTCAGGTAGGTTATCGGATCATCCCATGTAGGAAGTCTTAGCAGTTTTCTGGACCATCCGCACCTCTCAATCTAGCAACATGTCCGGCCATTTTCATTAACCTAAGAAGCAAGTGGGCTTTGGATCCAGCACAAATGACTGAAATGTCTACACGCCCTTGGATGGAATGCTTATGGAGATTTACCTATTTTTCAACTTTTAAAGTTACTATGTGCATCAATTCCCAAAATAATTCATGATTTGACCGAATCTTCCGGCATGGGGCCCCGGGGGAGGCCTAATGCCATAGTTGTCCTGGATCTCTTTTGTTGCATTGTTATACTATTTACGGTAAATGTAGCTGTGGCGCCATCGCCAAGCTGGCAGAAGGGTTTTGAATTATGAAATGTTTTTGATCTTAGCTGTACATTGTTATTTCAAAGTGGATTAGGTCTTATGGGGAAACCACTTATGAAAAAAAACGCACCAACAGCTCGTACCTCTAAAGGGCCCCATACACTACGATGAAACACGACGGTTTTCATCGCCACGATGAAACACGTCGTTCTAAAACCGAAGTGTGTGATAGAAAAACACGACGGTTTTCTACAGGGCCCCATAAGGGCCCCATACACTACGATGAAACACGGCGGTTTTCATCGCCGCGATGAAACACGTCCTTCCAAAACCGAAGTGTGTGGTAGGAAAAGACGACGGTTTTCTAAAAAAACACGACGGTTTTCTACCACACACTTCGGTTTTGGAACGACGTGCTTCCATCGCGGCGATGAAAACCGACGGAAAAGAACGTAGTGTATGGGGCCCAATACACTACGATGAAACACGACGGTTTTCACCGCCACGATGAAACACGACGGTTTTCACCGCCACGATGAAACACATCGTTCCAAAACCGAAGTGTGTGGTAGAAAACCATTCATGATGTGTACGAAATGTTGAACCGTCGTGCCAAAAATCAAGCTCGGACTGAATTTTAAACCGACGATGAAACACGACGGTTTTCTACCACACACTTCGGTTTTGGAACGACGTGTTTCATCGTGGCGATGAAAACCGTCGTGTTTTATCGTAGTCTGTGGGGCCCTGTAGTAAACCATCGTGTTTTTCTATTTAAGGGCCCCATACACTACGATGAAACACGACGGTTTTCACCGCCACGATGAAACACGTCGTTCTAAAACCGAAGTGTGTAATAGAAAAACACGACGGTTGTCTACAGGGCCCCATACACTACGATGAAACACGAGGGTTTTCACCGCCACGATCAAACACGTCGTTCCAAAACCGAAGTGTGTGGTAGAAAACCGTTCGTCTGTACGAAATGTTGAACCGTCGTGCCAAAAATCAAGCTCGGACTGAATTTTAAACCGACGATGAAACACGACGGTTATCTACCACACACTTCGCTTTTGGAACGACGTGTTTTATCGTGGCGATGAAAACCATCGTGTTTTATCGTAGTCTGTGGGGGGGCCCTGTAGAAAACCGTCGTGTTTTTCTATTACACACTTCGGTTTTAAGGGCCCCATACACTACGATGAAACACGACGATTTTCCCGCCACGATGAAACACGTCGTTCTAAAACCGAAGTGTGTAATAGAAAAACACGACGGTTTTCTACAGAGCCCCACAGACTACGATGAAACACGACGGTTTTCGTCGCCACAATTAAACACGTCGTTCCAAAACCGAAGTGTGTGGTAGAAAACCGTCGTGTTTCATCGTCGGTTTAAAATTCAGTCCGAGCTTGATTTTTGGCACGACGGTTCAACATTTCGTACACACGAACGGTTTTCTACCACACACTTCGGTTTTGGAACGACGTGTTTCATCGTGGCGGTGAAAACCGTCGTGTTTCATCGTGGCGGTGAAAACCGTCGTGTTTCATCGTAGTGTATGGGGCCCTGTAGAAAACCGTCGTGTTTTTCTATCACACACTTCGGTTTTAGAACGACGTGTTTCATCGTGGCGATGAAAACCGTCGTGTTTCATCCTAGTGTATGGGGCCCTTAGGTGGTGTGGAAATCGAGCAATTCAAATTACAAAGACTTAACACTAGAATCCATGAATCCAGAATTATGTAATGGCAAGAACTTCTAGTGAGGACTCTATGCTGATGAAATAAAAATTATTGCCCTCAGATAGGTATGTAGTTAATAGGGAACTTGCACATTTTTTTTTAAATTCAAAAATGTGTTCTACTTCACTAAAGACATAGGTAGGTAGTCATGCCAAATATCAGGCATTAAAAATCAGCCGTTAATTTTTTATAAATATTTGAAGTTACGCTCGAAACATCGCCATTTGAAACGACCGATCAGTGTGACGTCACTCGGCAGCAAAATTCCGATCACAGTGACGAGCACTTCGAACTTCAAGCAGGTAGATTAAGATTATGGTTATGTTGTTATGTATGCAGTTTTTGATAGATTTGACATTGGCGACACCAGCAGCACTTGACGTGGCAGCGGCACGACCTGATTATTACTGCCTTGTGACGAATTTTTTTCCTAATTGCATCATTTATTAAAGGCCGTTTTACAGCTTGCAATAGACCTATCTATTTTTACCTGGAATGCGCACGCAACACGAGGCAATGTCTTTTTATTGGCTATAGCTAATACAGGTGTGAGGTGATCGTTTTGCACGCTGGGCATCTCTTTATCCTTGTTCATTGCACGTGGTCTGACAAGAATGAATCTAAAGTTGATATTCAACTTGACAAGCGTCATTCAAAAGTTGTTTGACATTTTCATTGTCAAATACGTTGCACAACACGCGGTTTTTCTCCTTTCCTTTTTATCCCGTGCAAATAAGAAGGACGGATTGCTATACGTAAGTCTAACATAATTTGGTACGTTTTGCCTCGTCTTGCGCACTGAGCGTTCTGTGTCTTTTTTTATTTAATGAAGTTTTCATATTATTACCTCTTTGTCTGGTAAAATAGATAGGTCTATTCTTTCTGCAATATGCAAGAAACTTGAACGAGGGCATGCGCAGAGAGGAGTCAGCTGATCGGTTTCTGCAAGATTCTTGAAACTTGAATGGCAAATGGCATTGCAAGCAATCGGTTTGGTGCCATTTTTCTTGAAGATTTTCGTGCAAGCTGGGGAAGTTTTAAGGCCGTTTTACAGCTTGCAAGAAAACTTGAATGCAATTGTTTGCATGCAAAAAAATTGCATTCAAGATTTCTTGCGCGTCGTTTTACACCTTGCAATTTGACTTGTTTCTTTCTCTAACCTTAACCATACTTTTTTGTTTTTAATGTTGTTTTGTTGATGTTTGCATTTTCCAAAAATAAAAAGTGATTATATAAGTCGATATAAAAAGAAGAAAGCAATAGCAGCAACTTTAAGCATCGTAATTGCTAAAAATTCCCCAGCTTGCACGAAAACCCTCAAGAAAAATGGCACCAAACCGATTGCATGCAATGCCATTCAAGTTTCAAGAATCTTGCAGAAACCAATCAGCTGACTCACTTCTGCGCATGCCCTCGTTCAAGTTTCTTGCATATTGCAAATAGAAACGGTCTTTAGCAATTATGATGCTTAAAGTTCCTGCTATTGCTTTCTTCTTTCTATATCGACTTATAATCACTTTTTTCATTTTTGGAAAATGCAAACATCAACAACACAACATTAAAGACAAAAAAGTATGGTTGAGGTTAGAGAAAGAAACAAGTCAAATTGCAAGGTGTAAAACGACGTGAAAGAAATCTTGAATGCAATTTTTTTGCATGCAAAAAGTGGCATTCAAGTTTTCTTGCAAGCTGTAAAACGGCCTTTAAGGATGATTGTTATTGTGTTTTGTTATTTATTCCATATTTAATTTGATGTGCAAGTTCCCTATTGTTCAAATTTTTTAATTCCATTTTAATCAATGCATGGGCTATACCTATTGGGATTTAAAAAAAAGATTTGAGACGTTTTGAACCAGTTTTGAAACAGTCAATGGGAACACCTCTAGAATTTCGGAGGGTTAAAGCACCAGAATAACAAACAATTGTTTGCTATTCTGTGGTTAAAGATAAGTATGAGAGTATTTTTTGAGTTTGTTGAGAGCAAATACAGCCTCTTATAACAACTTTCAGAGACAAAAAGCAAGTCGGGAGATGTTTCTTCATGATTTTAGAGAGCTTAATTGCTTTGACTCTGGAAGTTGCGTTTTGGGTTATTTAAGTGTCAGAAGATGAGTCTTTTACTAGAGTTAAGAGCCAAAAGGAGACTCTCATAATATAACTTTCAGAGACAAAAAGCAAGTTGCGAAAAATTGGTTCCATGATTAGAAGAGTTGACACTTGATCTATATTGCTTTGGCTCTATACGGAAGTTGCGTTTTGGGTGATTAAAGTGTGAGATGAGCCTTTTACAAGAGACTACATCAGCTTTCAGAATCTGAAAGGCCACTCTGGATAAACTGTTTAATTTTGCCTCATGAAACTCTGAGGGCTAGAAATTCCTATAATAAGAGAAGTTTTTGATTTTGTTAAGACCCAATAAGAGAGCCTTTCGGAGAAATTTCCAACTTTCAGAGGCAAAAATCAAGTGGGAACAAATTGCTTTCAGCTATTTGTGAGCAATCAATCTACAACTTTTTCGATTGTAATTCAGAACTTATTAGTTGTTAATTCAGATTTTTCAAATGAAATTCAGAAAATCTTTGGGCTTTGATGGACGGTTCTATACAGATCCTGACTGTTCGGTGTCACTCTTTTAACTCCGAATGCACTATGGTGACATAGTATGTCACCTGGTTCAATGCCAGATGGCCAATTAGGCCAATGAAATATATACTACGAATGGATCCAACCGTTGTCGAACGCGAACGGTTCAGGAGAAAGGGGGCAGCGCAGCGAGTCAAATGCACCTCTACTAAAAAGAGCGCACCGCTTAAAAAATGCAAGTCATTTGGAGTCGCTCAGAGTCACTCGCAGATGTAAAAAGAAAGCGGCTCTTGTTTATGGAAAATTTGACAATGACATTTTTTTTTCAATAAATTCCAAGCAAATTTTTATTAATTAAATTCTAAGCAAAAAAGTCCAGTCTGTGAAGAGTTTTTAAGTTGTCTTTATTAAAAATTGGTAAAAAGATTTTTTTCTCAAATAACCAGCAAACGGCATTGAATTTACAGCAGACCTAAACATGCGTTAAATCGATTTTTTCGATTATGTCTTCGCCAATAGACCAATTAAAACCTGTAATTAATAAAACTGGTCAAATTTTGATTGAAGATGTCCAAGAATTAGTTCTGTGCAAACCCCGGCTGATTCCTCTCAAAAGTTTCACATTGGAGAAACTGGAGAAAATGCAAAAAGAAGCACAAATTATTAAGAAACAGTCTTCGAGTGAAAACAAGTCAGATTAGCTTCAAAGTTACACGAATCTGTTGTACATTTAATTAAAAATTAGGCAAGGAAAATGAGTTATGCACCATTAATTTCGAAAATCTTATTATCTTTCTTCATATCTTCGACTGTATTATACAGATATGGCGATTGGTTTAGGCATCGTATATTTGTGACACTCACAGTCCTATTGGCATGGTTTTGTAGTTTTCTTATTATATTTGCACTACCTTTGGATATTACATCGGTAAGTTGATCTTTTTTATTACAATACAAGCTACATAATATATTTGGATATCTATTCATTTATGTATGCCTTTCTTACATTTTCATTTCGGTTTTGGAGAAAAGCTCTTTCCCACTGCATAATAACTATAAGCAGTAATTTTTGGCTGGGTAATTAGATACTACAAATTGGTTGATTATATTTTGGTTCCAGACTGTATATAGACAACAAAACCAAAATCACACCTCAGTTGATATATTTAAAAATACTACCACTGAAGATGAACCTTGGAGCAATTTACCAGAAAGGGTTTTCGTAAATTTATGGAGAACAGTTTATTGGAGTACCCAGTTTTTAACATGGTAATAATTTTTTATTGTGTCATTCAGTTTTTCTCAATTTGGTCAATTTTGCAGGTTGATTATGCCAATGATGCAATCCTACATCAAAGCTGGAGATTTTACAGTTAAAGGAAAATTGAAATCTGCCCTGGTTGATAATGCAATATATTACGGTTCATATCTGCTTATTTGTAGTGTTCTGCTTATTTATTTAGCCTTAAAACCTGGAATCGATTTAGACTGGTAAGCAAGTTTTGCCAAAGTAAATTGGACAATTAATTATTATGTGCCAAATTAATTTACATACCAGACAATATCAATTATTAATTCAATACGTAACATCATTAGTTATTATTTCCTCTGACATCCTGTAGTTGCAGATATGGTGTTTCATGAATATTTATTAGCTAGCCTCCGTTTTGCTTTTGACAAAATAATTTATTATTTTAAATAAATATGTGCCTACTTTTGTTTGTCCTTCCAAAGACCATTTTACAATAATTTTTATAATTTGAGAAGTTATTGCAGTTATCAACAATTTCAGCCTAAATCTCACCTATATTATAGTGTCCCAAGGAATATTTGTGGGTATTCTATGATGTAACTTTGGCAGATGTTCTAGAAGCGACTAATTTCCAATTCAGAATAATATCCATGAAAAGTATTTTCTATATGTGGCATAAGTGAGGATAATTCTGTTGGGTTTGGGGCTGTCTTGATATATTCTCTTTTTTTTTGCTGTCTTTGGCCAGAGATTATTATTTGGGCTAATGCATTCTGATTCACTAAATTTGGTGTAGGAAAAGTGAACAGAGGAATCCATTAAGCCAAATACTGACACAAGGGTAGCAAGAAATGCCAGAAATTGCTATTATTATTATTTTTTTAAATCCAATTTTATCAATGATATTATTCATGTGATTGCCAAAAAAAATCCCGAACTAATTCCCAAATCTATCTTTTGGGGACGAGTGGTGAAGGGATTAATTATTAACCCTGACAAACAGAAAATAACCTGGCAGCTGTCTGAGCCCAGAAAACTACCCCAGATACATCAAAAAACAAAACAAAAATACAATTGTTTTGTTCCCAGATTCATTGTTTTCCTTATATTTTTTTTATTTAGGGTGGAAGGCCACTAAGTTAGTTTCCATTTGTGTAAGTTTTAAATAATCCCTAATTTTTTCAATCTATGGTGTTAGGAAAAGTGTGTGTTAGCACTTTTCCTGCTGTAAAAAAATCCTATCTACCTGCTTAGACACTGTAAGCTATTTCAGCTATTTGCGAGATTTGTTATCTACAACCCCACTGAGGGAGGCAACAATTTATTAATAGTTTCCAATGTTTTACTATATGTACATAAATCTTTGATTTTTTCAGCACTTTTCATTAACATTGAGATTTTCTTTTCACAGGAGTAAACTGAAAGCAATCGCATCTTCTGCCAGTAACACTTGGGGCTTATTTCTCCTCGTTCTTTTGTTAGGTTATTCCTTAGTGGAAGCTCCAAGAAACTTTTGGAATAATTCAAATTCTAGCTTTAAGCTAACTCAATATTATTTTAAAGCAGCCAAGCTCAGTTCAGACAAATGCGAAGCTGAGGAAACTGTAGACGATGTTCTAGAGGTAATCCTTTTATCTGTGTAATATAAAATTATATTTTTAATTAGAATTTTTAGTCTCTACAAGCTATGTCTATGGCAATCAGGCCTGGCCATTATTTGCAAAGTCCATTGGAAACTATATTGCAAAAAGTTCCAGTTGAATTGAAAGAAAGAATGAACCGTAGGCAAATACCCGAAGATATACCTCATGATTCGCCCACTGAAAAATCTTTAATAAGATTACATAGAGAGGTAAAAAGAATTTTTGAATTTATTAATAAAACACTATAAGTATAAATCTTTTTTTGAAGACAATCAAATCGCTGCAAGTGTTGCAAAGGACAGAAACTCAGTGGAATTTGTTGCTAGAAAAAATATTCGAATGTGAAGATACCTTGAAAAATCAAATATCGAGAGATAAACGTTTCAAGCGCACTTTTCCAAAGGAAACTTCATGGTGGTCTGAGTTTATTTATACTCCAATTTTTGGTAAGTAAATTTCTCTCTCATCATTTGTCAATTTACACAATCTTGATATGGGTGAGTTCAGACCGTAGTTTGTTCAATGTAAATCAATATAAAAAAGCTGACTATTTCTAGAATTAATAGGAGATAGGTGTAGTCCTATATCTTTAAGTAATTCAGGGGTCTCCATGATAGAGTAAGAATCAAACGAGAAGAAGCCATTGACATCAGCGCTGACAAAGAAGGCAGATTTCCTTTTCTCTGGGTCCCTCCTATTTAAAGTGAGACAAACAATAATGCATGTGGCTTCTTCTCGTTTGATTTTGACTTTATTATTTAAGATTTTATACAACAAATAGATATCAAAAGAGTTTCTCCTACTCTCCAAAGGTGATAAGTTCAACAATTTTCTAATTTCTTCATAATTAATATTTTCATAAGGAATATTTAGTTTAAATCCTATTCTTTTAAGAAATTTATTTTGTACTCTCTTTAGTTTTTCCTTATGCACAGCATAATTTAGTTGGCACACAGGACTTCCGTACTCTAGGATGGATCGAACCAGAGAACAATATTCAAGTGTATAATCGAAAACAATAGGGCCCCTAGATCTACTAAATGAGATAACACTACACTTTCAAATGTTTAAAGTAGTATTATTTCAATTCACACCAAGCAGAAAATCTATTTAAATCTTTCTGCAACAAAATCCAATCTTCAGTGGATTTAATTATCTCGAAAATTTTCAAATCATCAGCAAATGCAAGAAACATACTAGATTTAAATACATGTTCAACACAAACAATTAAAAAGAAGTGTAGACAGGTGTCCACCCTGGGCAACACCAGAAGTAACCTCCACTTCTGAGGAGATATAATTGTTCATTTTCACAGATTGTTTTCTGCCTGTTAGATAACTCTGAAACCACCTAATTAAAATGCCATGTACACCATCAGCCTTCAGCTTTTTTAAGAGAATGTTATGATCAACTTTACCGAAACCCTCTGAGAAATCAGTATAAGTTTCGTCAACTTGAGACCTATTCCTGAAAGCTTCCAACAAAACTTGCTCATAAGTTTAAATATTTGTTATGGTGGATCTTTCATTCATGAAACCATGTTGCCATTGATAATCATATTCTTAAAATCTGGGGTGATTTTATCTGCAACAATACCTTTAAAAACTTTGGCTACCAAGGAGATCTTTAATATTGCGCAATAATAATTATCTGATTTGTCTCCATTTCTAAAGACTGGAGTAACAGGATTTTTTCCAGGCTGCTGGATATGTACCAGTAGACAATAACAAATTAAAAATATCGCACAAAATTTGAAACAGAACAAACCTGCAGCTTTCTAGGAAAACAACAGGTATGCCATCTGGCCCAACACCGAGACTACTTTAATTTACAAATTCTGTCAAAAACATCAAGTAGAGATATCTTGAGATACCCAAGATCAACCATCCTCTCTGATTCAAAAGTAACACCTTCAGAGCAGTCATATTCCGAGTATACCGATGCAAAATGACCATTGAACATGTCAACTATATCCTATGGATCATCACTCCCTCTCCCATTGAGATTCATGCACTCATATTCAGAATTTCCTTTTTTTGATTTCACGTATTCCCAGAAATTTTTTTGTCTTTGAGATGACGTTCTAAACTTGTTATGTATTCTTAATGTGATAACTGTGACTTTAATTTACGCTGTGATCTTAGTTCAGAGAATCGAGAGTAATCATGTTCTTTTTTTCCATAATTGAGTTCTTAACTTTGTTATTCATCCACTTAGGGAATTTTGGTGATTAATACGAGCTGAAAGCACAAATAAATCAATTATGCCGAACAATGTTTTATAAAAACTTTTAACAAGAATATCTACATCGGTACAGTCAGATATTAAAGTTCAATCTACATATGACAAATATAAATTAATTTGCCCAAAGTCTGCTCACTTGAAATTATAGTAAAAATAGTCAGAGGGTAAGCTATCCTAAAAACTATTATTAGGAGAGAAAATGCAGTCAAATGCTGGATGTGGAGCGTCTAATTTTAATAATGGACTGGCACTAATCATAACAGTTGTGGTTCGACAACAATAAATCCAAATAATTTCCATACATGTTTGGAATTTGTATATTTTGATACAGACCAAGATAAGCCATCCAATCTGCAATTACTGTAACTTCATTTGCCAATTAGACTGGTTCCATTTGCACTGTTCACCCATGATATCTTAGGCAGGTTAGAATCCTCCAGTCATGTGGTCCATTAATTGAACAATAGAAAGGCAGAAACTTTCATACACCTCAACGCATGAGCATCCATATATGCATTCCCAATCCTAATTTTATGAGATTTAATGGACAACACAACCAAAAGATGCTCTATATTATTTATTGGGGTAGTAAGCTGTCGACAGGAGAAGGCATTTTTTTATAGCAATCAACACCCCACCCTGTGTAACACATTGGCTTGTTTGTTCTGACTTATCACACAGAATGATGAGTAGTAAGTGGCATTACCTCTAGTATTTCTCAAGATATCCTGAGGTATGTGTGAAAAAATAGGACACAACCAAACCAAGTGTTGGAGTGGATCTCCAAATAATACTGTTATTTTTCATTTCAGATGACCAGGAACCTAGTCTATCGTTTTGTAAAATTTTTATGTGAAGCTTCCTATTAGGTTTATTCATAAAGTTGAAATATTTTATTTTAGAATGGTACTGGATATGTTTAATATCTCCCTACTTCTGGAAGTGTATGGCGATAGTGACAGGCATAATGTCTTTTTCCATTGTATGGTCGGAAGTAACATTTTTCTCTGTCAAGCCACCCTTATCAATTTTTGCTGTAATAGTAAACGCTGCCAAGGCTAATTATGACTATTTTATGATCGAGGTAACTAATAAATAATCAAACGTTCTGTGATTATTTATTATGTATTTTTTTTTTCAGGTCCTCTCAACGTTCATTATACTGTACCTCTCTTTCTGTGCTTATTCGACAGTACTTAAAATCAAATTGCTCAATTTATACTACTTAGCGCCACATCATCAAACCAACGAACATAGTATCATATTTTCTGGAATGATGTTCAGTAGACTGACTCCGGCATTGTGTCTTAATTTTTTGGGGCTCATCCACATGGATAGCCACGTTATTCATAGTCAGATTAATGAAACTTCTTATACACAAGTAAGATTTGAATGGAAGTTCTAAGTTGAAAATCTAATTTGTATCTTTATTAGATCATGGGCCATATGGACGTTATCGGTATAATCTCCCATGGTTTTAATATTTATTTTCCAATGGCTATATTAGTATTTTGTCTAGCGACTTACTTTAGCCTTGGAGCAAGATTTTTATCAATGTTAGGATTTCATCAGTTTGTTGGGGACGAAGAAATGACTACTGATTTGGTCGAGGAAGGCAGAGAACTTATTAAAAGAGGTAATAAAGTTCCGATAGCTACTTAGGTATAGTTTTCTCAATGTTTTTTTAATAGAAAAGCGTAAAAGACAACGGTCAGAAGAATCTTCCAATAGGAGAAAGGAGTTTCAAGAGAGATATCCAACTACTACTGGCAGAGTGAGACAAAATAATTTGAATGATTTGGGTAGTTACTTAATATTTCAAAATTCCACATTTGAGAAAAACTCTATATCTTAGGTCGACCTATGCAGCAATTAGAAAGCAGCAGAATCAGAGATTCATATAATCTAGACACTTATAATGGAACCAGTTATACAAACGATGAAGTAGACACCACATTCCCTCCAGTAGAGGTAAATATAATTATTAGATAAAAATTAATTTTCAAATTAAATTATTTAGGATGAGATTGACCAAAGGTTTGGCGCAAGCACAGGTTTGGGTACTAGAAATGCTCATAATTCGGACACAAGATTTTCTGACGGTTACCAATCAGATAATAGAAGAGTTGGTGCTCCGCCTAGAGGCATATTCGATGACGTCTAAACTGACATCTTTGTTAATCATTTGAAAGAATTTTAATGGCTGTTAATATACATACATATTTTTAAATAGAGAAATAAATCTCTTTACAAGTTCAAGTAAATTTTGGGCTAGTCACTCGATGGAATAAATTGTTTGAACTTATGGAGTTAATTCATTCATATAATGATAAAAAGAAACTGCTTAGATCTAGTTTAATTGCAAATTTTTATTTAAAAAATAAAATTTAGCTTGATTTGAAAATATACATTTCTTCGCTTGTAATTTTAGAAATATTGTTTCTCATCCAATGATTTGGGTGGTGGAAATTGCTTTGGTACACGGATTTTTGCTTATTTGTGCTAAACCTCCACTAAATCATTTGATAGTATTGTCTGAATTAATATTTCCACATTTTTGGTATTTGTTATTATTTATTCTATTTTTGCCATATTTATTCTAGATTAGGTATTATTATTTTAACTTCAACATTCCTTCGGTATTTTTCCTTATAGTGTTAATAACACACAATAGTCTATAGTATAATTAATTGATAAATTATATGTAATTATTATTGTTAGTTAAATTTGCACAAAAATATTGTTATTATGGATACATAATAAATTGAGGTATTTAGAGCAATGTTGTGTTTGTATAGCTGATACCAAAATGCTTATATTGAATTTTTAAGGGTTTAGAATCAAGGCCAGATAGCACACAGATATCTTAAAGACATGTCTAAGATGTCCACAAAAACGACATTGCTTACATGGTCAAGGCGTCTTAAAGACATCTTAAAGACGTTGTACAAAACCCAACATCTTTGAGACTAAAGACGTCTTCAGGACTAATATTTCATTATTCTCAGTCATTTTATAACTTTCAATTTTTGTCTATTCCAGGCGCTAGGCTCTGAAATAATTCTGAGGATTTTAAATTGTTCTGAAGCCTTTCAAAATGCTACTGGAAAGTGTTTTGGAACGTTCTAAATGGCTTAATTGAAGTTCTAAAGTGTTCTAACTTGGCTCGAAGAGTTCTGGAGTATTTTAGAAGTTTTTCAGAAATTTCTAAATTGTTCTGACAAATTTTAAAGTATTTTAGAGCCCTATTGAAGTTCCAAAGTTTTCTAAAAGGTTTCCAGTTCTGAATTGAATCCTAGTTGTTTTGAAATCCCTCTGAAGTTTCCAAATTATTCCAAAATGGTCCTGAAAATTCTGATTTGAACTGTTTTGGATACTCATTAAAGGACTAAAGTTCTACAGCAATCTAAATTCGCTCTTAAAAGCCTTCTGAATGGCGTTTTGTAACTTTCAACCTAAATCCCAAGATTCTGGCGCTTCCCAAAATGTTTCTGGAGGTTCTAGAGTGTTTAACGGCGTCCTAAAACGAGTTTCAAACAATGAAGTAGAAAAGGGTATGGAATGAGCTTTACGTCATTCAATTGATTCCAGAATAAGATAGCGCTAGTAAGGGCAAGAAATATATTGGATCTCCCATGTCTCTCTTTCTAACCCTGTGTGAGATAGCGCTAGTAAGGGCAAGAAAATCTCATGGATCTCTCCTGTTCTCTCACTCTAATGTTGGCCGCAAATATATGTATTGAGTAGATAGGCGAAGGGCTATTCCAACCTTCTTACTACTTTATTGGTTTCAAACTTCTGAATTGTTATAAAATGCTTTTGGAAATTGTTAATTGGTTTTTGAATGTTTTGGGACATTCTAAAATGGTTTTGAAGTTTCCAAAATGTTCTGAAGCGCTACAGAATGGTCTAGGAAGTTCTGAGATCAATAAGTAAAAGCTTTTATGATTTTAAATATAAAAGAAGCGCAAGACATATCACCTCAAACCATAAGTCAAGATAATGATAAATGCTGCTCAATATTTTAAAATAATGGTTTTCAATAATAATAGAAAATGTGATTCATCACTACCACATTCCAATTGCACTCTACTTTGAAGAAATCCGAATCATCACATAGGACTGATAGTTCCAGAGGTTAGCCCTTTCAAACAAAAAGAAAAACAAACAAACTTCTCAGCTTTATATTATTAGTATAGATTAGTATTACATATTTTTAACAGGAAATTTGTTTACAATTTACAGTAACATTGTGATCAAGTACAAAAAATTGACAAATTTAAATCACAGCTTATCTATTTCTTATTTTTAGCTTTTATCCTCCTATTCTTGCCTGGCCTATTATTCTTCTGTTTACCCTTAGAATCCCTGCCCTTTCTACCGCCTGGTTTAGGGCTCCTATATTCACTAATGTCTGCTGCTGTATCTCTTGTGTTCAACTTCCCACCCTTCTTCTTGCCACCAAATCCAAATTTCTTATTTTTCATATTTCTCTTTTCCAATGCCTTCCGCGAAATAGCTTTGCTTTTTTTGGAATCCAGGAAGTCTAGATCTTTCGAGACTCCTTTGCGGTGCTTTTTAACCTGGTCCAGCATTTCTTTTTTCTCTTGCTGCCTTTGGAGTTTGGTCTGTATTTGAAGCATTTTGCCTTCTTTTCTTTGTTGTCTTAGTTGTTTAACTCTTTCGCTTCTCTGTTGCTGCTGTTGCTTTGTCATCAAATGTTCTCTGATTTTTTGCATATGCTCGTCTGTTTTTGCCATTTCAGCAAAATAGTCATCAGGTCTAAAAATATGAATAATTAAATGAGTTCAAACAAATTAGTAAAATATTACCTTTTAGTAGGTATTCCAAGAGCCTTCAACTTTGGTATGGCATCAAGTACAGCGGCTTGGGCTTGTCTATGAAACTCCATTTCCCTTTTAAAATCATTCAATATAGGATCCTCGCTTGCTTTAAGCTGTGGCAGTTTTTTATTATTCTTTAATTGGTTTTCTCGTTTCTGTTCATGAGCCATTAATTGAGCAGCCAGTTCTGGAGCTAAAGGTGCTTGTGCGTTTATGCAGTCTAATCTTTCGATCCATGGTAGATTTAAATAGATTTCCTCTAGTTTGTGATTTAAACCTTCCTAAAAACGATAAAAAATTGAATATTTTATAACATTGATTTCAAGAATAACGAATGTATGTGACAGTAGCATTGTAAGAATAGTTCTTGGCAATTCTTCATTAGCAGTCAAAATAGGTTTTGTCTTCTCTTAGTTTTACATAGTTTTTTTTTTAAATAAATTTCTACCTATTAAGCAAGGAGTCACGTTTTTATGTTTATTTAATAAATGAAACTTCAACATATAGAAGTTCATTTTGCTCTTTTGATTTTTCTTGCATTTGTCTTGCAATAATTAAAACGCAAAAATGGGCATAATATTACTTCCATAGAATCTCTTGTACGTAATTTTCCTTTACAAAAGTACCTTGGAACTTGGGACTGTTAGTGGGACAGTATAAAATAAGTAGGAAAATGGTTAGTTTGGATTAGTTGAATGGTATTTTTGTTACTTTCAATTTTCTGTTCTGTTGAAAAACCCATCATCAATATTGACAAAAACCCAGTGGTCTTTGGGCTTTCTGTGTCAGAAACCAACTCTTACAGAAATAATTATTAACTAAATTAACATCTTAACAGATTTGTAGAGAATTAATTATGTTCAAACTGAATTAAAATTTTGATAAATAGGTAGAAAATTTAATAGGCTTCACTTAGAGCCTAATTGCGTTGAAATTGGATGGAAATTAAAGGAGCTGGGAGGCAAACACTGTCTCAGTGTCATTTTTGGAAAATATTCAGTGTTTGATTAATTCAATTTGAAGCTGCGAAACTGTTGAAACTAAATCAAAATCTTAATTAACAGATTTGTAGAGAATTTAATTGGCTTTAATTAGAGCCTACTTGTGTTGAAAAAGGATGAACATTGAAGGAGTTGTGAGACAAAAACTGCCTCAGTGTCATTTTTGGAAAATTTTCAATGTTTGAGAATTCAATTTTGAAGTTTCTCAGGTGCAAAGCTGTTGAAAGTTGGAACAAATATACAATTTTGTGTAGTTAAATGAACACAAAAACTAAAAACCCCACAAAAACACAAAAATCAATAGAAATTCTCAAAAAACTGGGTTTTTGCCAACCCTGGTAGAGCTGCCTCAAGTTAGCCCCCCCACATTTGAATTTTCTAAAAAAATTGCAACCACCTACTGTGCTCGAAGTGTGCTTTACTGTGCCGATGATATTTAGAACTGTGCCGTTTCGATAACAAAGTTATAGGAAACAAATAGATGAGGGGCTAACTTGACGCTCAGCCCCCCCAAAATTTTGAAAATCAGATTAAACGAAATCGAATTCTTATCCATTCTGAAGTGTGCTGAACTGTGCTGTATCTGTTTTTTCTCAAAATTTCCATATTCGGTCATTTTCCGACAAAATCCTACTGGGGGGCTAACTTGACGCTCAGTCCCCGCAAAATTTTGGAAATCAGATTAAACAAAATTGAATTCTTATCCATTCTGAAGTGTGCTGTATCAGGTTTTTCTCAAATTTTCCATAGTCGGTAATTTTTCGACAAAATCCTACTGGGGGGCTAACTTGACGCTCAGCCCCCCGAAATTTTGGAAATCAGATTAAACAAAATTGAATTCTTATCCATTCTGAAGTGTGCTGAACTGTGCTGTATCAGATTTTTCTCAAAATTTCTATATTCGGTCATTTTCTGATCAAATCCTACTGGGGGGCTAACTTGACGCTCAGCCTCCCCAAAATTTTGGAAATCAGATTAAACAAAATTGAATTCTTATCTAATCTGAAGTGTGCTGAACTGTGCTGTATCAGGTTTTCCTTAAAATTTCCATATTCGGTCATTTTCCGACAAAGAACTGTGCTGTATCAGATTTTTCTCAAAACTTCTATATTCGGTCATTTTCCGACAAAATCCTACTGGGGGGTTAACTTACGCTCAGTCCCCAAAAAATTTTGGAAATCAGATTAAACAAAATTGAATTCTTATCCATTCTGAAGTGTGCTGAATTATGCTGTATCAGGTTTTTCTCAAAATTTCCATATTCGGTAATTTTCCGACAAAATTCTACTGGGAACTAACTTGACGCTCAGCCCCCCCAAAATTTTGGAAATCAGATTAAACAAAATTGAATTCTTATCTAATCTGAAGTGTGCTGAACTGTGCTACATTGGTTTTTTCTCAAAATTTCCATCTTCGGTCATTTTCCGACAAAATCCTATTGGGGGACTAACTTGAAGCTTAGCCCCCCCAAAATTTTGGAAATCAGATTAAACAAAATTGAATTTTTATCTAATCTGAAGTGTGCTGTGTCAAGTTTTTCTCAAAATTTCCATATTCGATCATTTTCCGACAAAAAAATAAGAGGGGCATCAACTGATGCCAAATTTTAGGGGCCACAACACGTGCGGGATTGTAAGCGTTTCGCTTTCGAGGAAACTTTGCTTGAGGTTGGGAGTTGAGACGGTTGGAGAAGAAGATTCAAGAATATTACACACTAAACAGGATAGCCTATCCTCATAAGGCCTGTGTAGATCAAATCTCAAGCCCCGCACCGCGCCAAGGATCCAAAGAACCAGTGATAACGTAGGCAGCATGTCGTTTCTCGCCTTGAAGTAGGGTGTTTGCACCACAGACTATGATTCCGCAGGCTTTTGGCTTATGCATGCATACTTGGTTTTAGTACATTAATCAGCAATCTAATACAACTCCTTTTTAGATCTCGTTTACATCTTCCTCTTTGCCTATTATGTTAATCAAAATTAAATATTATTTCTCTTCATAAATGTATATTCTAAACTACGACCGCTGACGCAAACAGTTAACGACACCGTTGATGACGTCGGTAACGGTGCAACATCATGTTCTTGATTCCAAAAATCGAGTCCGATGCGCAGACTTGTAGTAGTGTTTGATATCCTTGAGGGAGATTATGCGGCATTGAGTTCGTGGGCTGTCTATCGCCAACGTGCGTGTCGGAGTCGGATAATTTCTCAATTTCTCCGAGAGAAACCGTATTTGCACAAACAGGATTGCGCTGTTTATTTATTTATTTATTTATTTCCAGAAAATTATTACAATGTTAAACATTATAATACCTATAGAGGTAATCAGTTACCTATACATAGGACTGGTGAAACTTAAAAATTAAACTTAAAATCTACAAAAACCCACCATGTGCATAATGCCCCTATATAGCTATCACAGGGATATGTGTACCTAATTCAATTTTAGACATGCTCACAGTGTGAAGGAAATACCTACATATTAGGCATTGCTTCAAATAATAAAATATATGAAATACAAAAAAAAAAATCCATAATAACAACAATAGACAAAATCTTTAGAAAAATCATATAACAAAATAAATTTAAAAAAAAAAAATAACAAAATAATATGTATGTAGTTGATACTGAGGTTGATACTAATGCTTATGTTCTGGGGCGCTCCAGGATCGAGATTTTCTTGTGAGAGATGAAGATGTGGGAAATGTAATTATTAGCAAAAGACTATATTCTTAGCGGTTTGCAAGCAATCCATTTTTTCAACTTTTGTTTTACAGCTGCTCTAGTATGCTGTAAGGTTTTATATTCGTTGGGAAGGTTATTGAAAGTTTTAATGGCAGTGATGTAGCTGCTCTTTGTAAATAACGTTCGATTAAATTTAGGTAGAATAATATTTTTACTTCTGGTGATGCTAATTGACTGCATAAAGTTACTCTTTAATTCCTCATAGAAATAGACAAGAGATTCCAGCATAAAGGACTGATGCAAATTCAATGGAACAGACAGATGTAAACTCGGATTTATGGCTCCCCTGAGGACAATTTTCAACAATCTCCCTTGAAGCGCCTCCAACATACACTTAACATTGCCATAAGCACCTCCCCAGGCTATAATACCATAATTACAAACACTATGAAAAAGGGCATAATAAATTGACAGCAGCGTCTTCGGAAGCATTATTTTAGCCAGTTTAGCAAAAACAAATAATAAATATTTGGTTTTATTGACAATACTTTCGATATGAACATCCCACCTAACCTTATAATCAATATGAACACCCAAGTACTTACAACTATCTACTCTCTTTATTTGTTTATCATTTATTTTTATGTTCAAAAAATTAGGGACACTGTCGCAATATGCACCAAAAGCTATATAAACTGTTTTTTGGACATTAAGAGATAACTGATTTAAACCCAGCCAAGTGCTAACATAGTTAAGCGAGTTGTTCATTCTGTTCTGGGCTTTGTTCCATGAATCATCACTACACAATATAACAGTGTCGTCAGCGTAGGAAACAATAGTTTCAGATGGTAATAGAGACAGTAAATCGTTGATATAGAGAATAAATAACAGAGGCCCAAGAATTGTACTCGTTTGTACCACGACCCTTGACAAAACCAAACTGTTTTTCAGATACTAATTTGAATTTTGAGCAAAAGCCAAACAACCTAATATGTATTACCTTCTCCAGTATCTTTGCAATGTTTGATATCAAAGAGATTGGTCTATAATTGGTTTCACAGTGCCTATCACCTGCCTTATATATAGGTATAATTACTGCTGATTTTAGTGTACTTGGCCATATTCCCAATTGAATGCATTTATTAAAAATATGCTGTAATGGTTTAGCAATAAAGTCTTTGATTATTTTAATAGTTTTAACATTAATACCATCACCTCCCGCACATTTGACTTTCATTTGTGTATAATTCTAGAAATTTCAATACTATCTGTAGGATTAATAAAGAAAGATTTTTCATTCCTGGGAATTTCCATTAAATCAGCTATCTTTGGCTTTACTATCTTTTTGGCCAGGGTGGAACCTACATTGCAAAAAAAGTTATTGAAATGGGCAGCAATTTCCTCCTTTTTATCCATCCTCCTACCCTCATACATTAAATAAGTTATTTCCCCTTTTTTTGCCCTACCATTATTTCCCAATTTACTCTTAATGAAATCCCACAAAAGCTTAGTGTCCCCAAGTTTTTGCTCTACAATTCTTTTTTGATCGATAAGTTTAGCTCTCCTAATCAACCTATTTAAAACCTTAAAGTAAAGCTTGTAATCTTGCTTAAGTTGTTCACTAGTCGGATTCCTTTTCCATAAACTATATAAAAATTCCTTTGTTTTACATGATTTAATAATTCCTTTTGTTATCCACGTGTTCCTTACCCTATTCCCATTTGCTTTTTTATTTGTGTAAGTAGATTTATTAGTAACTATATTTATCAATTCGACCAGCTTTCTGATAGCAACATTTGGGTCATCTATGCCGAATACAACATCCCAATTAACCTTACTAGCCTCTATTGACAATTTCCTGTAATTGATGTAGGAGTTAAGTCTGTTACCAGCTGGTTTACTGAAATCATTTCTTATTTGAACAAAAAGTGGATAATGATCCATAAAGACATTTGTATTTTTGTATGAGGTAATATTTAAAACATTAGTTCTTATATAAACATTGTCAATACAGGAACCTTGATTAACATTGGCCTCAGAAGGTCTAGTGATCCCATTGAAATAAGGTAAGTATTCAGCTTCTAACAAGGCATTTAAAAAATCTTGACTAATGGCATCAGATTTTAATATGTCTATATTAAAATCGCCCAATATAAAATGATTTTTGACTTTGCTATTATTGTCCATAAAACTTTTAAATTCATCCACAAAAAGATTTTTATCAAAATCATGACATCTATACACTACTGACATTTTTATAGATGTCTTGTCATGTAAAGCAATAGTAGAGCTCAGAATGCGTAACTGATCATATTGCTCCACTTCTGTGTGCTCAACTAAGCTGTCTTTTATATACATAACTACACCATCTGCTTTATTTATAGAACTATCGTTGTAATATATTTTATAGTTACATAAATTAAAGTATTGTACATACGAGATATTCCAGACTTCGGAGCAGGCAATTACATCCGGTTTGATTTGAAGACTATCAAGGTAGACTTCCAGGTTTTCGTAATTTGCATTTAGGCTTCTGACAGTTAAAAGCAGGATCGTGAAATCTTTGATGTTCAATAGCCTGTTAATACCTTCCATATCCTCAACTTCCTTTTCTACTGGTCCAAAATCACTTAAAATGTTGTCGATATCCATCTGATGAATGATTTTTATATGTTGTTTAGTTTGATGTAGTTTTTTTTAGAATAGGGCTGAAGGGATAATCTGTGGAATTAATCTTCCTTGTCAGGAAATATTTATATGAATTACACAGCTCTGTGTTGTTTGCAGCATGATCTATAGCGGTTTTAGCAGAACTAGTCTTTTTGTTGTATTTATCACAGTTTATACATTTCAATTCTTCACGTCTATTACACTCTTTGTATGAGTGACTTCCTGCACAATACAGGCAACATATATCGTTCCTGCATTTCCTTTCATTGTGACCATATATACCACACTTATAGCAAAGAGTGATATTGAAATCGTCAAAAACTCTGCATCTTTGGCTGCCCAAGTATATCTTTTTTTCCTTCATAATCATTGAATAAGCATTTGAATTTGTTTCCAGAATTAAAGACCAGGAGTTGTTCTTCCTGTTAAAGTATTTATGTACTACCCTTATTGTTCCACTCGGTGGCAACATGTTTCTATCACGAATATCAGCCTCTATATCAGTGTTATCCCTAGACTCTACATGATCATCTATTCCAATTATTTTTACCTTTGGATTTTGCTTTTGTTGTTGTTGCTAAATCCTATTTTTTTTAAATGCATTTTTTTTTTTGAATGCGGTTTTACACGGAGAAAACACCTAGTAATCCGAAGCCCGGAGACCATATGTAAAAACACGTAGACTCCGGGTGAAACCCAGAGAGGTGGCAACCCTACTCTTAAGTCATTCGGGTACAACCAGTTAGAGCAAATCTTGACTCCGTATTGTTCGGGTGTGTTAGAGCAGCTTTTAAAGAGTTAACCCTACAAACCCTGCCTTGAGAAATGCTGGTCGTAGTGCAGGCATGCGCAGTGCGATAAAAAACTGATCTGATAGTTCTTTTATCGTTATCATTGAAAAAACAGTAAATCACTAGGAAAATTATTATAATTTCGTAAAATCTGGTAAAATTTAATTAACAGGAATGTATGTAAATTCTCAGAGCTGAGCGCCAAGTTAGCTAGTAGGATTTTGTCGGAAAATAACCGAATAAAGTATGTAAATTTTGAGAAAGCCTGATACAGCAGAGTTCAGTTCAGTACACTTCAGATTGGAAGAGAATTCAATTTTCTTTCTTCCAATTTTCAACATTTTGAGGGGGCTGAGCTTCAAGTTACCTCCCCAGTAGAATTTTGTCGGAAAATGACAGAATATGCAAATTTTGAGAAAAACCTGATACAGCACAGTTCAGCACACTTCAGAATGGATAAGAATTCAATTTTGTTTAATCTGATTTCCAAAATTTCGGGGGGCTGAGCGTCAAGTTAGCCCCCCAGTAGGATTTTGTCGAAAAATGACCGACTATGGAAAATTTGAGAAAAACCTGATACAGCACAGTTCAGCACACTTCAGAATGGATAAGAATTCAATTTTGTTTAATCTGATTTCCAAAATTTTGCGGGGACTGAGCGTCAAGTTAGCCCCCCAGTAGGATTTTGTCGGAAAATGACCGAATATGGAAATTTTGAGAAAAAACAGATATTCAGATTGGATAAGAATTCAATTTTGTTTAATCTGATTTCCAAAATTTTGGGGGGGCTGAGCATCAAGTTAGCCCCCCAGTAGGATTTTGTCAGAAAATGACCGAGTATGGAAATTTTGAGAAAAACCTGATATAGCACAGTTCAGCACACTTCAGAATGGATAAGAATTCAATTTTGTTTAGTCTTATTTCCAAAATTTCGGGGGTGCTGAGCGTCAAGTTAGCCCCCCAGTAGGATTTTGTCGGAAAATGACTGAGTATGGAAATTTTGAGAAAAACCTGATACAGCACAGCTCCGCACAGTTCAGAATGGATAAGAATTCAATTTTGTTCAATCTAATTTCCAAAATTTTGGGGGGGCTGAGCGTCAAGTTAGCCCCCCAGTAGGATTTTGTCGGAAACTGACCGAATATGGAAAATTTGAGAAAAACCTGATAGAGCACAGTTCAGCACACTTCAAATTGGATAAGAATCTTTTTTGGTTTCATCTGATTTCCAAAATTTTGGGGGGGCTGAGCGTCAAGTTAGCCCCCCAGTAGGATTTTGTCGGAAACTGACCGAATATGGAAAATTTGAGAAAAACCTGATAGAGCACAGTTCAGCACACTTCAAATTGGATAAGAATCTTTTTTGGTTTCATCTGATTTCCAAAATTTTGGGGGGGCTGAGCGTCAAGTTAGCCCCTCATCTATTTTTTCCTATAACTTTGTTATCGAAACGGCACAGTTCAAAATATCATCGGCACAGTAAAGCACACTTCGAGCACAGTAAGTGGTTGCAACTTTTTTAGAAAATTCGAATGTGGGGGGGCTAACTTGACGGAGCCCCCTGGTAGGTACACACTGTTGATTATTGACTTGTTTTATATTCTTGGTACTTACCAGTGTTAATAAAGCACTGATTAGAAGATTGATTGGTTTAATTATTGTTTGTAATACTTTGTTGAAATAATAAAGAAATGGTTAAATAAAAATAGTCACTTATATGCAATAGTTAAGGTAACTTGTGAAAATATCTACAAAATACAATACATACAACATTGTTAACTGCCTTTTTTGGTGCTTGGTGTACTGTATTTAGTCCCGGCTTCAATTTTCCCTCAACAAAAGCTTCTTGCAGCTGAAAAATCAGTAAACCGTTAGGAAATCTGCTAGATTTGCACTTTTTTATTAATGTCTCACCTCCCGATCGCTGTCGCTGAGTTCAGAATCGCTAGAGTAATCCATTATTTTTTTTTTTAATAAAATCCAAATAAAAACACGAACCACGGGTACATTTGAAATTTACCAAAGTAGCCAACCAACACGTGTTTGGAACAACAACCCAAATCAAACACTATTTGAAAATGAGGTTAGGGATCAAACAATGTCAGTTCTTCTTGTTTTGATAGAAACCAACTTAGAACTCTCTGAATGCTCCATACGCACTCCCTGTTCCATACGTACTCCGACTGCTCCGGGCATCGCTTTTTAGTGTTAGTAGAGTTACTCCAATCCAATTACGTTCGGCTGTACGAGGCTGTGGCTGTACAGATTCGTGTAACTCGAGCTCACGCCAGCAGCCATGCTTTGTTATTTGTTTATTATTATTGTGTATTTTCGTAGTCCTTGAAAAACTACATGGAAATATGGAAAATTGCCAACGACGTTGTTACCAATAATAGGCATTTGTTTTTTTAACATAAAGCACTATTCCTACAAAGTTTTCAGTTTTTCTAGATTGTCTATTCACTTCGTCATCTTCCTTTTAAAAATAAATTACTTTGGAAATTGGCACAAAGATTAGATCATTAATTGTTTTCATTATCAATAATTGTTTGAAAAAACTACGTATTAATAAACGCAATAAATTTTCAAGTGTTATAATTGAATTCTATGCTTTTTATTTTCTTGTTTCAATGAAAAATGTTCGAATAATCTTTAAAATGATGAAGCTGTACAAATTTTTGGGCAAATACCTTAGGGTCGGTTTCTCAATAGCACGTCAACCCAGGGGCCCCAGGTAAAGCATAAAACTCCAGGGTAGGTAAACATTGCAACTGGACACGTTTACCCTGGAGCTAAAACCAACCCGGTGACTCACTATTGAGAAATCGCCCTTTATTGGATTTATCAAAAAATGTAGGTATTAATTTGGCTCTGTAAAGTAAACAGGCACACTTGAAGCACAAAAGTAAAATTTTACGTATTCGTTAGTGCTTCAATCCCCAAATTAGCAACCCTTGTATTTTCGGAGATATTTCGGTTTTTTGAAATCGCCTGCTCACTTCACACCCAGCAGGAGCAAGTTAAGCACCAACGTTCAGTTAAGGGCCCCATGAACTACGATGAAACACGACGGTTTTCATCGCGACGATGAAACACGTCGTTCCAAAACCGAAGTGTGTGGTAGAAAACCGTCGTTTTTTTCTACCACACACTTCGGTTTTGGAACGACGTGTTTTCTCGCGGCGATGAAACCCGTCGTGTTTCATCGTAGTGTATGGGGCCCTTTACAGATAAATGGTTAGTGCTTCAATCCCCAAATTAGTGACCCTTGACTGTCAAAGATATTCCGGTTTTTAGAAATCGCCTGCTTAGTTCATACATAGCAGGAACATTGGAAGCACCGACGTTCAGTTGTAGATAGATGGTTAGTCCTGATCTATAACATTTGTGACAAGATGGATATAACAGCTGCTCAAAAGAGAAACTAAGGCCTGGTTTATTCACCTTCTGATCAACTATCAGGATTATCTGACAGATAAAAACGCAATATTGGTAGGCCTAGGCAAGTTATTTGTCGACCAATAGGATTATTGATTGGCAATTTTGTCTTGTAGATAGTTGCCAGTAAGTTTATCGGAAGATGAGTAAATCAGCCCAAGCATTAGGAAGCAATTAGTACCTACTAATCATATTTATAAGTAATTCAGACCAGAGTTTATGCTGTTCATATTTTCGGTTCTGGAAGTATAAGAGTTGTTAAAAGCTGAGGTGGTGCATCATGAAGCAAGCCCTAACAATTTATCTACAACTGAACGTTGGTGCTTTCCATGTTCCTGCTAGGTATGGAATAAACCGAAATTTTTCTGAAAATATAGGGGTTGCTAATATGGAGATTGAAAGGCATTGAAGCAGTAACGAAGCACTAATCATCTATCCACAACTACTAAACGTTGGTGCTTCCAATGTTCCTGCTATGTGTGAACTGAGCAGACGATTTCCAAAAACCAGAATATCTCTGAAAATTCAAGGGTTGCTAATTTGGGAATTGAAGTACATTGAAGCACTAACTATAAGCACTGACCATTTATCTGTAACTGAACGTTGGTGCTTCCCTTGCTGGGGGGGAAGTGAGCAGGCGATTTCAAAAAACCGAAATATCTCCGAAAATATGAGGGCTAAAAAGCAACAATATATATATAAATCAGATATGGATTTTAAAATAAGGATATAAAAAATTACAATATTTTCAAAAATAATCTATTAATTTATTATGATACATTACATTACAAAATTATAGTATGGATAGACATCTAGGTAATATGAGAAGATTAAAAAAATAAATAGGATATACAGGACTTTATAATATGAATATATGTATATACATGTATGTTTTAAACAATATCACTAATTACACAAATAATACAAATCGACAAAAACTTTTTAAGTAGGTGTATAAAGCAACTATTTTGACTAGCACGATCAATAAGAGATAACAAAGATATTTTTACAATAATTACTTTTGCAACATTGAATAATATTTAAAATGAAATGGATATTCCAAGAGAGCGGGTTCAAATTTGAAAATATATCACAAAAATTAAAATTTTGTTCATTTAGATATGCAACATATTGCTATTTTGTTCAAAATTGTGCTCAAAAAATTGTATTCAAAATTTGTCATTTTAAAGTTGAGATAAAAAAAAGTAACTTCATAATTCAATAAACAATTAATTAAATTAACATATTTGTACTGGTCAATATAACTTAAAGGTGGTTATCGTTTAAAGTAATATTGGTGATATCTTTAACAATCATTTCTGCAACTTTCCAAGCCATTTCCTCTTTTCGTTTTTCCTCCTCATCAAGACTAACAATTTTTTTGACAACATCCTTGAATTTAAATCCACTTCTGTCTGGTTCAGGTTCAATATCTGCCACATACTTTCCCAACTCTGTAACTCGTCCCAATGATAATCGGTGTGTTTTTTTTCTTTTCCATAAAGTGTCAGGATCGTAAAGTTCTCTCGAATCTATACTCATGTTAGCTTTTTCACTCTGCTTCTTTTCATAAGGTATTTCAAGAGCTAGGAATGTGTTTGTGCAAAAGCTTTTTTCACTACTGCAGTCTGAGGGGGAATGTCTTTTGTGCTCAATGTTAGTTGAATATCCACTAGCTTGTACTGTATTAATTAGTTCTGATAGATATTTGTAAAATAGTTGAGATGCTAAAAATGGCTTTAAATAATGCTTGTCTAGCACCTGTTCGACAATTTTTATTGCAACATGAAAGCAATTAATGATCAATTGTTTTTCTCCACAAATATCTTGTTCCACAGCAAATCTAACTTTATCACTGAAACCTAGAGGACAATGGGCTTGTAAAGAAAAGTATTTGTCATATAAAACAATAGCGTCGTTTTGAGCTTCAATTGGATCGAAAAATTCCTTTTGATCTTTCAATTGTTGTTGCAAGTTTGTAGCAGCAATCCAAAATTCTAATAGGGTCCTTTTGTTTTCCTGTTCTATAAATTCCATAAAATAAAATAGAGCTGTTTCGTTGTATAAAATATCTTCTAGAACTACATTGCCGCTAGTTAGGACATCAATTTGGTGTTTAGAAAAAAAATCAGTTTCCAAAAAAGCATTGAAATATTCATTTTTCATTGTGTCAAATAAATATTTATGTACAGAATCAAAACACATTCCTGAAACTACTTTCTCGGTGTCACAAATATTCTCCATAACTTCTTTTCGAAGTTGTTCTGAACAATTAACATTAAGCTTTGCTTCAAGGGCAATATATTTTTTAAAAATAGCTAAAGCAGCTTCAACCAACTTATTACAGAAGGTATCTTTCAAGCAATTTAATTCGTTTGCATCAGTGGGAGTTGTAGGTTCTGATATTTTTGTTTCACTAGTTGTTGCATAGTCAAATAAACTATTTGAATCTGCAGTAAATGAATCACAATCTGTACTTACAGAAAGACTGTCATGTTCAATATTACTAGCTATAGGTGACTGCCTTTTTAAGGCTTCATCTCTTATGTGGTCAGTTTTGAAAGTTTCTATGTCCAAAAAACACAAAATATAATGAGAGGCATTACGTACTTCCATGTATTGCATGAAATATCCCAAAGCTCCTTTATCCGTCAAAATTTCTTCAAGCGTCTTTGAAAGTCTTGATCTTTCTCTTGATGCTTCAAACTCCTCTACATCACAGAGACCTTCGTCTTCAAGTGACACAAGAGGAGCAACTTGGGGTGGAACAGGATATGACTCAGAAGTACATTGTACGGATTTCGATGTGGTACAATTTTTGTTTCGATTATGTCCTTGAAAAAAGAAACTAATTAATAAGCATATCTAAAATTTTATTGTTTTCAAATGGATGCCATTTGTTGTTAATTTTTTACACACAGCTAAAAGTAGTTTAATGTTACGATTAGTGGTCTTACCTGCTTTTTTCCAAAATTTTAGCATTGTTCATGATAATTGTAAAATATTACAATAGTTAAAAGCAAATTAATGTTGAAAATCAAATTTTTAATCGGGAAAATTATCATATTTTTATTAGGTACCTTTTTACCTGAATTCGCAATGGCAAATTTTTTAGTTTTTGTTTGGTACTTCAATTTTAGTGAGGTTAGCAGAGAAAATGACATTGGCTGTTGGCATTTGCTACTACGGCTGTACAAACCAGAAAATCATTTCATAGCCGCTTTCCAGTGCCTAAATTGTTAGAGTATCATGCTCCTGAAGTGTGACGCTCTTGAACTGTTCGACATAAGCAGCACTGGAACGCTCTCGTCTTAACCCCCCACCATTTCGGATTTCAGGAGCATGAAACACAGACAAATGGGTTGGTGTACGAGGGGGCAGGGGATAATAACAGAAATGAGTAGCTCAAGTGTACGACACTCTAAGCACTGGAATGCGCAAAGCAATTGTGGAGCACTCCTGAGCTGCTCAGGAGTAACTCAAATGGGTCACTGGAAAGCACCTCATGTTTAAATTTTTGGGAAATGTCAATAACATTGCTCTTTTTGCCTGACGCCATAAAAAAAAAGACAGATATAGACTCTCACACACCTACATAATTCGCTCTTTTGTCTCACAGGTTGAGTAGAGTATCCTTGGAGTAGAGTATGATTCTTGGAGTAGGCACACGAACGTCAAAATATATTGTTAAGGAAAAAGAAGAGATTGGAGTGAATTTGAATTTTCAATTTATAAATAAGGAAGATGGCTGACGTCGAGGAAGGTATTTATTTTGTATTTTCTGTTTTTGCCTGGTTTTTCCCGAAATATGTATTTTCTTTACGAATTTATCACTCGTTTTACTTTCAGAACTGGCTTCAGAGGCAACTGAGGCAAGCCCTTCTAAAAAAATAAAGGAAGATGACGACGAATCAAAGGAGCCTTCATCCTCACAAGGTTTGTTTGTATAAAATATTCGATGTTTTTTTATTTATTTTTATTTTTTCTAGACAATTCCAAAACTGAAGAAACCCTCGAAGAAAACGAATTCGAAATATGTAGTCCATCCAACCCATTCAAGAAGCCAAATATGAATCATTTATCGAGTGAAAAAACTGTAAAAAGCATCCTGAAGCCCTCTGCCTGCTCCGACCTCGCTCCAGTAAAGTCATCTACAAGTCCTACCCCACCGGGTGGAAAAAATTTGAAAAGCATCCTCAAACCTGCTCTTTCAGATTCTTTTAGATCACCTAATTCTTCACTATCAAGTGGAATACTTCGAAAAGGCATTCTTAAATCTCCAACACCAGTGGATCCACCTCCAACCAAGTTTAAACTCCGGCAAAGCGGATTTAACCCATTCAGTAACACCACTAATTTACTCGATAGCAGTAGAAGTGATAAAATTTGTGATAATAAACCGAGTAATGGTGAACTAAAGTTTATACCTCTTGAATCCAGGACGCAAGTGACGTCCTCCCAAACTTTTAACATGACCTCTATCACCTCGATGCCAACATTTGTATTTGGACAAAATATGAGAGAAAAAGTAGTTACGGATGGATTGTCCTTGGCCAATAAAGATACGAACGGTACCTCTATTTTTGGATTGAATTCCCAAGATAAAGTAGTCAAAGGTGATACTGAAACTTCCCCAACATCAAATAATAAGAATTCAGATAAAACCTATAAAACCTCAACATTTGTATTTGGAGAAAATCTACATGAAAAAGTAATATTAAATAATACTTCTCCTTCGCCTTTAAAAAATCAAATTGTAAATTCGTCAAAAGTGTTTTTTGGTGGAAATTTACAAGACAATGGCAAGTCTTGTGAGACATTGGAGTCAACAAGTAAAGATACAAATGAAACATTATTTAGTTCTGCGATAAATACTCAACTTAAAACAGACACTACAAAAGAGAAAGAAACTAAATCTCTAACAGAATCTGCAAAAGAATACGAGGAAGCTAGAGCAAATAAAAGAAAATATGATGAAGTGGAAGTCAAAACTGGCGAAGAAGAAGAAATTAATGTTGTCAGTATGTCTTGTAAATTATTTGCATTTGACATTTCCTCTAAAAATTGGCAAGAACGTGGGAGAGGAACTTTGAGATTGAATGATTATAAATTGGATGAATTACACCATTATGCAAGCAGAGTGGTAGTCAGGGCATCAGGAAGTCTACGAGTCATTTTAAATACTAAGGTAAGTTTTACAAAATATATGTATTTTCTAATTGAATATTCACCATCATTTTATTTACTTTATCTATACTTACTCATTTGTAGTACAAAATTTTATTTTTTTTTTAAATTATTATCATTATTATAAGCATAGTAAATCACAATAGTAAATGACAATATTGGGCCGAGTTCAGAAATAACGCACACGGTGCGAGTGCGATTTTATGGGTGTGCCTGAATTGACAATTGGCCATTGGACCCATAGCACCGTCTAGCATTTTTGAACAGCTAGGGTGTCGCACCGGTGTCACACTCACACTGGGTGTGTCATTCCTGAACTCGCCCTTGTTCCCAAGATTATCCAGTTGTACTTTTTTCCCTTCTTTAGAAAATAAACATCTAAAGATTTTATTATTTTAGATTCTTTCTGTTTTAAACTACAATGACACTTAGATTAGAAATTTAGGGAAAAATTACTCTCTACAATACATTGATTGACTAGATGTTTTACTTTTTTAAATGGTCTACTTCTAATGAGAACAGGGAGGGCATTGTACAGGGTGGCTCAAATTCGAGCCTCATCATTGGGATATCGGTAACCGTAAGAGATACGGGGTCGATTAAATTATGGCAAAGTTGCGCAATTTTATGACCAATAGAATGCCGTTTTGAAACTAGAAAGGTTCCCAATACTTTCGGAGATATTAAAAAAAAAACGAAATTTTGTAAAATAGTTTTTATTTTTTCCCGGGCTTATTTGAGAAGCAATTGCAAAATAAATGTGACTTCATCATTGTTACTTTTTCCCCTTAAGAAGATGGTGCTACTAATTTTGAATTTCGACGTTTCATCTTTAGGCGGCCATCCTCAACTTTCTTTTTTTAAATACGGACGTGGATTTTTTATTTGCGATTTTGTCATCTTTAGGCATCCTAAAACCGATACTGTTTATAATTTTTCAATAACACAGTTAAAAAAGCAGGTCCGTATTTCAAAAAAATAAATTGATGATGATTCCCGAGGAACGGAACGTTGGATTTTAAATTTAATACCGCCATCTTGTAGAGAAGAAAAAGTGACAATGGGAATGTAAAATGGGTTTTTCACAGTCTTTTTAAATAAAATCAGGAAAAAATTAAAACTATAGGTACGAAAAAAACATGAATTTCTCGTTTTCCTTAAATTTTTTCCTGATTCCATTTAAAAAGATTTTGAAAAACTAATTTCACATTCTCATTGTCACTTTTTCTTCTCTATAAGATTGCCAAGTGCTAAAATAAATAAATATATATTATTATTATTATTATTATTATTATTATTATTATTATTATTATTATTATTATTATAAGATTGCGGTATTAAATTTGAAATCCAACGTTTCGTTCCTCTGGAATCATCATCAATTGATTTTTTTTAAATACGGACCTGCTTTTTTTACCGTGTTATCGAAAAAATATAAACAGTATCAGTTTTAGGATGACCAAATCGCAAATAAAAAATCTAGGTCCGTATTTATAAAATGTAAGTTGAGGATGGCCGCCTGAAGACGAAACGTCGAATTTTAAATAATAATAATCCTTTATTTAGCACCTGGATAATACATAAAACAAAATACAATTAGATACAAATTCTTACAAACTTAAAAAAAAGAAAAAAAAAATTAAACAATATAGGTATACAGTATATACTCCCTACTCCTAAAAATCACCAACAGACAATAATTACAAAACTAAAATAGAAACAAAAAAGTCAACTATATCATTCACCCAGCAAGCGACACTTCAATCTATTTTTGAAAATTTGCAGACTACCCGCATTCTTTATGCAACTGTGCAATGAATTGAAGGCAATTAACCCCTTATGATAGACTGCCCTTTCTGAACAACTTTTGTTCTTTTTGTGAACATAAAAATTATCTTTATTTCGTGTTGGATAGTCATGAATTATTTCATTAGTAACCAGTCTATCAGTCAAATAATTCGGCGCTAGTCCATTTTTTATTTTGTAAATAAACATTACAAAAAATAAATTTAGTTGCGCCATCATCTAAAGGGGAAAAAGTGACAATGATGAAGTGACATTTATTTTAAAATTGCTTTTCAAATAAGCCCGGGAAAAAATAAAAACGATTTTACAAAATTTCGGTTTTTTCTGAATATATCCGAAAGTATTCGGAATTTGTCTAGTTTCAAAACGGCATTCTATTGGTCATGAAATTCCGCAACTTTGCCATACTTTAACTGACCCCGTATCTCTTACGGTTACCGAGATCCCAATGATGAGGCTCGAATTTGGGCCACCCTGTACACTGTGGGACCCGTGTAGCTGATATGTCTTTGCGTTGCAGAAAGCCTGACAAAGGACAAGGCCAAGTTCTGATTTGCAGCACTACAAATATTGTGGTCAATTTGTAATTTATTTCTGTAGCAATTAGAACCGCACTTTCCACAGTCTAGAGAGGTTTTCACACCCTTTTTGCAATGTTTGCAGATTTTTTGTCTCTCTGAAGGAACAACATGTGTACCCTATATTATTACCATATAATCCATTTAACTTTCACTCAGTATATTCATTTTCATGGATAACTACTGTTGATAATTATTATTGATAATGTTTGAATCATTCAGGAATAGGTTACCTGCTATGTGAGCAAAGCCATTTTATCAAAATAAATTGCTAACAATGAGGGCTTTTATTATTTTCTCTGTAAGGTCAAAATGAAGCTGTTCACAAATATTATTTATGTAATTATCATTATTATTATTATATTTTTTTGTTCAAGATATTCGCTGACATGACTCTGGAAAAGGCAAATGAAAAAACGATTAGAATGACTGGTATAGACTCAAACGGCGAAGTTAAAATATTTCTTATCATAGTAAGCTTCCTACATAATTATGTGAATTTTTGGTGACTGAAGTTTGTTTATTTTTAGTCTAGCATAGAGGATTCGAAACAATTATACATGCACCTAGTGGACCGTTTGGAAAGAGAAACCTCCGCGCAAAAATTGCGAAAATTAGAAACTGAGGCATCAAGTAACAGTGATCAAGTCATCTCCATTGATGAATAATTTTTTAAAATATACTATAATTGTAATTTTTTATTGTCCTACTGTTGTAGACGTACAATAAGCTATACATTTTCTCAATTAATTGACCTTATCAGTCGCAGCTCCCAAACGAGTTTTGATGTGCTGCAGAACCAGCAGAAGCATATTGTATTTTGAACTAGTGTTAGGGCCTTTAAAATTAAACTTTTCTTCAAACATAGGCCTTTTTCAAAATCTGTAAAAAAAAAATGGCATTACAATCAAAGCAAAACATGACAAATGCTTTAGCAGAACAAAAAAAAACACAACAAAAAATGAGACATTTGAAGCATTGCTTTCCTAACCCCTATTTAAAGGACATTGTGACTAAGTGGGTATATTATGGCTGCGAGTGTTAACTATTATTCATTGTAATTTCAATTTTTACAGAAAACTATCATTTTCATAGTAATTTGTTTGAAATTAAATTCTGAAATATTGTATTATTAATTTCCAAAGAAAAGTTGGTATACTAAAAGAGTTGATTATTGTTCAACTTTCTTTTCATTGTAATTTCAGTTTTCACAGAAAATTATTGTATTCATAATAATTTGGTTAAAATTACATATTGATTCATATATTGTTAATTTATACAAAAGCTGAGTGGAAATACTGGAACAGTAGTTGTTCAACTTTCTATTTATTTCAATTTTTACAAAAAACTATCAAGATCCATAGCAATTTGTTTAAAATTAAATATTGACTACTATTAATTTTAACAAAAAAGTAAGTGGGAATGCTAAAAGAGAATTATTGTTCAACTTTGTATTTGTTCTAATTTTAATTTTTACCGAAAACTAAGTGGGTATACTGGAAGAGTTAATTATTGTTCAACTTTCTGTTTATTGTAATTTCAGTTTTCACAGAAAATTATTATGTTCATACTAATTTTGTTAAAACTTAATATTGATTTATATTATATTATGTATTAATTTTAACAATCATTGTGCTACATTCTAGAAAACTAGTGTACCTACTCATAGTAATTTGGTTAAAATTAAATATTTGTATATTATTAATTTTAACAGAAAAGTAAATGGAAATACTGAAAAAGTTAATTATTATTGTTCAACTTTCTATTTATTGTAATTTCAATTTTTACAGAAAACTATTGTTTTTATAGTAATTTTTTTAAATTAAATGTTGTTTTATACATATATTATTAATTTTTCTTGTTTGGGTATTAATAAAAGCACTATTTCTGCTTTCATTGTTTGTTTTTCATTCCTTATTATGTTGAGTAGACTTTTTCAGCACCCAAAATAATTTAAACAAAATAATATATTATTGCGAAATTATAGGAATAAAGGGCAGACTAGCCTGGTAGAGCCATTTTTAGTTTTAAAATGACAGAAGCAAAAAAAAAGCTGGAAACTGAAAAATTCCAGCCAACCTAAAGTTCAAACCTTAACATTATTCTGGACAAGCTATTATTGTAAATCGAGTTTGGAGGAAGCATTGATAGTTCTTAAAAAGCCCATCCAGAGACCCACAATGACAGGCTTCAAATTTTGTTAGAAGGATCACTATTCAAATTTCAAAATGGAGAGTATTTTCAAGCATTTCTAAGTTTTTTCTTATCAAAATACCAAATTTTTAAACAAAACAATTAATTGAATAGAATCCTTATAATAAAAAGTAGCTTTTAATTTTTGCTTTAATAAAAATAGCTAAAATTAATTCTTTCCAAATTGAATTAAAGCAAAACATGGTTTTATGCAATATTATATATTTTGTTATCTATGAAGTGATAAGGAACTTGAAAATGAACAAATCTGCATACTCATGTTTTAAAAATATTCAAGGCAAGCAGAAAAACAATACCTGCATTGTTGAAAGGATTCTCATCAAAAATTGAATTTCTTATCAAAGTTAGTAATAATATACCGGAAGTTGGTTATTTTCCGTTGAAATTATGAAACAATGTCAATAATAATAATACTATTTTTGAAATTCTGTTCTGTTTGCATCCCGAAGATCTTAAATCATTTAATAAAAACCATGTTAGTTTTCTTTAAAATGTTTGACATTATTTGTATGAAGACAGGTCTTTTGTAAATGTCGTTGCAAAAAAAAAGCTATTCTACTGAAATTTTGAGCTGATACGTTTTAAGGTAGCTAAACTACCCGCAATACAATTTTGGTTTAAAAATAACTGTTTTATCACGGCACTGAAAACGGATTAAATTAGTTTATAAATAAAATAATTAAGACATATATGTCGTTTTAAAACGTCTTTCTTCGTTGTCCGACACCTAATTTCCATCCTCTTCTATCGTCGCAATCCTCTGATAAGAGGTTTCTTTCGCTCATGGACTTTTGTATGGTCTTGTGCCATTCATCCAGTTTTGGTCTTCCTCATTTTCTTCTACTTGCTGGTTGCTAATGCCGCATTTTTCTGGGCTCCCTGGTATTTGGCATTCGTTTTACTTGTCCGTACCAGGTTTCCTGAACTCTTATTACCATTTGTTTTTTTATATGGTCGTTCTGTATTCTCTCTCTTCGTAAAATTCGCATGAATCTTCTAATAGCATCCTGCTTCTATTTTCTTCTTTTGTCTGTCTGTTTCTCTCCAAACTCGGCTCCATATAGAAGGCTGCTCGTTATAATTGTTTCGTTTATATTGAATTTTCTCTTCTTTGTTATTTCCTTGCTCCATAAGATTTCATTAAGACATCCTATTACTTTTTTAGCTTTAGCTATTCGCTTTTCTATTTCTTTCACATCTGTTCCGGTGTTGTCGAATGTGATACCTAGATACTCATATTCTTGATATTGCAGAATTTCCTGACCATCGTCCACTTCCAAGTTTCCGTTCTGGGTGCTTACACATATATTTTGTGTATTTATATTAACTCTCAGGCCTCATTCTTGGTACTCTTCTAGCAGCTTTTTAATCATATATTGCATGTCGTCTTTGTCACTGGCCACTATGACCTGATCATCTTCAAACTGAAAAGTAAACAGGCACCTATCATTTATCTCTATACCCATTCTATGGATCTTGCTCTTCTATTTTTTTAGTGCTACTATGTATATTTTGAAAAGCGTAGGAGAAATACAACATCCTTGACGTAGTCCTCTATCTATAAATGTGTCTGAGTTTTTATTATCTTAATTGTGTCCTTATATAGGTCTTTAGGTGCCGTTATATAGGTGTGATTGATGTTGGATTGTTCTCCCATAGTCTGGATACTGGGACTGTATTTTATGTAGGTCCACAAATCTGAGGTGGGTTTCCAAATGTCTACCAGATCTCTTTTCTATGACTTGTTTCAGGCAAAATATGTTGTCTTCCTACTCTAAAGCTGCACTGCTCTTTTTCTTCTTTCTTTTTATAATCTTCTTCAATGAGATCATGCAGGATTCTACAGTATAGTCTGCTTAGTGTGCTTGTGACTGATATGTCCTGATAGTTATTGCAGTTCATCTTATTTCCTTTGTTGTGAATGGATGATATAAAAGCCGTTTTCCTTTTATTGATGGTACATGTGAGACCTTTAAAGAGCTTGTGAGTTCCCCAGTCCAGCATTTCGGAGTATATTATCCCTTCTGGGCCGCTAGCTTTACTTTTACTTTACTTTTTTTTTTAAGATTCTCAGTGAAAAAAAATCTAAAATAATTAATTACAAAGATATAAAAAGAGTGAAACTTCCTAGAGTTTTATGGATGTAAAATTTCGATGACAATATTTACATTCTTGAAGATCTCATCTATATCTAATTGTGCATTATGGTCCAACGTCTGATTTTCAACTTTATGTTAATAATTATATAGGTACTTTGTTGTAGTTTTTTTCACTGAACCCCTTAAAGCAACAAATGGTAAATGTGTTTGAAATACATTTATTTCATAAACTGGTCCGGGGCTAAGCATTTTTTAGCTCAAATACCCATTTATTTTCTGTCTCCACAGACAACGAATATTGTCAAATCGATGATGATCATTAATAGATCACTGATAAACATACATACATACTTGATTATGCAGAACAAAACTTGAGGAAAACTACCAACAATGACCAACATATATTGAAGATCGATATGAAATGAATTTGAAATATCGTAAATTACAAAAATATTTTATTTACGTGTAATACATATAACAAAAAAAAAGTAACATATAAACCCAAACAATTTTTTTAATAAAGAATCCAATACAACTCACAAAAATAAAAAAGAAATGAAATTCCAACAATATAATATAGTAAATACGTATTAATTCAAACAGATAATAATAATAATTAATACGTAAACATATATTTTTTAATATACAGGGTGTAAAAATTGTGTGGGAGAAAGTAAAATCCAACTTACTCAAGACATAACTCATGTTTCGAACAAAATCTATATTTCTAATCATTGTATGATGATATTTTCACCCTGTATACTTGCATAGTTTTGTATAATTTTTTATTGATTGATTGGATATAAAATAAAGATATTACAATAGAATACTTCTTATGATTTATAAGTACTAAACAATTGGAAAACAAATAATTTGAAATATAATTTTGGCATGCTAAAAATAAAAATTTCCAAAGGCTAAACCAATAATATAATGTTAACTTTTCCACAATCAAATAGGGATCATTGTAACCAAAAATTTCAATTTCACTTTTTCACCATCTATGAAAATACATGCCTACTTCATTATGGCTAAAAATAAGCCAATTTATTTCTTATTTTAAATTTATTTCCTTTCATTTTAATCAAGTCATACTCTATTTTAATCTATATTGAAAATCTTATTTAACTCTTGAACGTTTCTACTCCGAATAAGAGGCCTCAAATCTGACCTATCCATCAAAGACAAGCACATTTGTAATGTGGACCAAATAGTATCTGACATTTTTGAACCGGATCCTGTGTTGAACACGTCTTTTCCGCGTGCTTGCTGATTCAGAGCTGTTAAAAAATGTTCCACTGCTTCCCTATTTAATAATAAATTAATATTTATTTGCGAACATTTCAACTAAGTTACCTGTAGGCACGCAAATTTATACAAGTAATTCCAACATTGTATCTTGCCCTAATAAATCCAGGAGATAAGTTTAAAGCATGACGATAAGCCTCGATAGCTTCTTCTGATTTGGATCCGTTGGCCAGCGACGCTCCCAAACGATTCCAAAGTCTGGCATCCTAAAAATACACCATATTAAATTCAAATAATACTAAACTATAAATTGGTGGTTTGATTATAGTAAAATTCGCTTATTACAACACCGCTCAACCCCAGGTCTTTTCCATTCATTTAGGAATTTCATCTATATAGTTTGAAAATGTGTTCAAAATAAAAAGTTTCCCATACCTACAGCCTTTACTATTTAATGCGCGGTTAGAAATAATTGCCCACATCTTCGTTGGATATTTGAGCGAATTGAAATAAATTATATATCATTGGAAAAAGCAATAAATCCTCTATAAATCCATGCAAAATTGAGCTTGATAGCTCAAATAGCTTTTGAGCAATTGAGTCTCAAAGTTGACTTTTAGAATTCAGAAAAACTACCCTTATGAAAAACTCGATTTTTTTATTTTTTAGTTTTGCTCAATTTTGATTTTATCAATCGATAGAGCGGGTCCAAATTAGTGGAAAACAACCCTGACATCATTTCCAAGTGGCCATTTTAAGCAAAATCAAAAATAAAAAGAAAATCCTATTTTTGGCTCTGGAAAATTTACAAAATCTTGACATGGTCATGAACAATTGGCCATATCTTTGTTAAATTTTGAGCAAATTAAAATAAATTATATACCATTGGAAAGAGCATTAAATTCTCTATAAATCCGCACAAAAGTGCTAGTGCTGAGAGTTCAAATAGTGTTTGAGTAATTGAGCCTCAAAGTTGATTTTTAGTCCAAATTTCGCCAAAAATATTGTAAATTATAGGGTTTTTAGAGCTTATTGAGAGCTACAAATTGTTAAAAATTTCAATGCAATTTGTTCAACGGTTACCGAGCAATTGAGGTTTGAATATTTTGAAATCAGAATTCAAAGGGGATACCCTTATGAAAAACTCGATTTTTTTATTTTCAAGTTTTGCTCAATTTTGACTTTACCAAACGATAGAGCGAGTCAGAATTAGTGAAGAACAGTCCTGACATGATTTCCAAATGGCCATTTCAAGCTGAAAAAAAATTAAAAAGGAAATCCTATTTTTGGCTCTGGAAAATTTTCAAAATCTTGACATGGTCATGAGCAGTTGCCAGTATCTTTATTAAATTTCAAGCAAATTGAAATAAATTATATATCATTGGAAAGAGCATTAAATTCTCTATAGATCCGTGCAAAATTGAGTTTAATAGCTCGAATAGTTTTTGAGTAATTGAGCCTCAAAGTTGATTTTTAGTCCAAATTTTGCCAAAAACTTCAAACTCGATTTGCTCAAAAACTATAAACCTGTGAATATTGCAAATTATAGGGTTTTTAGAGCTTATTAAGGGCTACAAAAGTTAAAAATTTCAATGCAATTTGTACAACGGTTACCGAGCAATTGAGGTTTGAATATTTTGAAATCAGAATTCGAAGAGGATACCCTTATGAAAAACTCGATTTTTTTATTTTTCAGTTTTGCTCAATTTTGACTTTACCTATCGATAGAGCGAGTCAAAATTAGTGAAGAACAGTCCTGACATGATTCTCAAATGGCCATTTTAAGCTGAAAAAAAAATTAAAAGGGAAATCCTATTCTGGGAAATTTTCAAAATCTTGACATGGTCATGAGCAATTGCCCATATCTTTGTTAAGTTTTAAGCAAATTGGAATAAATTATATACCATTGGAAAGAGCATTAAATTCTCTATTAATAAAGGTATGGGCTTGAATATAATCAAATAGCCTGTACTTTTGTCATATTTTGATATTTGGTAAGATAGTTGTGCACTGTAAAAAAAAAGTTTGCAATAATTATTATTTAAAGAAAATCAAGAAACTTATTTATTATAAATAGGTACTCAAATCACTTGACATGATGTAATCAAGTGAAAATCCAAGTATTTTAGAATAGATATTGGAAGTACAAGTACAAGTACAAGTACATAACAAAAAAAGTAGAGTATCAAGTAATTTACTTCAGATATTGATAGCTCTGGAGGTAAATGCAGTGGATTGTAATCTTAATGCTTGTACCTATTATGAACTTGAAAATATTCTGATTAAATTCGTCACACGATCTAGAAGATGGATTTTTAAAAGCACCTAGTGGAATAGTATTCCACTTTCCATTTTTGAGGCTTTTCTAGATCGACTAAGCGGTAATTTCTGAATATGAGTAACTACAATGTTAAAGACCTAGAAGACATAAGGTCTGCTTCCGCAGAAATCACAAACCAGTCAGAGCGTTTTTGATTGGTGCAAATCGCCAACAACCAGTTTTTTGACTATTTTTAGCCAATGAAATTCGCTCTGGCTGGGTTGTGATTTCCGTAAAAACAGGCCTATAATTAAATTAACAACTGAATATTGGAAAACCAATATTTCAAATAAATATGATGAAATTACTTTTACAACGAATTTATATGAGGACTGTAATTTCCTTTTTTTATTTAGGGCCGGTTTATTCATCCTCAGATAAACTTGCTGGTAACTATCTGCAAAATAAATTTATTGTTTTATAATTCTATCGGTCGGCGGATAACTCAGCGACCGATGGGATTACAGATTGCGTTTTTATCCGTCAGATTGCATACCTGACAGTTTATCAGAAGGTGAATAAATCGGCCCTTAATAGTGTTACAGTATTTGATAGATACATAATTGTGCATGTAATACATTTTTATTAATAAGGCGTCCATAATTTACCTCATGAAAAGCTGTCAACCTAATATTCACAGTCCCACCAATATCATTATAACCAGATTTGACTTGCACGATTTCAAATAAAGAATAATATTTACGTTCGGTCTTGCAGATAAGGCAGCTCTGAAACAGTCCGTGGCTTTGTCAAAGTCGCCCGATAAATTGCACAATACTCCCAAGCCGGATTGTACTTCATAGTCCAGGTTGTGTGGATTTCTTTGGGCGGCTCTTAGATATAAATCTTGTACTAGCTTGTGGTTCGCTCTGCAAACAATAAATACAATAAAACCTATTTTGTATTAGGGAAAAATACACTCCGAGACTAAATCAATAATAATACAATTATTTGATTAAAAATAAACCTAGAATGGCAATACATTTTCGCAGGCAAAAAAGATCTTCTTTTAGCCTTATTTCAACTGGCAAATTAAAACAAAATAAGCACTTATATCTAGAAAGTGGTTATCAATACAGCTTTACCTAGTTACATATTTGTAACAAGCAGCTTCTTCTGCTGAGCAAATTCTGGATAATAGAGGAATGTTCTGGTTTTCGGGAAAAATTTGGACTGTGGGAATGCTGGATAATGGAGTGTTCTGGTTTTTGGGAAAAGTTTCTGCTTCATAGACATGTTTGGGAGCATTTTCTGACCTGAGCTCGTCTCTAATAATTCTGATGAAGGTAAGTGTTTTTAAAAATATGTAAGTTATGTTCAAGTAGTAATAAGTAAAAATTACCTTTTTTTTACTAAATAATAAAACATTTTTTGGTTTGGAAATAATGCCTAGCTTGGTCCATGTGAGTGGACTTCAGCCTTATTTAAAAATTTGCCAAATAATATTTAACTGGAAAAAATGTTGTCCCTTAACAAGTGGATTCTAGTTCAAGACTGACCTTAGCTAAAAAATAGCTTAAATTGAGGACAAAAATTTTAGCAGAATGAAGAAAATATGCAAAGTTCAACCATAACAATAGCATTAAAGATTGTATATACAAATATTAATGGAAAGTTTTCACAAACTACAATACTAAATTCTAAAAAGTGCAAACTAATGAAGAAAAATAGTGTTAGGCACCCAACCACCACACGCAACTTACTGCACTATTAAGCTTGTAACTTGCCGAGATATATTCAGATTTGGCGGTACCAGATCGCTATATTTTGGATGATTTTTCAACCAACTCATTAACATAAAACAAGCTTGATTGTAATAGCTCTCGTTCGTGTAGCTGACAGCGGCAGCCATTAATGCAGTCAAATTCGTTGGATCCAATTGTAGACACTTGTTTAGGGCCGCTATTGCACTTGGGTCCTAGTAGAATAGTTTTTAATGACCCGAAAACTTTAGAAGCAATCAAATACTATTACCTGTTCATTTTCTGCTTGTGTTGTTCCTAACAATAGCCAAGCTTCAATATTTTGTGGATTTTGTTTTACTGCAGCTTCGAAACATAGGACAGCACTAGGAAAATCACCTTGTTGTAATAACTCCTTGCCCCTTTCCATAGAATTAGGGAGATCTAACATAGGATTTTGTTCGCTAAATTCATATTCCTATAAGATTTTCTATATTTATTTTTTAGATCCAAAAAAACACATTGAACTCACCCCATGTGGAGTCATATAATATGAATTAAATCCATCCAGCCATGACTGTGGAGTATTTTCATCACTTGCTAAGCCTTTTTCTATACTTTTCTGTAAATAATCCCAAAATTCTGGCTTCTCTTCCTCAGCTGCAACCATTTTATTAACATTATTTACATGTTTTATTCAATTGAAAATTGCATACCTTTGCTTTCCTCCATTGATTCAGGCCAAACGTCATCGAGGGTAGCAGCTTCCTTGTTCTGCAAAAATTCATCTGTCCATGCTTGGGCCTCATCTTGAGTTAATTTTCCACCATCAAGCCTCACTTGGCCTTCTTCGGGAGAATTCATAAATTTCATAAACTAAAATAAAGTTTTTTATTAACCAAAATTTACAATATTGATTGGTAATAATTATTTACTATAGTCATGCCACTTTTGAGGTGTTTTCTTATATGTAGTTCCAGTGAAATAGTTTAATTTTAAACTATTTCTGAGAGAAAAATATTGAAAATAATAATATTGGGAGAGCTTTCATTCCAGCTATGCCAATGGGCTAGCCACCTTTTCTCATTCCATGTTCTGCAAATTACATACAGGTAATGAAAACAGAACGCAGACTAGACTTTGCCTTGTGACACAGTTAAAAAATCACCTACATACTTCATTGGTTGTCAATCCTACATAATTATATTATATGTTTCTGGCACAATGTGTGGTTGGGGTTCTGCAGGATGACATTTTTGCCTGCAGCATCCATATCGAAAACTCTCTTTATAGTAAGGAAATTTCAACATAAATCAGATTACTCACTATATAAAATTGATTGGGAGACCTCGTGGGAGACATAAAGTCACTCTACTTATAAACAAGATCAGTGGGATATCTTCTTTCCTCACTCTTTTCTTTATGCAGCATTGTTTTTAAGATTAATTTTTGAGCAACTTGAATTTTAGATATAATGAACAATTCTGAACTGATTCCACTACTGAAAAGTAAACCATTTTCAGTGTTTTTAGATCTAGATTATTCCTTAATTTGTGAAACTTCCATGCTAATTGTCTTCGAGACATAATTAGCATGCAATCTCCATGTGAAGTTTTCATCAATGAAAATTCCCAGATATGTAATTTAAACAATATTTTCTCTATATAGTTTGATGACAATAATTACAATCTATATCACAACTATACCAAAATTAATGCAATATTATACTATGATAATCTTGTGGGAATTTTGATTCCAGGGCGAAAGCAACAAAGGACATGGCACTAAATATTAGAATCCTGGTGATCGGTCGATTTTTTTAAAACTGAAGTATGTTATTCTATACCTGAAAACAAGCATTTTTGCTTATGGTCACTTTTTTGTAGGAGTATGGGATGTCCCAGAAAATAAAGTTTTTATATGGAATATTTTGTATGAAGCATAAATTATGTTTATCTAATCTGTTATGTATTTTTGCAACTTATACATTAAAGACAAAGATATTTATGTAGTTAAGAACAAAAATTATTATACAGGGTGTCTCAACAATTTTATTTTAAACCAAACTACACCCTAAAGAAAGCCAATAACCAAAATAACGGTTAAAAAAAAATTGAGTTCAAAAGTTTATATCAAATGTTTGATGTATCGGTTTAGTGATTTTGAATATGTATTGGTCTGTTGTATTAACAACACAGTTAGAGCCAGTTTCACAAACAGTGGTAACCCAACAGTAAACAAAAGACACTGGTAACCTACAATATATCTGTTTCATAATGTGCGGTTAAGCCAAAACCTCTGGTCAAGCTTTAGAATATTCCATGTAGTCAACCCACAAATATGAGTCCGATAGCCAGTGCAGGTTACCACAAGGCCTATATGGCATATTTTTGTATTTATTGATCTATTTCTACAGTATTAAATCCAAATTGTTTCCGAGGAACAACAGCTACTTCAAATAGTCTCTGGTGATCATTGTTACAATGTTTGTAGTTATTATTGATATTTTAGGTTATTATAGTTTTGTAGCAGTTGTTTTAGTTATTTGCTTTCTTTAGAGAGTAGTTTAGTTTAAAATATAATTTTTGAGACACCCTGTATAATAATTTTTGTCCTCAACTACATAAATAGCTTTGTCTTTAATGTATAAGTTGCAAAATCACATAAACAGATCAGTTAAACAACGGTTAAACATTCCTTCAAAGGAAATATTTCATATACAAACTTTGAACTCAATTTTCTGGGACATCCCATACTCGTACAAAGAACTGACCATAAGCAGAAATGCTTGTTTCCAGGTATAGAATAACATACTACAGTTTTCAAAAAATCGGCCGATCACCAGGATTCTAATATTTAGTGCCATGTCCTTTGGTCTTATCAACATTAAAGAATAGTAGACTGCGATTCAGCAAATTTTTTATTTCATGCATGGCTATCTCAGGTTTCTCCTTTGCATTTTCCCACTGAATCATGATTTCTGTGTAATCAGTAAAGCAATATATTTCCCCGGGTATTTTCCCATCCTCAAGAACAGATAAGATGTCATTCATATAAGGATTAAATACAGGTTTGGCATACACAAAAACCCATTTTAAAAACCCACTATCAACAAAAACCCATTGGGCTTCGGGCTTTCTGTTGGAAAATTTTTTTGAGAAATTTTCATCGAAAAAACAAACTGATTTCTACCATAGTGCCAAATATCAATCCAATAGGTAAAAAAGAATTTGTACTAATAAACTAGTGAATAAATACATAATTGAAACTAAATCAAAATCTTTATGAACCAGGTTTTTAGAGAATTTAATTGGCTTCAATCAGAACTTAACTGCGTTAAAATCAGATAAAAATTAAAAGAGCTGTGAGGCAAAAACTGTCTCAGTATCATTTTTGGAAAATTTTCAATGTTCCTCAAATTCAATTTTGAAGCTTCTCAGCTGCAAAACTAAATTTAAATCTTAATTAGTAGCTTGTGAAGAATTTAATTGGCTTCAATTAGAGCTTAACTGCGTGAAAATTGGATAAAAATTAAAGAAGCTGTGAGGAAAAAACTGTCTCAGTGTCATTTTTGGAAAAATGTCAATGTTCGATAATTTCAATTTTGAAGCTTCTCAGATGCAAAACTATTGAAACTAAATTCAAAATATTTCAATCGACATGTTTGTAGAGAATTTAACTGGCTTTAATCTCGGCTTTAATTAGAGCTAAATTACATTGAAATCGGATCAAAATTAACGGAGTTGTGAAGCAAAACTGTCTCAATGTCATTTTTGGAAAATTTTCAATGTTCGAAAAATTAAGTTTTGAAGCTTCTAAGGTGCAAAACTGTTGAAACCAAATTAAAATCTTATCAATAGAGTAGAGAATTTAATTGGCTTTAATTAAAGTTTAATTACATTGAAACAGGATGAAAATTAATGGAGCTGTGAGGCGAAAACTGTCTCAATATCATTTTTGGTAAGTTTTCAATGTTCGATAAACTCAATTTTGAAGCTTCTCAGATGCATACTATTGGAACCAAATTAAAATCTTAATTGATGGGTTTGTAAAGAATTTAATTGGATTTAATTAGAGCTTAATTACATTAGAATCAGATGTAAATTAACAGAGCTTTAAGGCAAAAACTGTCTCAGTGTCCTTTTTGGAAAATTTTCAATGTTCGATAAATTCAATTTTGCAGCTTCTTAGGTGCATACTATTGCAACCAAATTGAAACCCTAATTAATGAGTTCGTAGAGAATTCAATTGGCTTTAGTTAGAGCTTAATTACATTGGAATCGGATGAAAATTAATGGAGCTTCCAGGCAAAAGCTCAGCGTCCTTTTGGGAAAATTTGCATAGTTCCATAAATTCAATTTTGAAGCTTTTCAGGTGCAAAACTGTTGGAACCAAATTAAAATTTTAATGAATGGGTTTGTAGAGAATTTAATTGGCTTCAGCTACAGTTTATTTACATTGAAATCAGATAGAAATTAACCGAGCTGTAAGGCAAAAACTGTCTCAATGTCATTTTTGGACAATTTTCAATGTTTGATAAATTCAATTTTGAAGCTTCTCAGCTGCAAAACTGTTGAAACTAAATTAAAATCTCAATTTACAGGTTTGTAGAGAATTTAATTGGCTTTAATTATAGCTTAATAACATTGGAATGGGATGAAAATTAAAGGAGCTGTGAGGCAAAAACTGTCTTAATGTCATTTTTGGCAAATTTTCAGTGTTCGATAAATTCAATTTTGAAGTTTGTCAGATGCATACCAAATCAAAATCTTAATTATTAGGCTTGTAGAGAATTTAATTTGCTTCAATTTGAGCGTAATAAGGTTGAAATCGGATGGAAAGGAATTTTGATGACAAGGAGAAAGCAACAAATTAGGTCTTATTAACATTTAAGGACACTAGACTGCAATTCAGCCAATTTTTTTTTTGTGCATAGCTGTCTCAGGTTTCTTCTTTGCTATATCTGTGCCATCAGCAAAGCAATATAGAAGTATATCCCCATCCTCAATAACAGATAAGATGCCATCCATATAAGGATTAAATAACAGTGGAGAAAGTACAATATTGTCAATAAATCCTAAATTTGAGTTGCTTAGCTCATAAACAAACATTGTTTAATATCTTTTCAATAGTATAAATTCGATGTTGAATTTAACTGATATCCTAAGTCTAAGATACCTAAATGTAATTTTTGAACCTAATAAGCCCAACACACAGAATAATGAGCATTCTTCAACATTATGTTGAAAATTGGAAGAAAGATTTAGGTGACATGGCCATAGTAAATAAATAAATACCAAAACCTCTAACCTTTGAGTACACAAATTTATCATCCATTGAATTTCCCGAAAAATTGGCACCCAGATTGGCATTTTGCATTGCACTAGCACCTGACTGGTTAAATTCGAATGTTTCTACGGCCTTCCAAGCTTCTTCAAACATATTATTCGGATTAACATTTTCTTGCCGGCCTTGGGCAGCCATCTGATGCCAAATCTCATCGTAGTTATGCTCCTGGAACATTTTGCCATCTTGAAGATACTGCTGTGCCCAAGCATCGTCTTGTATTTGATCTTTTATGGCTGAAGCAGGTATTGGAGGCAGAGCGGACCTTTGAGATTCAATTTCATGCATTTCCCTCATCAAGTCTAGAATATTGTCATTAATATTAACTTACGACTTTGGAGAAAGGACTTAAAAATACGTACCATCCATTCGAAAAGACTGTGGTACAGCTCTTGTCTCTTGCAAGAATTGTTCGACCAATTGATCAGAAGTACTGGGAAAAATTTGTCCATGGCTATCGGAAAATGTATGATCCTGTGTGATATGTGAGGTGAGTTTCGTCAGGGGGTTAACTTGTCCACATTCTGCATCTGTGAGTGGCCTGAAGGCCATTTTGATGAATATAACGTGCTGGATTAGATTGATAAATTCTGAGCCTTTGAGAGGAATTAATTATTAAAACTCCTAGAATTATCAGTGATAAATTAGATGACACTTGCACTTTGACACTGATCACTAATCAAAATTCAAAAACAAAATAATTCAACACAAACGAAATGGAAATCATGAAATGAAGGAAGTGAACAAATCAACAAAAGTTTTTTTTTGCATTTGCAAAGCTGACAGTACAATTTTCTTCTGTTGCTAGATTTTACCTTGAACATTAGCCATGTAGCAACAAAAATAGAGGGTTGCATATTGTAGCAACTTCTGTTCTGTTCTGGTTGGTTGCCATAGTGACAGTTCATGAATAGGGTTGTTCGGAGTTGTTCAGAATCAGTTCTGAATTGAATTACGCTTTACGTATCTGTTTGTTCGAACAATTGAGTTTTTAGTTAATTTTATTGGTGGAACCAGGGGTCGTATCTTCGAATAAACTCGCATACGATATTTGATACGATTTCGAATGCTCCCCATTTAATTTACATTGTTGTCAGTCAAATTTCGTGTACGAAATGTACTCGAATGGTTTCGAAAATCGCACCCGTAAAGAAAAAATGTTTTTTTACCTCTTTTTATACATTCTGATAAAAAAAGACACAAATACACTCAGTGTGCACTAATCCAAATTCGAATTTTCGACATCTTTGTCCAGATCATCGGTTTGTGAAATTGTTTTGTTGTTCTACTCATTCTTACTCCAACTCCCAGATTGCGGATTAGAAAAATGGGAAAAGGTATAATTATTTTATTACTTAGCCGCTTTCGGGTGCAAAGGGCGAAGCTTTAAGAACACTTCACACCACTCGAACGCTTGAAACCAAACGTGTCAAACTGTAGCTAAAGTACTTCGGAGTAAAGCCTAGTACTCATAACTGCGAAATTCGCATTTTTTTGACATTGCTTGGACAATTTGACGTTTGATACACGCATAAAACGTCAAATTATCAACGCAATGTCAAAAAAATGCGAATTTCGCAGTTATGAGTACTAGGCTTTACTCGGTAGCGCTCAAAGGGTGGACCCGAAAGCAGCTATTAGTTGTATTCCTTTCAAGAGTTTAAAAAGCTAGAGCTACTACTCGCTCCGGTGCTAGTCGACCCCGATTTGAAAGGAACAGATGCGCTGGCTTTCATGCATTCAAATGGTTTAATTCGGGCTTGAGTACTCAGGTGCGACAAACACTTTTCGAAAGGAATAAGCGCGTAAAGCCCCGGAGCTGTTCCGGAGCTCTTCCTAGGCGTGAAAGGAATACAACTATTTAAGCAGCACTTGCTGCACTCGAGCGCTCGTTTGTGTTTTTGCAATGAAGAATGAACTGATGAGCGTTCTTTTATGAAGTGCACATTTTCCAACAATGTTTGGTACATGTTCAACTCACACTTCTTGTTTTTAAAAAAGAGTGAGATAGAGCAACAACTGGTGAAAAAGGCTGTCTGCTCACTTAACAAATCGAGAACTATTTGTGTGGGTTTTATTTTCTGTTCTAAACAAATATCAATTGAACTGGTTACTCCACAAACCTGTAATATGTTGCACTCAGTTCAATGTAGTGCAACACTAACAGGCAAACCTGAGGTTTGTTTGTTTGTGTTGTTCGGGGCAGCATTTCCTTCTTTGGGGCGTTCGTTTGTGAGCGTTTTATATGGATTATCTGCCATAATCTGAAATATTACAGCTTAGTTCAAGTTAATGCGACACAAACAAACAAGCCTCCGAAGTTACTATTGTTCGAAACATTTTCTTTTGCATCTGCAATCCATCAGAACATCAGTTTGTTTGTTTGGGGCAGCACTTCCTGCTTCGGGGCGTTCGTTTGTGAGCGTTTTACATGGTTTATCTACCATAATCTGAAATATTACAGCTTAGTTCAAGTTAGTGCGACAGAAACAAACAAATCTATCCATTTCTCTCTTAAGTAGCGCGCACATTGCACTTTTTTCAAGTTTTGCCACTCCCCTTTTTCAAATTTCCCTCACTCCTGTGTTCTGAGTCACTCTCACTCTCAGCTCAGTCGGCGACAGTTTATTCTATGGTTGACAGTCGCAGAGTATAGACGCGAGAGTTCTCCTTCCCCCATTTCATTCCCATTCGCATTTGATAAATAAAAACAAATCATGGGTTGTTGTGATTCCAGAGTTAAAGATGATCGAACTCAAGAAAATACCGAAGAAAGAACTTGCACAGACGTTTTTTGGCTCGTCATCTACATCTTATTCTGGTTCTTGCTGGTAAGTTATATTAATAATTTGTGGGGGTCTTCAACAATAACACCTTTCTTGGGGTACACTTTGGGGGATGTTCAAATAATGCTTTTTTGTTGAAAATTTCGGTTTTTAATCGATTTACTTACTTTTTTATAAATTTTTATTTTTCAGGTAATTTTTTAAGCCATTTCTCCTATGTTTTCAGGGTTGGCAAACAATTTTCTCTACTTTTGATTGGTATTTTCATAATTGATAGTATTGATACAAAAATTCTCAGAAAAATCCTATTAGAATCTTCTAATATTCTTGAAGCGCCGGAATGTTCTAAAAGTTATCAGAAATTGACCAAATATTTTTAAGCTTCTAATTGAAATTCTAGCGGCTGAACATGTTTTAGAGTGTTCTAATATGTTGATGAAAGTTTTAAATTAGTTCTAAAGTGTCATGTATATTCAAGATATTCTGAAAGTTTCCACTTTTAGATTGTTTCCAAAAGTCCATATAATTTGTAGTGTTTTCTAGAGCATTCCAATATACTCCTGGAAATTTTAATTTGGATCTAAACCTAAACTTAGAGTATCTCAAGCTTTCTTAAATGTTCCCAAAAGTTTGGAAGTTTTCTGGTCCGTTCTAGAATGTTTCTGAAGTTCTAATTTGATTCTAAAGTGTTCTGTAGGGTTTTTCAATGTTCTTGAAAGTTCCAATTGTCTCAAACAAATGCAGGAAAATTGAAAATTTAATTAAGTTCGGAATGTTCTAGAAGCTATCAGAAATCTCCCAAATATTCTTAAGGGCTTTGTGGTTGTTCTACTTGAAATTCTCTGGTCTGTTCTAGAATGTCTCTCATATTCTGAATTGGTTCTAAAGTGTTCTGTAACGTTTTACAACATTCCTAAAGATTCCAATTTGTCTGAAACAAATGCAGGATGATTGAAAATTGAATTAAAAGTCTTCTGAAGCTTATCAAAGTTCTAAAGTGCTCTAGAGCGTCTCAAAATGCTTAAAAATGTTCCAAATTGGCACGAGCGCATTCTGAAGCTTTTCAAAATGCTTTCTAAAGTTTTCAATTGGTTGCTTAATGCTCTTGAAGCGCTCGAATGTTCTAGAAGTTATCAGAAATCTCTCAAATATTCTTAATTGCTTTCTGGTAGTTCTAATTGAAATTCTAAATAAGTTTGGAAGTGTTTTAGAGTGTTGTTTGTGGAAGTTCCAAGATGGTTAACCACAAATACAAATTATGTACATAGTTATGTGTAGCCTTTAAATCCCTTAATCAAGCCCTACATATTTTCATGGAGGCACCCAGATGTTAGATACATCTGCATGTGCCCCATTTACAACTAATCTTATACAGGGTGTTTGGTAGGTCGATGCATATATTTTGGGTGGTGATAGAGTAAGTCATTTAGAACCTATTTAGTCAAACTTACCTCAGTACCAAGTCTTATGGTTTTCACAATATGGCCGATTTAATTTTTTCTTCAAAAAATCTCACAGATCCTTTCTTGGGTGCTTCAATGCGATATTCAGAAATACCATCTCAATTATTTTTGGTTTGTATCTCAACATAATGTGTATTTCTTGTGGTAAATGCATTAACAATAAAATAAATCAAAAATGAACAATACAAGTGCCATTTTGAAGTCTCAAGAATCCCATTGCAAAATGAGTTTTTCAGAAAATGGGATGAAATGAAGGCAACCAAGGTTTTCAATTTAATTTAAAAATTGAATGAATACAGATTTCCAAAAATGAGTATTCAGGGAAAAAACTGGACTAGCCTTTTTTTGTCTTCTATTTACAAACAAAATGTTTACTTTTAGACTGAAATGAGTAAACAGTTTGGTAATGGCTAATTTTTGTGATAATTTGTGATGTTATTTCTGAATATCGCATTCAACAAAGGATTTGTTACAGTTTAAGAAAAAATTGAATCGGCCATATTTTGAAAACCATAAGACTTGGTACTAAGGTAAGTTTGACTAAATAGGTTCTAAATGACTTATGGCCAGTATTATAAAACACTGAACCGATGGTTGAGTTTCAACCTTCGGTTGAATCCTATCAATTTGCATGGAGTCAACCGAAAGTTGAAACTCAACCATCGGTTCAGTGTTTTATAATACCGGCCCTTACTCTATCACCTCCCAAAATATATGCATCGACCTACAAAACATTCTGTATACAGGGTGTCCGGAAAGTCAACGATAATACTGAAAGGGCTGATGCAGCAACTCATTAGCATCCAGAGAAACATAATATGACCTTAGTAAGAAATCAATGGTTTCCGAGATATTGTCACTTTAATAAAATTTGCTAAAATCATCCTTTTGGATCAGATTTTCGAGTGTCACTCTAAAATTTCCATTATTCTTAGGTTTTGAATTCAGTTTCGCAATGGTGAATGAACATTTCATTTGTCATAGACCAACATAACAAGTCAAAGTTAAAAACATTTACTAAAAAATCTTTTTAAAGTGAAGTATCATAAGTATTCACTTTAAAAAGATTTTTAAGTAAATGTTTTGAACTTCGACTTTGAACGTAGGTCTATGACAAATGAAATGTCTATTTACCATCGCAATACTGAATTCAGAATCTAAGAATAATGAAAATTTTAAGGTGACACTCGAAAATCTGATCCAAGTGGACGATTTTAGCGACTTTCATTAAAGTGACAATATCTCGAAAACCATTGATTTCTTACTAAGGTCATATATTATGTTTCTCTGGGTGCTAATGAGTTGCTGCATCAGCCCTTTCGGTATTATCGTTGACTTTCCAGACACCCTGTATACTATCAATAAATTTACAATTCACACACATCTCCCAAAGCCCCAATTACAATGTTACAACAATTATCTCAGCATAACATCAAAACACAAGGTTCACTATTTTCATACTTCACCTAACAAATCATAATTATTGAATATACTATATGTCTTGCATTTCCTTGCAAACACATTTTTCCTTGCTATTGCTTTTATATTGCAAGGTAGCATATTATATATTTTGGGTGCCAAATAGTCAAAGAACCTCAGGTTAATGCTCCTATGACTCACCAGAATACTAATATTTTTATTTTTTTTATTTCTTGTGTGATACTGGTGATTAACAATGTTTTTGCAAGGAAGCATCCATATCTTAATGATTCAATAAATGATTCATATATGATAACCGAGGTGTCGACCATTATGCTTACAAATTTCATTTAATAATTTATTTCATTTCATTTATTGACAACAAATTTTCATTCATAGTACCTTATGACTACTAATGCTTTATAAATTCACAATAATTTGAGTAAATGCACCTAGATGCTTGAAACATCTCTATGTGCATTGTGCTTTCACATTAATGTTGATAATTTTTTTTTTTTTTTACACCCATTAATTTTAACTATTAATTTTAACATTCATTAATTTCAACTAAACCTAAATATCAAAAAACAAAACCTAACCCACCCCAATGACCAGACAACAATCTAAAAAAGCCCTTCAAATGAAGTAGAATTTTGGAAAACCAATTGTGCACACAATTTTCGAAATTTTGTCTTGTTTTGACATCTGCGTACCTCCACTGGGAGTAAATTGTACATGTTAGGTCAGTAATAATTTATGTACTTCAAGTTAAGATTCCCGTTACTAAGAGGAATCGGCAAGTGATGTGTACAATGTACAATGATTTCCATATTTGGCAATCACTGATCAATGAATCTCATATATTACCATCCCAATAATGGCGACTGATTGCCAATGATTTTCAGATATTTTTGTATGATTACTAGCTGATTTCCATTTTTTCTGGGGATTCCTATATCATTCCCAATTGATCACCTGATTTCCTCGATGCTTTCTCAAAATCATCCAATTTCCAGCTGATTTCATTATGAAAACAATGTCTAATTGTTAAGCTTCGCATTGATATGACCAAAATAAACAGTCTTTTGTCTTATAAAAACACGTTCTCACTGAAAAATCGGCAACTTCTGTATTTGCAACTCTTCCAAAAGTTGGCAACTTTTATTCTCATGGTTGTCCACACCCACACCGATTTTATTTTTGGCATAAATAGTTGTTGAGCCCTAGATACCATTGCATGTCTACACTGCATGATATGGATCTACAATAATGGATATTTTTTTGATTTCACTAGGGTGTTCATCTGGATCAGAGACATCTTCAGTTAGGGTTTCACACGACAAACTAATTTCTGATTCTATCATCTCTGCTTCTCGCCCTGCCTAGTATTTATTCTACTTTCCCTTTTCAAGTTCTTTTTGCCTTGGATTCCCGACTTTTTCTTTCGTGTTTTTCTCAGGGACATTCCCATAGCTCTTAATATTGGATCGACAAACATCCCTGCTTCTCTGAAAAGAACCAAACCAAAAATTTTGAACCCTGAATAATCTCTTAATTGTAGCGAATTGCAATTACTAAACTCTGATGTGTTAAGAAATTCTGTGTCTTCTTTTGGCAAGTTAGATTCGAGAGAGGTTTCAAGATTCATGTCTCCATTTTCATGATCTACAACATTATCATACTTTAGGTCTGTTCTCACAGAAATCACAAACGAGTCAGAGCGAATTTCATTGGCTGAAAATAGTCAGAAAACTGGTTGTTGGCGATCTGCACCAATCAAAAACGCTCCGACTGTAGTAGTAGTAGTAGTAGTAGTCGTAGTAGACTGATTTGTGATTTCTGTGAGAACCAAGGTTAGAACTAACCTATTCTTCATCTTGTTCTTTTTCTTCTTCAAGTTCTAAACTTTTCTCTCTCTCGGGTTCAGTTGTTGGCTCAGTTATTGGGAAACTCGTTTGGATATCAAATTGTATAGCACTCAATGTTGCCACATGATTCTCAGCGATTGCCAGTGGATTCCTACGTGATTCCCATGGAGTCTTAGGAGATTCCTAGCGATTCCTAGGGACTCCCAAGTGACTTGCATGCATTCCTGATTGATTATTATGTGATTCCCAAAAAAAATGTACAATGATTTCCACTAGTGGTTGGTTTACCCCTCTACGATACCTAAGTTTTTTTTGTTCAAAATGTATTTCAAACAATAAAACCTGTAAATTAGTTTGCTAATTTTATTTGAAATATAGTCTATGTGTTCATGCCACTTTATGTGCCGGTCCTCAATGATACCCAAATACTTTATTTTCAGTACCTCGTTATTTTTTTCATTTTCAAGGGTAATATAAGACTAATCTGGTATATTGATACTCTCAAAGAAAAACCAATCTACCTAGTTTTTTTTTTTTAATTTAAAAAAAGTTGTTTGTGTCCAGCCAGTTTTTTACTCTAGTTAATCCATTCATCAATCATTCTGCTTTCAACATCACTCCAGTCCACCCCATCAAACACCAAGATGGTATCATCCGCAAAGGAAATTATTGTACTATCAATGTCCACTCCCAGAAGTGAATTCAAGTAGATGACAAATATTATCGGTCCCAGGACTGTGCCCTGAGGTACCCCAATCTTTATCTCCTGCTCAACACTGATTGTGCCATTTAGTTTAACAAGTTGACGCCGATCCTTTAAATGGCTTTCAAAAACCGCCTACGCGACCCCCCTGATCCCATAATGTTCAAGGGTACTTAGTAGCCTGTTGTGGGGGACCCTGTCAAAGGTCTTAGCCAGATCAATAAAGAAACCTGCACATTTCCTACCAGCGTTAAGGTTTTCCATTATTTTTGCTATAAATTTATATAATGCATCGTCAGCACTACAACCTGCCAAAAGATTGTTTCCAAAAATTCCATATTGAGATTTGTAAAGTGTTCCAAAAGCTTTCTAGTGTTCTGGTCTGTTCTAGAATGTATCTCAAATTCTGAATTGGTTCTAAATTGTCCAATTTATCTCAAACAAATGTAGGAGGATTAAGAATTGAATTGAAAGTCTTCTGGAGTAGGTATATCAAAGTTCTAAATTGCTCTAGAGCAGTGGTTCCCAAACTTTTTTCTTTTGCGCCTCCTTTCTGAAATCAAGAAGTGGTCGCGCCCCCTTTCTTCCCCCATTATACAAAAACATTTTTTTTTCTTTACTGTAACTCTGGTCTGATCTGGACTTTGGAAGAGGAGGAATGGGCATGATAGTGGGCAGCGAGCGTGCGCTGTAGCAATGATAGCATGGAAAAGCTGCTTTGGCTCAGGTATGCGCTGTTACCGGATTGTAGACATCTTTTTTTAAATTTTTACTGATTTTTTAATTCAAAGCCTAAAATTTGTATTAATTTTTTAGAAGATTTCGCAATTAAATTTTAAAAGTTAATGAGTAGGCGAGTAAGTAGGTTAACACTACACACACAATACAATGTAAAAAAGAAGAGATTTGATTTGGCGTTTTTTGTGAACAAAGCTATGTTTAATTAGATTGTTCTATGTTACATTACACTGTGTTGTATATATATTTTAAAACTATAAAGTATTCTGAATTTCAGTTAAGATTTTCTGAATAGCAAATGAGATTTTCTGAATTACATTTGAAAAATCTGAATTACCAATGGGGTTTTCTGAATTTCAGTTGCGATTTTCTAAATTACAGATGAGATTATCTGAATTTCATTCGAAAAATCTGAATTACAAGTGAGATTTTCTGAATTACATTTGAAAAATCTTAATTAAAAGTGAAATTTTCTGAATTACATTTCACATCTGTGGGTTGTTTTCAGAGTGTGTATGTCCCAAAAGCTTCTAGAAAGAGGAACAACTGATAGGTACTCTTAGATATTAATAGTAAGTTATTGTGTAAGATTCTGTTAAATGAGACTGAACTTCTGGAAGTTTTGAAGAGCTTGGACGAAAAAAAGGGTGCTGGCCCAGATGAAATCCCTGCCATCTTTGTAAAAAGATGCTCAGCGTCACTATGCACGCCCCTTACTCTGTTGTTTAATCAATCTCTTTCCACTGGAATTTTTCCAGATACATGGAAACCTCGATGGAAACTTTCAACTATTGTTCCAATATATAAAAATGGTCAAAAAACTATAGACCTATTAGTGAACTGTGCACATTCTCCAAGCTTTTTCAAAAACTTGTTTACCCTTATATTTTTAATTTTGTTGTAAGTGATATAATCCCGGAACGGTATGGTTTCCTTCAAAACAGAAGTTTAGAGTTGAATTTAATTGACTATTCACAATACATTTATGAATCCTCTAATTTGTTTTGCCAAGTTGATGTAATCCCACACAGATTTTAGTAAGGCATTTGACAAGATTTGTCATAATATCATCCTTGACAAGCTGGCGGAGATGGGAATCTGTGCTAATCTTCTTTGTTGGTTTGAGTCCTATTTACTGAATAGGTCACTGTTCGTGGCTCTGCTAGGGTTCTGTTCTGAAAGATTCTCTCCCTCTTCAGGAGTTCCGCAGGGTTCCCATCTTGGCCCGCTTTTGTTTGTTGTCTACATTAACAATATAAAGCATTGCTTTAAGCACTGCCTATTCCTTTGTTATGCCGATGATCTGAAAATCTTTTCCAGGATCAACTCTATTTTAGACTGTGAAAAACATTCAAAACAGTATCAACAACTTGGTAGAATTCTGTGACAGAAGTCAACTTAGAAAAATGCTCTACAATGTATTTTTATCTTGGATCGACGATTATTCATTATGACTAAAAGCTGGGAAATACTTCCTTGAATAAGGTTTCCCACATTAAAGATTTGGGTGTGCTATGCTATTTGATTCCAAAATGATATTCGATCTACACATTGACAAACTGGTGAATGAGTGTAACAGAATATTGAGCTTTATTAAAAGACAATGTGCTGGTTTTCATAACTCTGAGACCATAAAAACACTTTATTATTCATATGTTTTTAGTGAACTACAATTTGCCTCAGTCATATGAAATCCTAGATATAAAAATAAAATCGATAGATTGGAGAAAATACAAAATAATTTTTCAAGATTCCTATGCTATAAAACCAATTTCCATAGAGTAGATCATGATTACTCATTGGTTCGATCCCACTTTAGAATTTTAGAACTGGAGAAAAGACGAACTTTGGCAGATATCTTGACGTTATTTAAAATTGGTAATAATCTCTCTAGTTCTCCAGCGATTCTTTCAAAAATCCAATTTAATGTAGCTTCTCATAGGTTCAGAAACCCAGATTTATTTTATGTTCCATATGTAGAACAAATTACAATCAGAATGCACATTTGGTGAGAATGGTTAAGTTTGCTAAATTACATTGTACTGACTGTAACCTAGATTTATTCTTAACAAGTTTAATATCTATTTATTCATTGACGGGTCAAGCTTATCAAGCCCACTAAATCTTTTAAAAGGAATCTCAAGTTGAAGCTTTTAGGGTAGTTCAATCAATCAATCAATACATGCTTTATTTTAGTTGCTATTGATACCTATGTGATATTGTTTGTGATGTTTTGATGCAGGGCACCTCTTTTTGTTCTATTGTTATATACTGTATTTTCAATTTTAGCTAGATATTACTTTTAAATTTGTTAATTACCTATTGATATATTTTTATTATATTCTCGTTCAATGTAATATCAGGATAGTATTTTTGGACTTGTTCTGTTTGTTTCCTAAAGACTGTAATAAATAATTAATAAATAAATAAATGAATAAAAATCTGAATTACAATTGAAAAAGGTGTAGAGTGTAGTAGCTATTTTGAGAAAAGCTCCTTTTGATGTTCACTTTTGTATCTAAGAATTGTTCGAATAATACCTATAATGACGAATTTTCAAGGAATTTTATTTGGTTTAATATAAATAAGAAAAATGTTAATATTCATAGAATTTGGATTGATATTTGTCACTATGGTAGGAATGAGTTTTGTATGACTGGGTTTTTGACACATAAAGCACAAAGCCCACTGGGTTTTTGTCAATATCGATGGTGGGTTTGTGAAATGGTTTTTTTTTTGTGTATGCCAACCCTGTCTACTCGGCCACTAACCATAGACATAAAATTTATTTAATTTTTATTAACAAAAATAACATTCAACATATTGGCAAAAAAATAAAAATAAAATTATATAAAATTATGTTAAAATACTTGCTCTATGTAGAAAATTGGTTGATAATGGAGAGGAAAAATCAATACCAAATTGCCCTTTTTACCAAATCAACTTCACTTTTTCAATGAAGCTCAAAATATCAATTAAAACCAAAATTTTCAAATAAAATCGCACTATCTTGTCTATTACTCAAAGTTCCTACTTTGAAATGACTTTACTTAAATTCTTAGGTCATAATTGCTGCATTCTCATTCGTTTACGGCAATCCGATCAGAATTATAAATGGATATGACTCGTTTGGCAATACTTGCGGCACCAAGTACAACAAGCCCATGGGAAATTTGAATTTTTCTGGCTTGGACACCTCTGAGAGACCCTACTTGTTATTCTATGATGTTAAAAACTTGAAAGAAGGGCTGAAAATATGTGTTAAAGAATGTCCAAAAAAAACATTAAGTACAGTCTCTGATATTTACGATTATCATAAATTTTCTAAAGTGGATGTATGTAAATATGAATTCAATTATGAGTTCCTAAAACCTAACCAGAATGGCGAATTATTGGCAGCCCCATTAGGGCCTTGTCCTTCTCTACCAGTATATGAGGCGTAAGTTATACTTGAGCATATATTTTTGACTTTTTAACCAATTCAATCTTCAGCAAACCAGTATTGAACCGCTGTGTGCCAAAACCATTTAAAGAAGTTACTGAAGCTATTCTCAATAATTTTTACGACTTATTGAATGGTTGGGATACTATGGAGCAAATTTTAGGAGACCTCTATAATACATGGAAAGAAATACTAGGACTGGCTGTATTTGCACTTGGTGGGTTTATCTCAAAAAATATATTTTCTTTCTAAATAATACATTTGGTTTATATTTCAGTTGTTTCGTTGCTGACAATCACAATCCTGCACTGTTTGGCCCATATTATCTCGTATTTCATAATGTTTGGATTTGCTATAGCTGGTATTGGAGGAACTGCTTATTTGTGGTACACATACTTCGATATTAAAAATAGTTTGGACAAGACTGCACAGAACACTCTACTTTTAGAGTCTGTCCGCAATGAAACTGCTTTCTTTTGGTACTCGATTATCTCCACTGTTTTAACTGTGAGTAATTGTTTTTTGGCTATATGTAATATAATTTTAATTTGCTTTATTCATTTTCAGGCAATCATATTAACCATTGTAATATTTATGAGGAAACAAGTCGATTTTCTCGCAAATTTATTCAAAGAAACTTCCAAATGTATAATGCACCTGCCCGGATTGTTCCTCCAGCCTCTCTGTACCTTTGTAGTGCTGACAGTATTTTTCATGTTTTGGTTATTTGTGGTGGTAAGTTATTTGAAATATTTAATGTTTTTTTAGTTATTTAATCTTTTTTTAATTGAACAATGCAATGTACAGGTATCGGGTCTTCAAAAAAAAACCAATCAAAGATTGCTATGGTTTTTTAAACGTATGTCTTAGCAATATTTTTCTTTAAATTTGTCAGTGAACTTTAACATCAAAATGTTATGTCAAAAATCCTGAACAATAAAGAAACAATAATGCGACATACGTTTTCGTAATCAAAGCAATCTTTGATTGTTTTTTTTTTTGAAGACCCGATACAATCTATCATAACTGTCCTTAACTTTTTTATATAATGTTTGTCAAAAATGTAAAATAAAGTTTGTGAGGCTTTCGCGGCCCAGGTTTATTGATAAGGGGTTTTCATTCGGGCTAAGGAAGAAAAATGTAAAAGTTGGGAATATCTTTTTATTTTTTCAAGTCCAAAATTAGGTATCTTTTAACTTGTTTTTTCCATAAAGACCATATTATTATGATAAAGCGGAAAAAAAACTGAGAAATGTACCTAATCCATAAAGTTTAGAAATTTAAAATGCATAGGTATATAATTATATATTTTTTCAGTTTCTCTTGATGGTTCAAAAATCAATAATAATTGAAATCAATGTTTGAATGCCTGCAGATCTATTAATTTTTTTTTCAATTTACATGTTCTGCTAGCATTGAAAAACGTTAGGTAAATGGTTCAAAAATTGATAACATTTAATGTGTTTAATTCAGGTAACCGATGAATTTAAAGTTTTTGCCGAACCCACATCTAATGGGAAGTTGAAACTGGAAAGTGCAAATCGTTTTACTTGATCTCATCCTATTTAGATTTCACAGTCAATTTTGCATTTTGCAAAATGTTAATGGCAAGTTTAATAAATAATAATTACTCCAGACCCCTGAATTATTGCAATACCTACATTTATCTTGACATTTTTAATTAGGTACTAAATAATAATTTACGATTTTATTATCCGTGGTCTCGAAATAAATCAGAACCTTTCTAAGAAAGTCTGACTTTTGTTGTTTGTAATATTATATTTCTTCGTGTGCTTTTTCGGTCACACCAATTATATTGCTTTGCAGCTTTTGAACTAAAATATCCCACACACGGCGATAATGAATTGGGACCATTTCAAGACCACGTGCAAAATTTCATGTGAGTCAGGCATAAGCTCGTAAAAATCAGTCATAGGTAATAAAAAACCAGACTGTTTTTCAACAATGGGTAATTGGGAATAATTGAAATCGTGCCTTATCGCAAATTTCTCGTACTGATTCCTAGAACCACACGTGTTACTAATTATGCACGCTGATATGGTCTTATTACCAGCGGTGTACGCCTTGGTTCCTTTTGGCACTTTTGCGTTTTTAACTTTGTGAGAAAAACATTCTTGATTGTTTCTATAGGTCAGGAAAAAAATGTTTTATCCTAGTGAACACTAGATGACTAGATTTTTACTAAATCATACTCTGGGGTATTCTGTATCAAGAACATAATAAAACAAAATAACATAATCAAACTAAAAAAAAACATAAAATTTGATAAACCAAGCTTCAAACAAACGTTCTACAGAGGATACAAAGTTACAATCATGCTGGGAATCCGACGCCACTGCCAGCGGACCTGATCGCGAATTTTCAAGAAATTCGGTCCCTTGTGTGAAACAAAGGTTGAACCTTAGTAACCCTTTACAAGTTTTGTTTTATTTTTATTTATTTTTTTTTGGTAAGGCAACGGCTGCTTATTATGTCTTTTTTCGAAAAAAAATCTCCCCCTGAACGTTGTTTTGTTTTTGTTTTACCGGAACGTAACGTTTCCGCTACGTTTTACAAAAAAATACCTTGAAAGTAAATTAAAGGGGACTGAAGGCTCTACAATTTGTCTAGCCTTAGCATATGTCTATCCCCTACCCTTTAGCCGGGTGCAAAGTTGAACGCCCCTGGAAAAAAGATGTTTTATTTTTTTTGACTTTTGAAACAGGAAGGCGAATTAACCACAAACAATATTTTTAAATTTCGATCTTCTAGGAAATAAACTATGGGAATAAATTACGTTCTATTTTTTCAATGTTGGAGTTCAGTCACAATTACATAATGAATTCTTAAACTGCACTTGTGAAACATAAAGAAAAGTATTCTTTTTACTATGATGTAGTTTTAGATAGGGATTATAAAATTGGCTTGTTCTGGGAGAATGGAGGTTTTTTTAAGTTTTTTTTTGTCGCAGTATTGCCGAATCCTAAAATTTGATGAAGTTTAAGTTAACAGACATGCGATTTTTTCAAAATTTTTCTAATTTACAAAAATTTAAATTATAAAGTTTTTGGAAGAGGATGAATACCGACTGGAAAGAAGAGGGAGACTAAAAGAAATATGTATATTTACTTCGCACATCACATTACACAAAAATTTAATTTTAAATTGCCAAAATTATGCATTTGTAAAATAGTAAATTTATAAAAAAGTACATTTAATAAAAGGGCCCAATATTCAATATTCACTGCATAAAATATCAAATAATGGATTTTTCTTTTTTCATCAACAATTTGGAAAGGCAGAATGAATTATCTCTTTAATCAATCATCTACAGGGATTTATTGAGTTTCAGCCATTGGTGCTTCAAACATTCCGATGCGGTAGCTCTTTTGTTTACATCAAACTGCAACATTGGTAAAAGGAAAGCAGCAAACTCTTGGGCATCCCTCACGGACCAATCATATTTTTTCCGCAATTTATCTTCCAAACTTGAGGGATGTAATTGTTCGATATGACAAAGCTTGTTTTGCTTGTTGAATAATAGGTGGGACTTTGTGCCACTTTGGACAATTTTTTTTGGAATGTCTCCCAACAACTCTATAATTTGAGCCAAATGGTTTTCGTCCGGGTAAGTTTCTCCACATTCTAATGCAAATAAGTCGTGTCCAGTGGCTAGTTCGAATGTTAGGCAGGCGGTGCTCCAAATATCTGCTGAAGTATCATACTCGGCTCCAAGTAGAACTTCTAAAGATCTATATGGTCTAGTTTGGATGGTTTCATAAAGCGGTCCGCCAATTCTGCAAGCTAGTCCGAGGTCAGCAATTTTAACTTCCATTTCACTGTTAACAAAGGCTGGATTGAGTTCTGGCTTTTCATCACTGCTCCAACTTGTGGATGGGGAAGGAGAGTTAGAAGTATTCATAACTGATGGAGCGGCTTTTTTATTGTCTTCAATGGTGTCCATAATAAGTTTTAGTTGCCACTTGAAAGATGATATTCGTCTTTTATTCGCCCTTTTTATCTTCAGTGAACTCATTCTGCGTAGTGGTGCATTGGCTACCATGGAAGCGGGTAGTTTTATTCCGAATCGATATATTTTAGCAACTTCAGAAGCTAGTTTTGTATTATAATCTTCCTTCACGCATATGAGAAGATTCTCTGGTTTCAAATCCCCATGAACTATTTTACATTTAGAGTGTAAATATTCTAGACCTTCTAAAACTTGTTTCACTATTGTACGCACATTAGCTAATGGAAGGCCTCGGCCATTGGATTGTAATAATAATTTTGACAAATTACAGCCAGTGACTTCGAAGACTAGGCCAATGTGTTGTCCATTGACACCAGTAATTTTGAAATCATTTAGAAGTCGGACTGTTCTGTACCGGTTGGGATCTCGAGGATCAGCTCCATTAATGATTCTGAGAATTTTAATTTCTTCGTAAGCAATATTGGTATAAATTGAAGCGGATTTTAGAATTTTCAAAGCCACAAAATGTTTGTCTTTCTGATCCCAACAAAGCCAAACAGTAGAATAACTACCAAAGCCTAATTTTCTAATCACATAGTACCTTCCATGATATTGGTCTCCAATGTGGACGGGGTGATAGCCTCCCTTTCTATATTCGGCGCTCTCCTCTTGTTCTGAGGCTTGATCCAGAAAATTCGGGTACAGTAGCTGATTGTTCGAACTTTGAGACGATTCGCCTGAGAAATGTTTTCGATGTTCGCTCTTCGCCTCCATTCCTCTTTGTTTAGTTAGCCACAAATCAAAAATTTACGTGTAAACTCGAGATTTCTTACTTAGTGTAAAAAATTGATAAACATATAAAATGACAAAAATATAAAATGACAAAAACTACGGGTGTCAGTGTCATCAGAAAAATAAAAAGAGTGTTCCTAAATCAGCTCGCAGTTTTTCAGTAAAATCAACCCTGGCGAGGAGAAGAGTGTTTTGTAACAATAAATTTCACTTTTATTATTATTCCTATACATTCCTATTTTCAAAAATATCTGGAAAATACGAATACTTTTTGGAAATACAATGTGAACCGCACCATCTGTTATGAGCTGTGTGAAACTTTTATATTGTTTCTTTTATACATATCTGGATCATATTTTTTTAGTTCTAGATTGTTGAAGCTATCTTTGTCTTGCTGTTGAATTCTGAAATTGGTAATTTGTGCCTTAGGGCAATTTGTCGATTCACAAAAAACAAAAATATCTATTCTCTAGTGTAAACGAGAAAAATAAATTGTAATTGTTGTGAAATTTCTCTGAATTGATTAGCCAAAACCAAGTTTTATGGTAATTTTTGCTCCTTTTCTTCTTCTGGAAAAATTTCACAAAACATTTAAAAAGTCTCTTCAACAATGAACAAAATTAAGAAATGATAGAAGCTATCATCCACAAAGCCAGTTAAAGGGTGAATAGGATAAAGGAACTTAACGAACACATTGAACAGCATTCAAATTACAATAAAAGGAGCATAATCAAATTGAAGAAAAATTCAAGCATGATTCGTTCACACTATATACTCTAGAGCCTCAATAAAACTAAAAAGGGGACACAAGCCGGGAAAATCAGGGCCATGAGAAAAAAATTATCACTGTGGTTCAAGATTTCTATACAGAACTGTATAGTTCTAGAGCCCAGGGTAATCGGAAACGAACAGTGGAAAACCGAGGGCACTAAATCAGATTGAAGACAGGATTAGTCCATGCGAATATCAATTTGCCAGTGAAGTTCATCGAAACAGAAAAAGAAGGTTTGTTGCAGGGTGTCCAGAGATGGTAAAACACTGAAGTAATTTTGTTCTGGGGGAATAAGTTTTTTTTTCACAGTATTGAGGTACCGATTAGTGATTTAAAAGAAATTTTGTATGATTTTTTTGCATCTAAGTGAGAAAAAATTCTTTATTTCATTTTTGAGCCTGAGATCAATTCGCGATTTGTTCTCTTCGTTAACAAGACCCCCATTTTTGAGCCTGAGATCAATCGCGGTTTCTTCTATTTGATAAAAACATCCTACTCAATAAATCCTGAAAGTTTGAAGTCCGTCTGATTGCTTGAGGTATTTTTCACAATGTTCCATAGGTGATTTAATAGAAATTTTGTATGATTGAGAAAAGATTCATAATTCGATTTCTAAGCCTGAAATTCATTCACGATTTGTTCTGTTCATTGAAAAGACCCTACTCAATAAATCCTGAAAGTTTGAAGTCACTCTGATTGCTTGAAGTATTTTTCAGAAGCTCCCAAATGTGATTTAATAGAAATGTTGTTTGATTTTTTTGCATCTAAATAAGAAAAACATCATAATTCTATTTTTGAGCCTGAGATCAATCCGCGGTTTGTTCTGTTTGATAAAAAGACCCTACTCAATAAATCCTGAAAGTTTTAAGTCCTTCTGATGGCTTGAAGTATTTTTCATTTTTGTTTGCCAGTTGATGGTACCCTCTTCAATAATCTGCAATTTTTACGATGTGATTTCAAAGTAGAAAAATCAGGCTTTCTAACGATGACAAAATATACGGGGTGTTTCATTGAAAATAAGGCAGTTATTTTATTTCAAAAAATCGCATGTCTGCAAAACCAAATTTCAGCAAATTTTAGGATTTGGCAATACCTACTGCGAAAAAAAACTTCAAAAAATTCTTATTCTCCCAGAATAATCCGCTATATCTTTCCATTGCTTGTTGCAAGTTGCAATATTTAATGTTTCTATTTCACTGGTGTCCTTCCTCAAGGTAAGATGAGTATTCCTGCTTTATTTAATTCCCATGTAAAGTTTTTTAAATTTTAATCGATTCTTGTTACTTAAAAGTATCACTTTGTCACGTATCCAAATCTCAAAGAAAAAATTATTTTCGGATCTCTATTGAAGTTAATTTTTAGATCAGAAACTTTTCCTGGTAATATTTTTTCATAACTTCGGCGGCTTTAACCATTATAGTTTGCTTGTAGCTATGTCTCGCAACTTCGAGCTACCCTGGAACGAGCACCATTTCTGGGGTAAGAGTTGATGATAAAGGAACTACCCCAATTACTGCACCAACTGCAAACGCCAAAGTAATGAATTTATCATTTGTAGAAAAAATCAACAGTAAGTGAAAAACTCAAATTCTATTTGATCTACATATATAAATAAATCAATTTCAGATTTCCAAGTGGTCGAATATGTAGACGCCACATGGATAAAGGGGATGTGGTGGGTCTATTTTATTGGACTTATATGGACATCGGAATTTATAATGGCCTGTCAACAAATGGTGATTGCTGGTGCTGTGGCTCATTGGTTCTACAGACATAAATATGAGAGCAACAATCACATCTGTTATTCTATGGGAAAGCTACTAAAATATCACTTGGGATCCGTAGCTCTAGGATCATTGATCATTACCATTTTTAAAATTCCAAGATTGATTCTCATGTATTTACATGAAAGGTAATCGATTTGTTTCTCAAAAATTATACACTGATTTTGATTGGCACTTATGCAGCTTTTATAATGCATGTTCTTTTTTTCAGGTTTTCCCGTGGAAAGGAAAACGGGAACGAATGTGCCTCATGTAGTTTGAAATGTTGCATTTGTTGCTTTTACTGTTTGGAAAAATTTATTAGATACTTGAATCATAATGCTTACACTGTTATCGCCATCGATGGTTCAAATTTCTGTTATGCTGCTGCAACGGTAAGCTTTTTTTTTGGTACTATTATTAGTGGTGTACGAGGTGCTCGCAAAAATTGGAAAAAATCAAAATCCATTTTGCATTTTCGCCTAAACATAAACAAACTAAATTGAATTTCTCAGTAGTTATTTTCGCATTTTCGAGGGTAACGATTTCTACTAAGTGTCAAGTTTCAGAATATTTTCTAGGATAAAATAAAACCTAAATTTATTTTATTTTCAGGCCTTTGATGTTTTGAGCTCCCACGCACTCCAGGTTGCCACAATCAATAGCCTAGGAGATTTCATTCTTTTCCTAGGAAAATGTTTCGTCACCGCTGTAACTGGTATTGTGGGCCTGGCAATATTCAAGAGAAACCCTGAACTGACTTTTTACGCAGCACCTACATTGTTGGTTTGCGTATTTGCTTTCTTTGTCGCGCACTGTGTTTTGTCCCTTTATGAGGTAATTTCTATGACTCTAAATAATTATTTTATCTAATTTCATTTTTTCTAGATGGTCCTCGATACGGTTTATTTATGCATGTGTCAGAGTGGTGACGCCCCTGATGGGATCCAGATGCAAAATCTCGGCGTCACCAACAACGGGAACGTGCAACAAGAAGAGCCTGAATTGATGAACTGAAGTGATGAACTAGGTAACTAATTCAGACACTTCAAGTTTAAAGAATAACAGTATTGCATCAAAATTTAAAGGAGGCAAGATCTCTGTTCATGTGCCTCACAAAAATAGGAATAGAATTAGAAAAGCTATTTATAGTTTTTAAGTTTTTGTGTTAGGTTATTTGTTCAATTTCACAGATTAAGAGCCTTTGTTTAGGTAAGCAGGACCATATCCTTGAATCAGCCTCAATTCTAGCTGTTACTCGAATACAATTTTGATCATGAAAGACCAAATTGGCAATGACTGGAAATCATTTACTTTTTGTATTGTTACCAATATACCAAAATTATTTAAAGGATTTTTTTAGGAATAAGTAGTTTATAGTTTGTTAATGAATAGTCAGAGCTCAATCGGTTATATTGCATTAAGAGTGAGTTGCACAAACATATGCTAAGTGGAAGAATTCACAAAGTTTGTTCAATAATACTTGGGAAAAATTGTCCATGAAATGAGTAAATGGTTTGAGCAACTCCGTGGCTGTCCTGTCTCCAAAGACCTGAACATGCAAGGAAAGAAATTATCCATGATCCGATTAATCCCGTTTGAGTACATTATACATTGATGCAAATTATTTTTGAGGCATCCCGATGGGTTTTTCACCTAACAAAATTTGTACACTAATTAACAGTACTAACAGATATTTCCATGTATTAACAGATATTTCTATGTACCTAATAACAAGTTATTGCCAACTATTTCCATGTATTAACAAAATATTTCCACATATTGCCATGTATTTCCCTAGTATTATTACATATTACCAGGTATTGCCATGCTATTGACAGACTAAAATCAAATATTTGTTTTGCCAGAATTCTAGGTATTGACATATCCACCGGTATTTACATGTTATGAATGGGTATCAACCAATGACATTAACATATATTGCCTAGATATCTACAAGTATTGACATATATTACCTACATAAATAACAAGTAGGTATTGCATAGTACTGACACTATTGACATAGTATTTACCTGGTATTGACATATATTAACCCGTGATTTGTACACCGATTAACAAGGTGAAAAACCCCTCAAGGCCATACTCTTTGAAAAAATTGTTAAAATTGTTTTTAAAAATTTTCAAAGTCTTCTGCTGCATTAATGTCTCCAAAATTTCATGATCCCAAGACTAATCGATTTTCCACCTTCTTCTGCATTGATTTCAGACTTTGTAATTTCATTCAAAATTTCACCTACCAAAAGAATTTCATGATTTGCAATTTCCACTTCTGCATAAGGAAGATTTTCAAAACTTATAAGAATTATTGAATCCCCATCTTCATTTGGGCAATTTTCAGCATATGGAATTGAAACTTGTTCTACTACTACTTCTGGGAATATTTCAAAATCACAGTTTACAATGTTTGGGATTGCAACTTCTCTTAGATCATGGCATTTTCTTTTGAAGAATTGCTTAGAAGAGTTATTATACATTGAAATGTTAACTTCTTTTGCATTTACTTTGGAATTTTTAATTTCATTTCCACATCTTCCAAAACATCTTGAAATATTGCTTCCAATTATAAATTGAATGTTTTTTTTTTTATGTCTGACATTATATTTTTTTGGAGAATATTCTCTAGTATTGCTGGACAAGTTTCATCATCTTTGAATACAAATGCTGAAAGTTGATTATTATATTCGACAAATTCTTGTGGATAAAAATTGGATAAAAGCATATATTAGCTTAGGTTTGTGGAAAAGCAAGATCAGTTTGATAACAATTCCTAGAAATTTTATATCAAAGAACGAACATCGATTCAACACTGGTATTTTGTATTCTATAACATTTTTAAATTCTAATACTCACAATTGGCAGTTCCAACTCCCAAAACTTCAGTTTTGAATAAACCTAGTATCGTCCATTTTATTGTAGTCTGTATGTCATATTTTATTTTTTTTTTTACAGTAGGAGTTATTGATGAACATTGTGACCAGTAAGAGTGTCTTGAATTAAAAATGTGTACTTATATTTGATTAATATAACTGTTTATTTGAAAATTCAAGTATATTATAATTGGATCATATTAGAGTTGAAGCTGACATACAAGAATTGGTTCAGAAAATGAACTCCATATTTTAACTAAAATTAGATGTGCAAAAAAAAAGAAAATGTTACTTATTGGTCACATTGTTGAACTTAGTGTTACATATAAGGATCTGTAATAAACACAAATACAAAGGCGGTTCTCTCGGGTGCAATTTCCAACGTTTTGCTGCAATTTCTGTAGTAATACGTCAATACTGGGATACTCCTTTTTTTATATAATATTTTCTCTAACAATAATAACCTATCTCAATGAAAATCAAAATCTCCCAAATAACTAGTTGTTAAGTATGTATTGTTTTTTTAAGATTTTTTTTGAAGATTCGCATAATCTTTAACGCACTGAAACATTGTATTTTTGATAAGGATATTAATTATTATAATATTTTGCACTTTAATTCGTTGCTATTTACTGCTTAGATATAAGATTCCCGACTGTTGAAACAAGATGAGTAATCATTTCGCATTTGAATATGGAACCAACATCTTTCTCCGGCGTTACTTATTTTGCCAGTTGGGATATTTAAACTTTGATTTTTATTATATAATAATAAAATTATTTTTAAATATATTATTACTTCGACCAATGAGGTTTAAAATATACGCTTCTAATAAAATCTGTGTTTTATTTAATATGTATGTTTTCCAGCAATTAATTTCTGGCCCAGTTCAATTGTGATTGATATTTTTGCCAGAATTTTTCTATGGAATACAAGCTAACAACATTGAACTAGATGCAGGGGTATTTTTTGGGTTTAATCAATATATGTAAGATTTCTTTACTTAATCATGAGAAATCTTAATAGTTTGAGCCAAACATGATCTCTTTCTTAGAATGTCAACAAACATTTATGAAATTCCTTAACAGTGATTGCAAAATGCAACTTAGACGGTATAGGTATGAGTGAGGCGTCAAAGAGACTGGCTTCAGTCCGAGTCAGAAACAGGAAAATACCAGTGGCGTACACTCGATCGACCTACGAATGGAGAACCATACGAAAATATACAAAACTGTATGATTATTCAAAAACTGTACATAGGATCGAATTCATACTAACATAGAAAGGTTGAGGGAATAGTCAGAAATAGGAAAGTACCTGTGGCGTAGACTCGATCGACCTACGAACGAATGGAGAACCATACGAAAATATACAAAACTGTATGATTATTCAAAAACTATATCTACATAGGAAACTGTATGATTGTTCAAAAATATGGGATTGAATTCATACTAACATGGAAAGGTTGAGTATGATGAAAAGATGTATGTTTGTGTGTTCATAATAATAATACTAGCATGCTCTGCAGTCTTTAATATCACAGTACCAGTAAAACTTAATTTTAAAAAGTAAATTGTTTTGGTGCTGCTTCAATTTGTGGCTAGAAATCAAGGCCAAGTTGATGCATGTTGATGAATGATTCACAGAAAAAAAGGCGAGTGAAAATTGTGCATGGTTTAACTTGAAGTCATGAAACTAAATATCAAAAACTAAAAACTCATTTATTTTTTATTTTTCAAATCATAAGCTTTCTTAACAGGATTCTCCTTAAATATATCATCCAAAGGCTTCAGTTTGTAGCTATCACCTTCTGGTTTAGTTGCTTCAAAGTTAGCTTTTTGTTGAACTCTATTCACATATTTATTTTTAGCTTCCAGTCGAACTTGTTGCCTATATCTGGCAGGACTCATGTAATGTGGATTTTCCCACAGTGGAACTCCACCAAAACTACCAGAGAAGATTTTCACCTAAAAACATTTTATTTTTGCCTTGTCAATTATCACATATTTTTGCTTACTGGATTTAAGACAAATCTGGGCCCAATTTCAGCCAAAGCCCCATCTTCAGACAAAATCTGGAAGTTTCTGAACCATATCCTGTTGTCTAGAATTGCGAAAGTATAAACATGGTCGAAAAACGGTTGACTTTTGGGGTGATGCTTGGGCACCCCAAATATCTGTGTTAAAATTTCTTTTAACAAATTGTAATAGGGCTCTTTTTCAAAGCTGGGGTCAAAACTCAGAAGTGGCCTCGATCCTCTCAGACAATTACCCGTCAGTTTTAATTCTTCCATAGTAGAAACTAAAAAAATTGATTAGGAAAAGTTGTGTAAGAAGTTATTTTTACCATTTTCTACTAAAAACTTCACACTAGGGCCATTAGGAACATTTGACATCCACATATACAAATCTTGTTTTTTCCTTCCCTCAAACAAGATGGCTTTACTGCAATTTTTCATTTCGCACATTTCATTGATAACGCTCAATGTTTTCGATCGTTCCATCTTCGATTCCGGTTTGTGGTGAGGCATGAGTTTTTTCAGATCTTCCATTAAATGTCTGTCTCTGTGGTTGATTCCTCTTGATGCAAATACAAGGACTCTTTGCCTGTTCACCCATTTTTTCTATGGAAATAAAAAAGGATAAATATCAACATTCGTAAAGTAACAATTAGGATTAAGTTAGAAGATAATATGGAAATGTTGAGTGATAAACGTATTTTAGGGCCATGCTAAAGCTCAGCAGCTTTCTCCAGAATCATTCAAAATAAAATCAGTTTACATACCTTTTTTTCTATAGGTTTGTCAGAATATCGGATAGCTGGCAGAGGTACAGGTTCGGTGTCAGCTTCTTCCATTGTAGAACGTTTTCTTTTTAAATTTTTCTTCGTTTTCATCATTATCTCCAAGGAAGGGATATTTGAAAAATGTTTTAAATAAGAAAAATTGTTAAGCACATGTAGGATGTCCTAAGAAATATTCGTTTGTCAGTAAATAAAAAAATCTAACCTCACTTTTGTAATGCATGACACGGTACTGGTAGAGCTGCATGGCTGAATCTAGAGTGTTCGGAACCGATTAAAAGCAGCTCTGATTTGCTTTTTGCCAATTTTGACTAGTTGTATTCCTTTCACACCTAGGAGGAGCTCCGGAACAGCTCCGGGGCTTCACGCGTTCATTCCTTTCGAAAAATGTTTCTTTGGTTTCACCACGCATCTGTTCCCTGCAAATCGGGGGGCTACTAAACACTGGAGTGAGTGTTTCAAACTATTGAAAACCGTCCCGAAACGGATTTCGAACGTATACGAATTTCGATTTCGAGGAACAAATTTCCGGTTTTGCGCAGAACCGTGATGGTAAATTGTTGGGTTTTCTGCTTCGTTGGAATAGTTTCTGACTTTGTGAAGTATGGCAACACAGCTTTTTTGTTGAAATGTATGGAAAGGGTTTCGTATTTTAGAACAGGGTTCAAAAATAACTTGTTTTAGTTCGAAATTTGGTAGGGTTCTGGGATTGCCCAGAACTGCTTGCGCACAAAAAAGAATGGAGGACTGTTCTAATACTAGTTTAACCGATTCGGAACCAAAAAAACCAAAACAAGATACAAATCACAAAATTCCAAAAGAGTTCCTCCTTCAGAGCAAGAACTGAGAGAACCGTTTTAGAACAGTCCAAGATTTGTTCTTACAATAGTTCTAAATAATCCAAAACGGTGTCAGTACAGTTCTATTACGGTTCTGAAAAAACAAAAACGCTTTTTATAACATGCGCATGTGCAGAATGATTACGAACTAGCTCTGAGTGAAACCAAAACACGCTATCATGTACGTTTTCCTACTTGGGTCATCATTCCATCTTTCTTTATGCACTGAACGTATGTCCTAAATTGGTCCGGCAATAAATTCGAATTTGACATGAATCATCGATTGGTGTCAATGTCAAAATATCTATATCAAAATATAAATATAAACAGATTTTTTTTATTTGTTGGTTTGTGTTTTACTTTTTACGCTTGAAATGGTGGTTTCCGTTTCTATAGTTTCTCACATATTTGTAGCGTGTTGCAGATGCTTCAGAAATTTCTTTAAGCACTGCCCAAAAATAAGTCTCTAGGGGGATTGAAACAGATGAAGACTATAGAGTGAAAGTTAGGGCTGGTCATGCTGCAACACAAAAAACTCCTCTTTGTGAAATACACTGGCATAGCATTAGAACAGGAGTTTATGCTATTTATGCAGCAGATAGGAATTTAATTTCTGAAGGCATATTTTTTATTATTACCATTCATATTATCATTGTTTTCATTAGGTGAAGTGAGCAAACAACACTGAAAACGCTCCAAAAAAAACTGCTTGATATTGATAATATTCAGGTATCAATAGGTTCTTTATGTGCTGCCTTGAAAAAAATTGAGATTTAAATGGAGAACATGCAGAATTTCTAATAGAAAATATTTAATGGAGCAGCCGTCCATCGTACAAAAAAAGACTAGTTTCGGAAAAAATCTGTTGAAGGAGTTCGATACATAATTCTACATGCTGGCTGTGAAGATGGTTTTATCCAGAATACTGGTCTTATTTTCAAGTCAGGCAGTAAATCCGGGGATTATCATGATTCCATGAATTCTGAAAACTTAGAAAGGTGATGAAAATTATTTATATACATAGTATTTTGTATTTTTGAGATTTCCGCAGAAATTTACTCAATGAAGTAGTAAGAAGGTTGGAATAGTCTTTTACCTATCTTCTCAATACCTATATTTGCGGCCAACATTAGAGTGAGAACAGGAGAGATCCGTGAGTATTGATGTGAGTCGAGAATATTCCCATGCGAATATTCGCGAACATTGGGAAATTTCCGAGAATATTCGACGATAAAAAATGGAAACGTTCTCCTGAATGAGAATATTCCCGGAAACTTTCAATCAAAAACTCTAGAAAGAATATTTCCGACAACTTTCGAAAATATTTCCAAGAACTTTCCAGGAGAATTTTATAAAAATGCAAGATTATTGCAAATACAAGATCTCAGTGACATCATTTCATTTTATGTGGATGACGTAGCCGAGTCCAACTGTCTTTACGGAAACGCTGATCTGATTTACCCCATCACCAGTTGATGTACCTACAGCCCTACAGTTTGTCGTTTTTTAGCCTTATTCAATTGTCCATAAAAGTGTTTTTACTACATAGTTTAATTTTTAGCTGATCTTACAGCAAAAAATAGGTGTTTTTCTTGGTTTATAGTCTATAGTCGGTACACTATAAACAATAATAATAGGTAAATAAAGCTTACTACGATTTGTTTGATTTAGCTATAAATAAAAAAAAAAAAAACAATATATATATATATAATAGATCTTTATTGAACGAATACAGTTCAAAAGGCCATTGACTGAGGTCCTTCAGCCTATGAGTTAACAAAAATCATGGATATAAAATATCTTTGTTCACAATATTAAGTATTTGTTACAAAAAAAAAATATATATATATGAAAAACGATACAATAATACTTATAGCAAATATGTTTAGTTAGTTTTCGGATAGTTTTTCCCATATTGTTCTCTCAGGGTGTTGGTATCTTGCTCTTTCTGGTAGTCTTCTGATGCAGTATGGTTCAATTTTGGCTATATTGTCTGGCTTCTGCTTGAATTTTTGATTTAGTTGACTAATGCGTTGCTGAATTGGAAGTATGTGTGTTGTCAGATACAGAAGTTGGTTAGGCGGGTTGTGCAGTGGATTGTTGGGATGTCTTAGTTTTGTGACAGCTCGAAGAGAAGATGTTTCTGCAACTTGTAATTTCTTCCATGCCGATGTTTTGAGGTTTTGGAAGATTACATGTCCGTATTCAATAAGTGGGCGACAAATCATTTTGTAGATTCTACATTTTGTATGCAATTTTATTCCGTCATTCTTCCATGATAAGCATTTAAAGTGCCTGGCTCTGGCTATAGTCTTTCTCTTGGTTTCTTGTGTATGTTTATTGAAATTAATTTTGTTGTCTAAACGGATTCCTAAATATTTAATGGATTGCTGTGGATGTAATTGGTGGTTGAATAATTGTATATATGGTGAGTTGTAGTTGGGAGTGTGGTTGAAAAGAATAAAATGAGATTTCATCGGGTTGGGTTGCAGTCGCCACTTGCAAAACCATTGCATCGTTGAGTTGCATAGATCTTGTAACTTGCTTGTGGTTGTTCTAATAGAGTTGCCATGAGCAATAAGTGCAGTGTCATCTGCATATTGTAATATGTAGTTGTCCATGTTAAAATGTTGTGTGTTTTGATCATATATGTCTGCACAGTAAATATTGTATAGCAATGGTGAAAGAGGTGAGCCTTGTGGGAGTCCTTGTTCTGGAATAAATTCATAAGATGTTTTATTTGCGATTTTAACTTTCAATTTCCTGTCCTTCAACAGACAGGCCACGGACATGAGTAGAAACAGGGGGCAGTTACATTGGTTGAGTTTGAACAATAAACCCCTGAGCCATACGCTATCAAAGGCCTTGTGGATGTCTAGGAAAATGGCGGCTGTTTTTCTTCCATTTAATCTTGTTGTTTCAATATTATTGGTTAATATAGTTAGGGGGTGTATTGTAGAACATTTGTTTCTGAAGCCGAATTGATATGGGGGAATCCTGTTTCCAATCTCTTGTTCAAGCTTGTTTTTGATTATTTTTCCAATATTTTTTCCTAATACAAGCAGTAAACCCAAAAACCAAAAACAATATTTCCTTAAGTTCCCAAACAAAAGTTTCCAATATTCCCGGAAAGTTTCCAAGAATGTTCGCGGCTTTTGAATGTTTCGGGAATTTTACATCACTATCCGTGAGACTTTCGTGCCCTTACTAGCGCTATCTCACTCAGGGTTAGAGTGAGGGATATAGGAGATCCAATAGATTTTTTGCCCTTACTAGCACTATCTCATTGTGGAATCATGAATGACGCAAAGCCCATTCCAAACCTTTCTACTTCATTGAATTTACTGCATCATATTTTTCATTAATCTTTAAAAAACCTAATTAATTTCTTCTTGTTTTGAAAGATGGTTCAGTAAACAATCATTGCCAAATCTAAGTGAACCTTCATTGATAATGATGGATAATGCAGTATATTACTGTGGGCTTGGAAGATCAAATAATATGGGATATAGTACTATACTTACTTACCCCAAAAAAGATATAGGTAAGGAATTTGAGTCGAGAAAATGTATTATGAGAGATTTATTTATGTGATCGTTTCAGAATGGACGAGTTAGCCCTGGAAGTATTTAGACTGAATATGTCCAGTTGCAAATCTGGAGAATAATGGTGATTTAAAATTTTGTATTTCTCAATGAAGTCCCCTCTCTTTCATTTAGCTTTTAGGGTTGTTATGTTGTATCTCATTAGTCTTTCTTCGTATGAGAGATTTCTGATTTCAGGGGAGAGTTTTGTCACTCTAAGCTGGACTCTTTCGAAGATCTCAATGTCCTTAACCAGGTATGGGCTTTAAGCCAAATGTGCGAACTCCAATTTAGGTCTGATATATTATGTTTTATATATTTTGCTAATTATGGGGATTGATCTGTCACTAAAAGCTTTCTGTATGAGGTATACAAAAGAGTTTGTCCTGTTGATAATTGAAGAAATATCGGCTTCCCATTTTGGGTGATTTGAGATAATGACGCCCAGATCTTTCTGCTCAGTGACAGCCTTCATGGAAGTGTCGTTTAAGCTGCAAGGTATATATGTTTGGATTGTTAGAGCCAATGTGCAGTACAGTGCACTTGTCGGGGTTGAGTGTTCTGCCATTCGCTAATCCATTTCTCGAGTGTTTTCAGGTCATCTAAAAGGTTGTGATCTCGGTTGTGATTCTCCAAGCACAGATTGCAGTATATTTTTTTGTCATCAGCATAAAAAATGATATTTGTCTTTATGAGAGAATGAATATTGCTGATGTATACGGTAAACAGCAGTGGCACCAACACCGATCCCTGTGGCACCCCACTAAGGCCACTAAGGACTTTGTATTCATCAGAGTAATGCCCATTTGCTCTCACTTGAAAGGTTCGGTTTTGTAGGAAACTGCCTATCCATCCAAGGAGTTCACCCCTGATTCCAAAGTGTTGCAGTTTGAATAATAACCTCTTGAATGCCACTTTATCAAATGCCTTCTTATAGTCTAGGTACAGTACATCCAGTAGGTTGGTTGTGGTAGATCGTTGGGGGAGAAATCAGTGTTGGGTGGGTGGTGGTGGTATAGTCTTGTTTTTAACAAGAAAAGATGTCACTTCCTGAACTATTATTTTTCCATGATCTTGCAGAGGTGGAAAATTTACTAGGTTCTCTCTGGTGTATACCTTCACAAAGTGATCCGCGAATGTGTTAGCTGTCTTCTGAGGATCAGAGATAATCACTCTTGTGATTGGTTCTTTGAGCACAAGCTCGGATGCGTTGCTGTTTAATGTTTGCTTAACATACGTGTAAAACTGTTTCTTGTCTCTGTTGTCCAAGAGACCAATTTCATATTCTATCCTGGCTGCCCTGATTGTATTCTTTAAGCTTTTATTTTGAGTTCTGTACAAATTGTAATTATCTGCCGTTTTGTTCTTGGTTGGTGTATTTATCCCAAAGTGTTCGTTTTCTCTTGATTGCTCTAAATATTGCATCATTTAACTATGGTTTTTTATGATTCACAAGCTTAGGTTTGAGTGGGATATAGGTTTCAATGGTTTCCTTCACTATGCCCTCAAATTCACTGAATTCCATATTGTCAGTATTCGTGCTTGCAAGCCTGTTATTAATATAGACATTGATGCTGTCTACCTTTCAAACTTACGTTTAAGTACTTTCCTAGTTGGCCATTGCCCAAATCTCAACTGTGCAATGGCTGTGATTACTGCATGGTCGCTCAGCCCCAATAGTGAGTGATGTTCAATATTTGAGATCATTTTTTTTTTATCATTATTGAGCGCCCCCAAAACCTTGTGTTTCCTGTGACTAGCTGTCTACAATTCCATTCCTTATAGGCATCAATAAAATCCACAGCGTTAACATTGTTTTCTTTCAGTGTAAGACTTTTCCAGACAATCTCAGGGAAGTTAGGACTCCCCAGATAACAGCGTCTATGTTTTCCTCAAATGTTTTTTTGAGAGTGTGCAGAAGCCTCCTGTTCTGTGGTTTATGTTCGCGCAAGTTTTTTGCCCGTTGCACGTTCATCCCTGAACATAATTATGATATCCAGGTAGGCATATGAGTGAGTCCGGGATTCCTTTGTGGAACCATGTCTTGGTAACCAGAATGGAAGTCGGGTTCTTTCTGAGCACAGCTGTCTGAAATTTTATTGTTTAGTGAGTTGGCATTTGTATAGTAAAATATAACTGCAGACATTATTGGGAGTTTTTTGGCCGCTGTTGGCCGCCTTCAGCATTTGCCATGGCCTCTCTGGATTTGACACCCTTCGCTGTTATCTCCTCAAGTTCTTGCATAACCTTGCCTAAGTAGGCTCTTTGTGCTTTAGTTTGGTCATATTTTAAATATTTTCCTGTTCCAGCCAGTATACCCTTGAATCTGAGGACGGACAACGCATTTACTTCCGTCACAGCTTCTTCCGTATTGAAAATCACTTTGACTGGCCTAATTTTTCCTGGTGTGAATTGGCCAAGCCGAAGTGTTTTAATATCCGCGAGAGGTGTATTAGGGTTCACCGACTTCCTGAGATCTCCCACTGCTTTTATTTCCTTCTCCGACCTGCCTTCTCTTGTATCTGCTCCCACTTTCATTAAGTCCAAACTCACTGCCAGTTTAATGGGATTGAGATGGTCTGGTCAGAATGCAAACGGTAGTATAATGCCAAAATAGCTGCAATCAATCCTGTTACAGAGAATGCTACAGTAGGTCTATGAAATGAAGCACTATCACATTAAAATAAATGCCTAAATAGCCATATAATTGTAGATTGTTCATAGATAAAAAGACTTTGTTTTTAGGTGACTCCTGAAAAATGGAAAAACTACATAAGGCACACAAACAAGCTGATAAATGAAACTTGGGAAACGGAGAAATTAATAGATGCATTCAACATTCTGCCAGCCATTATAGACTCTGAAGATTTTGACTTATCAGATAAAGACTAAAATAGTTTCATCGGTGTAAATAGCTTACTATTGTTAACATAGTATTATATTATTATAGTATATCTGCTTTCTCCAATAACTGTGTTTTTTTTAAGTAATATTTTTTCAGGTATTTGAATAGATATACTATTAGATATTTACTATACAAGTGAATTAAGAGCATCATTAAGATACGAGCATGGATGTTGTAACCACACAAGTATCTTAATAGGGTTAACTCACATGTATTATACAATATTTTATCTGAGCTTAACTCTAAAAACACAATGAGTGCAAAATAAAGGTATTAAAACAAAAAAGGTACCTACCTTGTCATCTAAAGAAAGAGTGCGGTAATGAAAATGCGTGAGTTAAGAAGCGCTTAACTCACGCATTATCTATTATCTACGCCAGTGAGTTGAGAAGCTCTTAACTCAGCATGCATTTTGAGTGAGTTGAGAGCAACGAAAAATAGAAACGAAATTGCATATTATGGTAGGTACTATCCCAGGCCCAGCTAGGTAGAAAGAGTAGGATCAGACACCAATAATAGTCAATAAACATTGGTGGATTATTTACTTAACGAAATAAAACAACTTGAATAATACATTAAATTTATCAAAAATTATATTTTTCATGACCAGAGGCGCATGGGGACACCGGGAAGAGATTTCCCCAATGTCTAAAATAACTTTTGAATAACAAAGTGTCATTTTAGGTGAAGGGGCTTAAATGAATAATTACCTATAATCATTGCAAAAATTGGGCTGTTGCCCGTTGAAACTGTTAAATAAATCAATAAGTTATTTAGAGAAGCTCCTTCACAAAAAACAATTAAAACAATTTTTTTTTTAAAAAGAAACACTTGGGCAAATAACTTTGCTCAAAAACTCTTATTTGGAGTCTAACAGCATTTTAAAATAAGAAACTGTCACATTAGTAATTATATTACATTTTAATATGTGATAATAAATCATTTCAGAAATACATAATAAAGTTGTAAAATAAGTTATATAAAGAAAACAAATATATATGTTTGGTTATTCCGGGTGTATATGTATATTGTTCATGCAATAGATCTTTGCGTACACGTGGCGAACTTTAATGACGTGCAAAGATCCATTGCTCGAACTATAAAGTGTAGTTTATATAAATGCGAATAACTACTAATTGCAGAGACCACTCCTATTGGTCAAGAAAAGTGAGATCTGTCAGAACGGGAAAATTGCTCTGGTATTCTTTTCTGTTGTCTTGTAATTCATTGTGTTTTTTTTTATTGCAATATTTTTTATTGTTGTTTGAAATATTTTTCCCAAAAATCTTATTCTTGGACTAAATTATATACTCCGTGGTCCCTAACGTTCCAATAGTTCTTCAGCTTCTTCCATTATTCTCCTTTTTCAAAAATAAATATACGTTGGCGTGCATTTGAAGCCAAAGACATTATGAATTTTTCTCTTCGCTTCTATAATATAACATTTTTTTGGAATGGCACCTTCTAACAAACACAAAGAAGCAATAAAAACAATTATTTAAGGCTATAACCAAAAAAAGAGTAGTCCCAACACTCCCGAGTGGCACCAAAAAATAAAGTGAATGATTGCAAAATCCGTTTCTATATGGAAGGGCTTGAAAAGGCCGATTTTTCCAAAACGAAATTCGCAATTCGCATCTATATGAACTACGCTTGAGTAGGTATAGCATAAATACAATTTTCCAAATCCAAAGTTTAAAAACTTCCTCAGCTTAGTGTGGAGGTACCTAACAAGCCTAAAATAGAATAAAGATACATTAGTAAATATATTTTTGAAAGTACATACCTATATAAAAAGATTAAAAGAATAAAATATGTAATAGAATGGACACACCAAATCTATCGGGTCTTCAAAAAAAAAAAACAATTAAAGATTGCTATGGTTTTGTAAACGTATGTCTTAGCAATATTTTTCTTTCATTTTGTCAATGAACTTTAATGTCAAAATGTCTTGTCAAAAGTCCTGACCAATAATAAAAAAAAATAATGCGACATACGTTTTCGTAAGCAAAGCAATCTTCGATTGTTTTTTTTTTTGAAGACCCGATATAACAGTAGACCATAATTGATTATCATTTCTATGCTTAAAACTTGAAAATGTAATTTTTGTAAGTACTATCTGGAAAATATTTGTCACACCATCAAGAGCCCTTTGTGAATTAGATCCAAATCGATAACACTGGTTATTATCTGTGTGTGCTTTGGAGGACTTTGAAGAAAGTCACAAGTGAGCCCAAATACCACTTGCTATTTGGGCTCACATTTATAATAATAATTTTTTTTTGCTCAGCACAGAACAATAATACAATATAAACTACAAAAGGACTTAACTAATACAATAACAACTATTTATCATGAGATTTTAATCATAATGGCATTAAAGTTGTTATCTCAATATTGTTTTTGATTCGCTTGTGTTGCACTGACAAGAACCAGTCTGTATCTAGCAAATTATCCAATAAATAGGAACTCAATTCTCTCTTCAATGCCTTACAAAGCACAATCACGTTTTGCAAATTTCTGGCACTTAGAAAATTATACAATACAACCTCAATCTGGAAAATGTTCCGGTTAGAAATTTGAATCAATTATGCTTTGCATAATTTCCATCCCAATTTTCAAAAATAATTTTTGTCCTTTACTTACCATTAGAAGTCAACAATTGGTATAAATGCGAATTTGTATTTTCCAGTTCTCCTTCGTCTATTGACAAATGTAAATATTTCGAATCTTCATCAATCAATCTATCAATCACAGCCTTAGTTATATCAGTCATATTGCCGTCAGTGGTATATTGATTTTGTAGTACATCTGAAAACTCGTCATTTTGATTGATCAAGTATGCCGGCGGTTCTACATCTTTGGTAATAGGCATGAAATTAATAATTTGCTCCGGAAGTTTTCCCAAAGGACTCTCAGGAATACCGTCGAGGGTCGCAGAATCGATTTCTTTGAAATCTATCATAGGAACTTTTTGTGCAGAAAGGTTTTCTTCTGAAGGGTGCGCTTTTCTTACGTGCTGTAACAATTTACTTTTGCTCGCGTATTGTTTGTGACACCACTCACATTTTTTTGGACGAGTTGTTACACTTGCTGTAGTTGAAAAGGTTGCAGCCGAAACTGCAGGCGGTGGTCCAGTAACTTTCTGACTAAAATACAAATATAGGATTCAACATGCTTATAGATTACCTAGAAAGTACTGACGGTTGAGCGTTAGAGAAATGTAGAATTAATCCTCAAGAATTTGGATTAGTTGATTTAAAACATACAAAAAACTTTTACTGCACTCTTAACTAAACTTATTAATACTATTTTCAACTTACTTTTTATTAACTGGTAAGGCAGCTCCAGGATGGAACTTCAATATGTGAATTCTCCTCTTGGAACTGCTCTTATATACTTTATCACAGTATTGACAATAATAATCTCGTGTTGTTTGAAGTATGGGCAAGTTGAGTTCAGGAACAGAATCTGGTGTTATATCAGGATGACGTTTGACTAGATGATTCACTAGCATGCCTAGACGACAAATAATTGCTTATAATTAGTAAAATTTGATGAAAAGAACCTACCTCTTCTTTTAAAGCCAACAAGACATTTATAGCATTTATAAATAAATCTATGAAAATCAGCGGGTTCTTTTAAATTAACTGTTACAGAATTTCGAACTCTAGGTATTCTAGGTACATGGGTAATTACTTCTTTTTCAAGATGAAGCTTTTTGATATGTTCCACTAACTTATCTTTTCGTTTAAATTGTTTTCCACAGTCTGAACATAAAAATTCTCTATGGTCAGAATGTCTCAACATGTGCTTCTTTAAATTTTCTTGTGTAGGGAAAGACTTAGGACATACTGTGCAGTGGTACTTCCTCTCATTGTGGAAACGAATATGCTTCCTAATAATGCTATATTTGGTAAACGTTTTTTCACAATAGGGACATGTGAACATGTCATTATGGAGATGCGCTGGGATGTGTTTTCTCAGCTTGAGCACTTGATCGAAGCGTTCCTTGCAAATTGGACATTGAAAGTGTTTTACACCAACAACGTGAGTTTTTGCATGAAACGCTAGTGCAGATGCTGTGAGAAAGCGCTTCTGGCACACATTGCATTGTAGCGGTTTGCTTTCTTCTGATCCGTGGCATAACATGTGTTTCTAAAAATAAATATGATTTTTAGCAATTATTAAATCACAGAATTTTGCTTTTCAACATGATTGCACCAAATTCAAGAAATACTCTGCTGTTATAAGTAAGTGCTAGATGAAAGGCAAATACTTTCGAAATAGACAACATAATTTAAAATTCCATTACCTGCACCCTAATAGAATGCGCAAATATCTTATGACATATTGGACACTTCACAGAATCATCTTTGGTAATATTTTTTACTACTGCATGTGCAGGCATATGCATTACCAATTGCTTCCTTGTCGGAAATTTCCTTTGGCATTGAGGACATACATGATTGGCTAGATCCAAACGCATGTCGGCATAGTGCTCAAGTTTGTGAATTTTCAGGAGTATTTCTAGCTTGAATTTAATATCGCAAACGTTGCACTGAAATAATCTACAAAAAATATGGATTAAATAGTAGAACACTTCAATTATTTCTCGGTTCTACTTCTCTAGAGGTGCAGGTAAATTAGAGCAAACTTAAATGAATATTTTATATGAGAATTAATTTGAAGCCTAATTGTGTAGGCATTCAAGACTCTCTGGGAAAATGACAGTGCAAAATTCCAATGAATGGAAATAATAGTAGCAATACTGTACTTACTGATGCATACTAAAATAATCTTCAATTTTGATATGGCCCAATACATTATGGTTTTGGGTCAAATGATTTTTCAAAGTAACAAAGCTCACAGTCGAACAGAATAAATCCAAACAATTATTGCACTCTACAAGATCAACTTGCGTTTTGTTCTTAGCTGGCCTTTTATATCTACGTTTTGGTTTAGTGTTTTCATCTTGTGCATGAATAATGGAGTGTCCATTAAGTTCTTCCGCGGTCGAGAATTTTTCAAAACACTCATAGCAAGTCCAAGTTTTTTTAAATGTATGTTCTATTGGTTTTATAATATCTAAATTAAATAATCGGGCATATGCTCTACTATACCCAAACTAAAAAAAACATAGTAGATATGTAGGTATCTTTTTATAATCATTATGGGTAAATTCAACCAAGCTTACCTTAAGCTCTTTTCTTGGATTTATATCCATTGTAGCTGTAAAATACAAATCTTGTCCTTCCTGTGTTAAAATTAAATTCTGTTCTTCATATGTCTGAGCTTTCCTCACAAAACCCATCCAGTTTGACAGATCTTAAGAGAAAAAAAATTCTAAATCATAACTTCAAATGCTGAAAATATTCTTACTTTCATCAGAAACATCCACACTATATATATAGCCTTCAGCAAACTTTAGAAACTTTGTATTTCCATTGTCATTTTCAGTTAAACTGCCTTTTAGAGGGCCAAACTGTGTCCTTTTAGAAATCTTTCTCCTTGCAAGTACTACATCTTCTACACAAAAAATCGCATTTAAAATAAATGAATAAAATAAAAAATAATTTAACCCACCTCCATCAATTTTTGAAAGAGTCAAATAGGTTTCAGGCAAAGAAGCTCGGGCCTTGGATAAGATTGGTTTATCTGTGATACTGTAGACACACGACACTAAAAAATAATTTAAGAAAATTATACTTTAAAACACACCCTACTTACACAATTTTTCTTCTTCATCAATATTGCTAGGACAATTACTCCGAGTATGAACTTTGCCGTATACAGAACACACATCATTTTGGCCACTGGAGCCATTCAAATTTTCTTCATTTGGCGATGATGTAATAATTGCAGAATTATATGTGTCATTCATATCAGTTGTAGAAAATAAATTTTGTTCTAGAATTGGATTTGATGAAGTATTTTCTTGAAGCTCTTGGTTATTTTCCAAACAGCTTTCAGCAAGGAAGTCTTGAGCATTTACACTATACAATATTCCTGAAAATCCACATATTTTGGTTGAATCCAACTGCTTGAAGCTTAGCTAAAATATACCTGTTGTTGGATCAGGAATCAGCAATTCGACTTCTTGATTATTATTTTCTGAAATCTGCATATCGTCATTCTGACCCATTAAATCCATATTTGAACCATTAATCATTCCTAAATATTGATAGTCTTGAGATTGTAAATCGCTATTACATAAAACATTAGGCATTTCTGGTACTAAATTCACCAAATCGTCTTCTTCAGGTGTGTCATTGATAAAAGATTCGTCAGGTTTATTAAATTGATGAATTATGATAGGTTCCAGTCCACTATTGCTATTTTCTTGATATTGAACTGGTAAAGGGCTATGAGGAGCGACAGAGCTCATATTTGGATCCAAAGGGCTAACCTGAGGCGAATCATAGTCTGTGAAATTTTCGGGAGACATAGGTTCACTCGGATTTGCTAAATTTGCTCCAAGATTGTTTTTTAAATATTCAACCTGTAATTAGGAAGTTATTGTGGAATAAACTTTAAGCATATGAGCCAACTCACTGCAATATAAAGAAGTGTTGGATTGTTTGCATCCCCAGCAGTAATAGGATAATTTTCATCAGGAACTGGATCTAGTGGTTCGAAATGAATGGTTGGCTCTTTATCCTCCGATGTTTCATTCATTAACTAAATTAGATAGAAGTTGTTTTGTTTGTTCATTTCTTCTCAAAAAATAAAAATATCTACTCACAGCAATATAATGAATGGTTAAATCCTCGGCTGAATCATTTTCTTCGCTGTCTGATAATTCTCTAACATTTACTTCGTTTATTTCTGCATCCTCATATTCGCCCTCTCTTTCCAGTACTTCTTCCATTTTTTGGTTCTAAAAAATAAATAATTCATTAGATTTTATAGGCAATTCAAGTTTCATATGCAAATATATGATAGAGTTTTTTACATTAAAATATAAATATAGATATAGATAAATATAGAACAAAAGAGACGCTTTTTATTTCTGGATTTATTTTAATACCTTAATGCTTAGAGCCTGCCTATGTTTGAAATAAGTTGGAAAGTTGATGAGGCCTAAACATCACATACTTTCCATAAGTGGTGCACAAAGTCATTGATTTGACGATTTCGTGGAAAATATAAGACATATGAATATAACTGGTGTGTCTGGAAAGCCATTACAAACATATCACTTCAAGGGCTGATAATTCATTTTACGTCTCTTCTACTCTTTGCGTTTTCTTTAGGTCTTCAATCAAATTCCCAGCATTGAAGCTAGTATGACTGTGTTAGGGGTGATATTTGATGCCCAGGTGACCTTTGTGCATTGCATCGAAAGTATCATTAATAAGCAGAGAATCCTGCATTTTATAACTCGTAAAAGTTTCCATTTATCACTTTGTTTTAAGATTCTGTATTATTCCTCAGTCACCTTAGACACTGGAAACAAGAAGGGCTTGATTTGATGCGTTGCTCTCCAGACGATATCAGATGATTTGTACTTTCATCCAACTATGTTTTCAATTTAATACCATTCAACCCTCCAATCTCATATCATCAATGTATCCTTGATCCATTTACCAGCAATGTTCTTGATTTTAAAAATAATCTCAATGATCCTGCATAATTCTAAATTGTATTATAAATTTATTATGTTGCTCTCTGTTCACATCATTATTATATACAATAAAGTAATACCTAATTGAATTTATAGCAAACCAAATGTATTCTGTTAGTTACAAATATGTTTGCTTTTTATTTAATCTACCTAAGGTTTTTAGTGAAAATAACAGCAGGGATACCCAGTTCAGTTTAAAGACAGTCAATACCTAATCAGCGTTCCCAATTATTTTGGAATAAAAAAAGATCTGAATGTAAGTTCAACATTGGATTATTCAACAATCCTTCATGCAGACAAATTCAGTTTATCAACAACATTAGGTTCATAAAATACTGAACTCTCTAAATTATGGTAACCTTCAAAACAATGAAACTATTATCTATAATAGTTTATTCAAGCCAAATTAGCAACTACTGTCATTTATATAATTATATATTCATTATTCATATTATAGATATTCAATTTCTTAAGAAATCATTTCCACAGACAAATTATTGGAAACACCAGAGGCTACACTCAACAGGCTCTGCAATACTTAATTTGTCCTTGCATTACCCAAACGAATATCATCAATGTTTCTCAGATCATGTTCATAAGTTTGATTTATTAATTGCATCCTACTATTGCACTTTGACCTGCTATTTAAAATTTCAAACATTATTTTTGATTCTTCTGGTTGACAGGCTGAACTTCAAGTACTTGCTTATGGAGTGTAATAGTTTGAATTAAGTACATTTTTCAAGACTTTTTTTTTGGTATTTTAATTTTATTGAAGTTGGTTTGATTGCAGGTCCCCATATTAGGGGAAATATTTTTTCTTTTATGTGGGTAATATGTGTACTCCAGCTTAGCTGTTCATTAAGCACCAATCCCAGATATTTACCCATATTTTTAAGTTTACTCAAAAGTAACGTGGGACCAACATCGAAAACTGCCAAAATAATATTACCCTGGTCCAGATCAGATTGCTTGATATTGAGCTAATTAAGTCTGTTAGGGTGCTCCTGGTATTTGTAAATCCATATTGCTAAGGTGTGATATATTTAGTTATAAGGGAAATAATCCTTTTTTTTTAACAAGTTCACAATTTTGGAAAAACACTGATTACAGATATTGGTCTGTAATCATTTTTCGATGCTCTTGATCTGGATTTGAATATTGGGCAGTGTATTATTGATTAATACTGTTAATATTGTTAATATATTTTCCTTAACATTAATTACATTTTGAACAGTCAACCCAGTCCAATCAATTAATTAAGGCAAAGTACCCAGTTGTTGACAGGGTCCCAAAAGTTGACACATTAGCATATTATTCCCGAAAATAAGAATTTATATAGGTTATAAGCTAACTGAAATAGCTTATAGTATTGTTGGAGTCATCTTTCAGGCTATAGCTGATGTATAAATTTGAAATGACAAGTTTTTTTCAAAATTGTGGCAAGAAGTAGTGAACAGGTGCAAATGTTTGAATTTTTTCCCAGATTTCTAGTGAAAATAGTTAAGAAGATATAAAAACAAAAGTTCTCAAAGCTAAGGTAGGGTTGATAAATTTTGAATAATATATATTTACTGTATAATAAGATACATGGTAATACATATTTATTATTGTTTTATCTCTTAAACAACTGGCATAAACTTTTTAAGGGGGGGTGTCAACTATTGAAGCCCAAATCGAGGGGTGATCCAAATGTTGACACTAGTGTCAACTTGTGGATTTTTGGTGGTAAAAATATTTTAACATTGTAGTCTGTCTCTTTTTATTTCTCTGGATTGAAAAGAAACCTAGATATGGGTTTGGGGAATGTAACGGTCGTAGATCCAATAGATGACACTCCTATTACCCCTGTCAATGTTTGGAGCTTTGGAGTGTCAACAATTGGTCTTTTCAGGTTTAAATCAAGAGATGACGTATGAAAAATGGTAATTGCTGAAATATGCATCAGAACTACCAGAAGACATGATTGCTGCGTTGGATGATTGCGATAGGGGGCTTACTGTAGCTACATCAGCAAAAAAACACAATGTACCAATGCTTTCCAAGCAATTTCTTTTATTACCAATTTGGAATTGAAATTTGTATTTTTTTCCCAACAAAAAGTTTCCCAATGTTATTTTTTATTAATAAAAAGTTTGATTCTTACATTATTGATGTTTCTACCAGGGTTTTTACTGATACAGGCAACATGTCAACTATTGGTTTCAAGAGTGTCAAGTAATGGAACCACAACATGTACTTAAAAAAAATTAAAATAATTGGTTATTATGTGCATATATTTCATTTAAAAAATTGTACACTTAGAAAAATATACTTCTTAGTTCCACAGACCTGATAAAACTTCTTAAAAGTAAAAATTTCGTTTTGTAAAAAAATATATGTCAACCTTTGGATCAAAAATATGTCAACTTTTGGCGAAGTGAACTTTCTTGGGTGTCAACTATTGGGGTTTTATCACCTTTCATGTATTTTTGACATAATAACACAAATAATAGGAATATAGGGTAAATAATATATCTACACATTCAATTATGAGTTTGAAATCACGCCAAAAAATATATCAAAGCCTTGGGATTGAAAATTTAGAAAATGTGTGGTGATCATAAGCAAGGATACCCTTAACATGTCAACAACTGGGTACTTTACCTTAGTTGGTTGTAAATATATACTATTAGCACAATATGCAATCTCATTCAATATAACATCAGTAGGTATAGAACACAATTTTTTTCAGCTTCAATTTATTTAACTACATATTTCTAAGCTTATCTGTGAAAAATGTGTATTCAAAGTAAAATGAGTCAATAATGATCCATTGCTTATTTTTATTTTCGCCAGCTTGTAGCCATTTATCATGAAAAAACATATTTACAATGTTTTTAAAAGAATTGAATGATTTTGCTTTTGATTGCATATTGTTAGGATTCTTTTTGTTCAACACAGTTATTATTTACATGAGATTTAATCGAGCATTTGATATATTTAGTTCTTTGCGAATCCTTTATTCATTGCCTATTTTTATTAATCAGTGAAATGTTTTTATTTCTGAGTTATTGACTTTTTGTGTAAAGTTTTGTTTAAAGCTTTCAGTATTCAGTATGTCCTTATAAAGAAACTGAAGCAATTCTCATTTAGTGATAATCTGATTAGTGGTTTGGTCTCATACATTGGCAATAGGCCTCAAACTGTCAAATTTGAAGAAGCTAACTCTCAGAGCTATGTGGCCATGTCTGGGGTACCTCAGGGATCCGTTCTTGGACCGCTGCTCTTTGTGTTATTTGTTAATGACATATCTAATTATGTGGGTACTTCAGAGTTCTTATTATATGCAGATGATCTAAAGATCTTCAAAATTATTGAAAACGAAAATGATGCAATACTTCTACAGAGGGATGTAGATAAAATCCTATCTTTCTGTGAAGATAATAGGCTGTCACTAAATATTGGTAAATGTAAATGTATTAGCTTCTGTCGTAGTCAAAATCCTATTTTAAATGACCATAAAATTTGTGATGTCAAACTAGATCGAGTTCAAGAAATTCTGGATCTAGGTATATTATTCTCAAAAAATCTATCTTTTGCTCATCATATCGAGAAACTTCATGCTGATGTTTGTTACCATATATAAACTTTAATGTACCTGATGTACGGTTGAGGAAAGAAACATTACTTTTAAGGTACCTAATTTGTCTACTCCTTCAAATAGATGTCTGAAAAGTATCAATCAATTTGTATTAGATAATAGTGATATTGATATCAGGTCTTCAAAAAAAACCAATCAAAGATTGCTATGGTTTTGTAAACGTATGTCTTAGCAATATTTTTTTAAAATTTTGTCAGTGAACTTTAATGTCAAAATGATATGTCAAAAATCCTGACGAATAAAGAAACAGTAATGTGACATACATTTCCGTAACCAAAGCAATCTTTGATTGTTTTTTTTTGAAGACCCGATATATTCTTTAGTACAAAGACTCAACTTTATAGGGAATTTTATAATATTTTTTTATGATAATTGTTTGTGATACTTTTTATTTTTTATTATTATTTTTTTAATTTGTTTTGTGAATTTTTTATAATGATTTTTTGTAATAATTTATTATAGTGCTTAAGTCATTGTTTGTAGTATGTATTTGTGTGCTACTATAGGTTTACTGAACTGTACTTTTTTTAAGGATGTGAAAATCTGTTATTTGTGCAGTATAAATAAAGTTCTGTTATTATTATTATTATTAAGATATTACTTTTGAATACACACCTTTCAGTTATAGGGATTACTAAGGAGAATACTTCTTTTTCCCATACCTCTATTAATATTTTTTATGGCCAGAAAGGGGATTATCCTCGATATTAACCTCACATCTCTAAACTTCACATAAAACATGATCTATTATTTAGCATGCAAACTCAGTTATTCTAGTAGCCTTCAGAACATTTATTTTATTTACGATCGTAAATCTATTTATAATTACAGAAATATCACCCAAAACTATATAATTTTGCTTTATACATAATATAGCCCCATAAATCATCTATAAATATACCTCCATTTGGTCATGGTGGTCTATAAATAGAAATGAGTTCAAAATGGGTTTTTCCAACAGAAATACATACCTAGATAAACGCCTCGTCAGAGTCACTGCAATCAACCTTTTGCTGTACTTTTTATGTAGATCCAGGCTTCTCCGCCTCTACAGGAATGAACTGCAAAGTAATCTTCAAATAAATATAATTAAATGGTATACATTTGATGTGTACCTACCTATTGTAATTTTGAGAGATATTTAGATATCTACCTGGTTTCTCGAGTGCTGTATCTAGCAGGATGGGAAACACATTCTGACATCTTAGCACCAAGCTTGGAGCTATTAAAATAAATTTCCACAATAAGCTATCTGCCAGCCCAACCAGAGGGAAAATCATGACAGAGTATTCTATTTTCTTATTTAATTCAGAAAGGGTTTAGCTCCTGAGTAGGTGTAGTATTCGTATCATTCAAGTGTACTTACGAATTGGAAGTAAACGATTCCTATTAAGTCTGCCAGACATGACATATTTGCAGAAAATGTAGTTATTGCGCAGCAAAGCAATGGCATAGCTGCAAATGAGTGAATGATGAATTTTTTAGCCCATATTAAGGAAATGAGCAAGCACTGTGCAGAGCAAAACAGTTGTTTTTTAATTAAAATTTCGCTGTTGGTTAGTCATTGCTTACAAACTTTTGTAAAAGCTTACCATTTCTAGGTCACAATAAACAACATCAAATACAAATTTTGTTATTACTTTTTACTGTTCCTGCTTGTTAAAGTCTATTTTGATTTTGCAATAAAATTGAAGAATTACATCCCCTTCCACCCATACCAACAGCTTCGGACATTCAGACCTGTCATTCCATCTTTCAAATAAATTTTTAATTGACAGTTGGCAAGGATAATACACACTACTACAGGATAGCCTATCCTCCTAAGGCCTGTGTGGAACAAATCTGAAGCCCTCGCCACGCCAAATCACCAGTTGTGACGTAGGCAGCATGGCAACATGTACTTTCTAAACTTGACGTAGGCTGTTTGCACTATAGGTTATGATTCCGCGGGCTTTTGGTTTTACTACATTAAAGCCTAGTACTCATCATAACTGCGAAATTCGCATTTTTTTGACACTGCGTCGACAATTTGACGTTTGATACACGCAAAACGTCAAATTGTCAACGCAATGTCAAAAAAATGCGAATTTCGCAGTTATGAGTACTAGGCTTAATTAACATTCTACGATCGCTAGTGCAAACAGCTGACGACTTGGTTGAGACGTCGGAAATGGTGACACACCAATATACAATGAGCAATCCTATTAGTGTGTATCAGGGACGTAGCAAGTCAAAACCGGGCCCTTGTGCAAGACTACAGCGGGCCCCCTTCACCATGTGAAGTGAATGTGACAACATTAAAAATTTTAAACTGGATTACGCATTGGCATTGTTGTGGCAGGTGCGCTAGGTATAATTACAGTGGCTAAATAAACCTTTACATACAGTGGCGACAATAGAGGTCCCGCCGCCATCTTGTTCCCAACCTCTTGTTCCTTTTAAATATTAATATAGGATTTAACTGGACATCTATCATAAAAAATTGGAATCGACGTATTTGATAACCATTATTAGGTCCATCAAATACGTTGTTTTCCATGATTTATGATGGATGTTCACCTAAATCCCATATATTCATATTTAAAAGTAACGAGAGGTTGGGAACAAGATGGCGGCGTTTTCAATATAAATATATGGGATTTTAGAACCAATCAAAAATAAGACAGTAATTGTCGCCACTGTGGTAATAGAGTCACTGTAGGTATAATTTGTTTATGATTGTTATGACGACTTTCAGGGAGTAGGCCAAAAATGGAGCATTTTATGGACTAGGCCAAAAATGAAGCATTTTACGGACTAAAATGGGTCCGTAATTCATCATTCTTCACCATTTTACAAAAAAAAGAAAAAATACAATTCGAAATAGGTACCCACCAAACTATTTAATTGGTCTATTGCACAAGAAGAAATATGGTAATACTCAGCGGTAGCAACGTCACAAGAGAAGGTTATAACTAACAGTACAGTTTGAACGAGCATTTAATATTGCAGATCTCTGTATGCCTAAGCATAATGCTAATATCCATAAAGCACCCCAGAGGCGTCATCAAGTTACCCATTACCAGACAACCTGTTAACTTTTGGAACTTCGAATTTGTATTATGTCGAGGCACCCCAGATGACGTCATAAAAATTATCAGGCAACCTACTTCTCTCAGACAACCTTGTACTGGGACTCGGAGGGCTGACTGAAAAGAAATCTGTAGAAATCGATATTACAATTTTCTGTTTCGGTTAGAAATCGCCAAAGCGAAGAATGATTGCTTGGGCGGGCGTGATGTGGTGATACTACAAGGATGATACACACCTACAGAAATAGGATTGCCTATCGGCCTCGTTTTTGGTAATCGCCGTCATATTAGTGTGTCACCATTTCCGACGTCAGCTGTTTAAACAGCCTACGTCAAGGCGAGAAATAACATGCTGCCTACGTCACAACTGGTGATTAGGCGGGGGGGATTTGTTACACACAGGACACAGGCCTTATGAGGATAGGCCATCCTGTAGTAGTAGTGTGTATCATCCTTGGTGGTGATATGATTTTTTTCCTTGTGTCCAAAAAGTGACAGGACCCACCGGGCCCCTTCGGGGCCGGGGCCCTTGTGCGCGGCACGATTTGCACGACCTAGGTCTTTATTCTTGAAACAGAGGAGCAGCGTTCCCAGGAGAACGAGTGCTCCGTCTTTCTCAATGATATGCAAATGATAATATAAATAACAAAGACGGAACACTCGTTCTCCTGGGAACGCTGCTCCACTGTTTGAAGAATAAGGATTCTGTTGCTACGTCCCTGGTGTGTATTATCCTTGGACAGTTGGTAGATGGGATCGACTTGTCTTTTGGTCGACTCTCGGCGTTCTTTTCAATAGTGTTTTCGATTTTCACTCCAAAATTGCTCCCGATTGATCATAAAGCGAACCAAAACGGATTCACATGGTCGGCTTGCTCTCGGCGAGATTCACGTATTCGAGTTGAGCAATAGAACGCTCCTAAATCTCGCACGGAGCGCCCTTTCTTGCTCCATCAAATTTGATGGATCAAACGGTTTGTTTGTTTCCATGCGTTCGGTATTTTAATCTGATTTCTCCGAGCTTGAATTTACCGTTCGTTTATTTAAAAAGTGTACTCGGTGCAGGCTCATTTGCCTTCGTTTATTAAAATTTCGGGCACTCGGATACAGCGTTCAACTGCTCTGTTCGCTCGCTAGTCACGTGATTGCGGTTCCGCTCAGCACGCAAGGTTTGTATAGCATAGCATTAGTTGTATTCCTTTCAAGAGTTTCAAACACTCGAGCTACACGCTCCGGTGTTAGTCGACCCCGATTTGAAAGGAAGAGATGCGTGGTGCAACAAACACTTTTCGGAACGAATAAGCGCGTAACGCCTCGGAACTGTTGCGGAGCTCCTCCTAGGTGTGAAAGAAATACAACTATTAACTTGAATTGAGCGCAAAAAATTTCAGGTTTGTGGCGTTACTCAACTAATAACTGCTTTAGAACAATAAATATTCTGACACAAACAAACGGACTTTTGTTGGTCTGTTTTCTGCAGAAACATTCCTATTATTTATGTTCTGAAATCGAATTTGTTTTAACAAGTCATTAAGATAGTGGAGAGGACTGTGACTTGTGGCCTATAGGCAGCCGTTTTTTATACAAAGGAATAATGGAGGCGAATATAAAAATTCGGGGAACAGGGAACCGTCGAGGCCGGATTCTCAGGGAGAGTTCCCCGAGAAACAGTTTGGAACAAACTTTACTTCACAAACGAACGCTTGTCAGTGCGTCGTTTGTGTTATAGCAATAGTTGTATTCCTTTCACACCTAGGAGAAGCTCCGGAACAGCCCCAGGGCGTTACGCGCTTATTCCTTTCGAAAAGTGTGTGTTGCACCTGAGTACGTGCTCAAGCCCGACTCAAACCATTTAAATGAATGAAATCCATCGCATCTGTTCGTTTTAAATCGGGGTCGACTAACACTGGAGCGAGTAGCTCTGGTGTTTTAAACTCTTGAAATGAATACAGCTATAAACACAAACGAACGCCCTAAAGCAGGAAGTGCTGCCCCGAACAACATAAAAAACAAATCTAAAGAGTTTGCTCAAAACAATAAGTACGTTCGGTCATTGATTTCAAATGGTGTGCCCTCATTTGGATTTTGGATTATAATCACTTCTGTAGTACTCCTGCAGGGATTTATGACGTCACCGCCCAGACGGGGAGCGCTCTGGGAGCAATAAAGCCGAAAATGTTATTAGACTCACAAGCCTCGAAGCTATTCGGAGTAACTTCCAAAGAAAAGCTCTTTTATAGCGCTTCTGACTTTTGCCTCAAAACTGCACCCGATTGATCAAAAAGCGATCCGGAAGAGATTCATATGTTCTGCCTAAAGCCTAGTACTCATAACTGCGAAATTCGCTTTATTTGACATAGCTTCGACAATTTGACATTTGATACACGCATAAAACGTCAAATTGTCAAAGCAATGTCAAAAAAGTGCGAATTTCGCAGTTATGAGTACTAGGCTTAAAACGGAGCGTTGCTCTCGCCGAGATTCACGTAGTCGCCTTGAGCAATAGAACGTTCCCAAATCTTGCACAGAGCGTTTTTCCTTGCTCCGTCAAATTCGATGGATAGTTTGATCAAAACAATAAAGTACGTTCGGCTATTGAATTCAAATGGTGTGCCCTCGTTTGGATTATAATTGCTCTTGGAGGAGCACTCCCGCGGAGATCTGTGATGTCAACGCCCAGACGGGAAGCGCTCTGGGAGCAGTAAAGCCGATAATGTTAAAAAAACCCGACTGCTCCATCTTGTGTGGTGTGGCTAGAAGGCGAAATATCGATGAAAATTCTTGAACTAGTTCGGAATGTGATCGGCGAACAAAGCGAGCACATGGTCCAAAAGGAACACCATTAGGTTGTATTCCTTTCAAGAGTTTGGAACACTTGAACTACTCGCTCCGGTGTTAGTCGACCCCGATTTGAAAGGAAGAGATGCGAGGTGCAAAAAACACTTTTTGAAAGGAATAAGCGCGTAACGCCCCGGAGCGGTTCTGGAGCTCCTCCTAGCTGTGAAAGTATACAACTTTTGTCAACTGTCAACTGGCAAATTTTCCGGTTGCCATTTACTTTTTAGGTTAGGTTACGTTATGTATGTGTTTGTTATTTAAGTTATATTTTATGATTACAACAAATTATCTTTGCCAAAGAGACACTTTTCTCTTTCACCAGCTTTTCTCGAAATTTTCAACAAGGAAAATAAGCATCAACCATTTCAGCCTGATTAAAAATCCAATTAAAAGTGTAATTAGTGTTGTAGTGAAGTAACAACTATCCTGCAATTTGCCGCAAAAATGAAGCACCTCATCATAATGCTCCTAACAGTTTCCGCAATAAATGGTGCCGTACGTATGAAAGACGACTGGGTCGACCCCCACGATATGAACACAAACATGAAAGAAAAATATTTCCCAAAACTGAAAAAATCTACAGGCTCGTCCTCGGGCAATGACATTGGGGAATTTAGGGATCCAATGCCTGATATATACATGACACATCTTAAAAGAGTAGTGAGTGTAATAATGAATTCCGCTTATGTTGATAAAAGAGACTTGGATGTCTATTATGGTCATATTCGGTTTGATATGCATCCTAGTGACTATGAGTTTTTGGTTAATTTTGCCAAAAATGAACTTACATTGGATAATTTGAGAAAACTCGATGCAACTTTGAATAATAGCTTCAAACAGTCGAATACTGATAAATATCTGGATATATTAGAGACGTTCCAATTGAAATTATACTCTTTGGTAATGAATGTACAAAACTTGTCGATACTAGGCGCTTTATTCGGTCTATACTTTGTTTATCAATTGTTTAAGAATAATTTTTCTCTCACTTATATTTTCAAATATTTAATCATTTTGGTTCTGATTATCGATTTTGGATGTAGGTATCACCATTTAGTTGAGGTAAGACTGTCATCCTACATATTCTTTTGTTTCTGATTTTTTTTTGGCTTACAGGAATCTGACAAATATAATTTAGGGGTAGTGTACTCGCCTCAATGTGACACTGGCAAAATGTCTTGGTCTCAATATTCAAAATTTGTGTTTGGTAAGTTGGCCACTCAATATTTGTTTAATTTACCTTGAGTTCCTTCAACCTAATGTTCAAAAATTTGGGTATGTCTAATTAATCATTATAATTGATTCATATGCAGGGAGACAAATTAACAACTTGGCTATAATTTGAAAACTAAACATTTCATTTTTTTTTTTAGAAGTTTTTATCACCTGTCATATAAAATCGTGAAATCTGTTTCGGTAATATCAAGGGAAAATTACAATAATTATGTAATAACTGATTATTCTACCCCCACCCAGCAACCCTGTTGATAACCTACTTGTAATATTTTAGTTAACATCTAAAATTATTTTTAATAGCTGTTGCAGTTTTTCAAATTTTAACCCTGCGATTAGAGATGTAAGTTTTCATGAAATTTTCAAATTTGAAACTTTTCATGAAAAGTTGAAACTTCAATTTTTTTTTGAAAAGTTAAGTACAGGAAGAATAGGGCCTCTAAAATTATTTTTTCGAAATGATAGGTATTCAATAAATTGAATTGATGAATAATATAATTTTTATCAATTATTCCTTTCCATTAAATCACAATATTGCGGTTGAGGATTGAGGAAACAAAAAAAATTGCGTAATAGTGAAAAAATCTGTTTTTCTATGACCATCAAAAAATAAACAACTTTTGTCATATTTTACCTTAGCCGAAAACGGCATTTTCGTCACTAGTGATGAAATATACCATAACGTTAACTTTTGTCACTAGTGACGCAAGTGAATGATTAAAATTTCACATGTTAAATACATTTTTTCAAATCCAATTATATTTCAATTCTGTGGAGCACAATGAAAAAACATAGTTCATAACAAAATTATGTACAATTTTGTGATATATGTGCATAACGTCTCTAAATAGTCGTGTATGCGCTAGCTCACTATTAGTGTATGGTTAGATTAACAATGGGTTTTTTGTGACTAGAGTACCATTCCTTTGGGTACGGAGAATTGAATATTTTCAGTAATAAATAGACCATCACTCAAATGACTGTGTTTCATTTATAGTATATTACAATTTTGCTTTATATAATGCAATAAAAGCAAAATATAAGTATAAAATTAATTAAAAACAAGAACTTTTCATAGATGGCGCCAGCTATCAAACCAAGTAGGAACCCTTGTAAAAAAAAACATAAGTTTAACAGCAAAAATCAAAACATGGTCTTAGAAAAAGTATAGTGTTTTACTTGTCAAAAATCATTTTTTGCAACTTAAAAACAACTATTTTCTCGTTGCAAAAAATGCTGTTTTCGTCACTCGTTAATTATTCTTTTGCTCACGACCATGACATCCGATTTCGTTTTAACAAACCTGGGACAAAGTCACAGAATGCAAACTTTTCACGAAATTTTGAAAAGTTTTGAACTGTCTTGAAACTTTTCAATGAAATGAAATTTTATTGAAACTTTTCAGGTGAAACTTTTCACACTCACATCTTTACCTGCGATAAGCCACTGAGAACCAATTTTTTGCTTTTAGGATCTACAGATTGTGAAAAGAAGACTGTAACTCCTTTAGATGCTCTTCTATTCCAAATTAAAAACCTTATCATAATCCCCATGCAGGCATTTGGAACAGGAATGGGTGGATTTGGAAAAAATATGTTTAGTAAGTATAACTCTTATTATTATTTTCATATTAATTTCTTGAATTTTTTTGTTTCCAGCCTCCCTGCCATGGGGTCTCAACATAATCCTCGGGCCCATTATGCTAATTTTTACCTTGATACTTCTCTTATTCTGCATGACAATTTTCACTGGCCAGGCAATTGAATTCAATATTTTCCACATATTCAAATTTAAATTTGGAGGAGGGACAGAAAAAGGAAATAGGCCCCTGGTGCAGAATCTACACTTGGGCTTGCAACCTAGGGGGAATCGAAAAAGCATCAATAAAAAGGAAGCGACTCCAAAGAAGGCAATCACCACCAAGCAAGTTTTTAAAAAAACTCCTAACCCAGAACAAGAGAGCCACAGTGGGAAAATTAAAATAAATAAAAACAAAATAGAAGAAGTAAATGATGAGAATTTAAGTGCAAATCCATCTGATGATACATTTTTAGAGCAGTTGAGTAAAATTTTGGATAAAACTGAAGATATTTCTATGTCTAGTGGCAATGATAAATCCGTGGATAAATCTAATGAAAGTACAGGCAGGACAAAGGCAGATACTTTAAAATAAGATTTTTTTTTTGTTAAATATACTTTTAACATCTCAATTTTCAAGAAGATGCGGACTTGCTTGAATTAAAAAAAAAAAGACTGGATTTTATTATCTGAAATTTTTTTTTGTCAATATTTGTGTTTGTAATATGCAAAAACTTTTTTTTAAAGTCAATAATAGCATTGTATAATAGTTAGATCTGCTAAATATTTTTAATCAACTCCTCCCCAGCTTTACTTCCATTTTTGAACATACGAATTTTTGCTTTCATTACAATAAAGCTCTACTTATTTTAAAACTTGAGGCTTTAATTGTCAATTTGATATCAAATGTTATTAGTGATAGGTATATATTAATATTTTCTTCCTAGTTATTTATCTGCAGATCTGTTTTTTTTAATTTGCATGTAGGAATACTTTTGTGAATTCATTCTCTTCTATAGGTGAATGAATAAATACATTTTTTGTTGTCTTTTTATGTAACAACTTTTTTATACTAATATTTGGAAATGTTTACATTAAATTTATTTTTAAATATATTATTTGTTTTATATGATTGATTTCAATACCTATATGTTTTTTTAATTAGCAAGAACCATAGATAGGTACTGCTCATTGTCACTATGAGCACTGATTCCAATTTCTTATTGATTTATTGGAATTACCTACCTTAGGGAAAGAGTGGATTGACTTATAGGACGGTTCAATTTGGTTTGAACTTTCAGCATTATTAGCGCCCGAGTTACTACCTGACAAGTCATCAGATCTCGACATTTAGTTTTTTTTTTTAAATTGAGCCCTTGGAACTTGGAAAGAAATGGAATTTTCAGGATCCAAAATGAGTAAGATAGAATACAAATTAAAAATCCAAAAACTGGGAATTCATAAGGACCCCATATTTTGTGTGCAGGTGAAAAAACAATTGGTATGCCAAGTATTGAAGAGTTTATTGAAAAAAAAGTTAATTTTCAAAGTGAAAATAAATGAAAAATTCCCTTCCGAAGCGGATAATTTAATTTACTCTAGAATTCCATCAGATTCTTTAATTAACTAGCCACGTCATTCCAAAATAGTTGAATCGCGGTAGAGCGGTTTTGTTCTATTATTTGCGTTTACATTGAATAATCGAATTTTTTTCCGCTTTCGGGGCCGAAAAAGTTCACAAACAATTTCAATAACGTTTGAATTCAGTTCACCTATGAGTCCAAAAACGCAAAACAAACAGTTTTATATTGTTTTCGGAAGACACAACTTCGATTACCTACGGGAAATTGTGCTGAAAGTTTGGTATTTGGGTCAAAGTCTATTGGGCCATATTGGAGAAGCTGCAAAGTTTGTACCATATTTGACCATATTTTCTCCAATTACCTATATAATGTAACTATTTTTTGGTGGCGATCAAGATATAGATAGATTAATTCCAAGAGAGAGAAATCCATAACAAATTTTGGAAGGACACCAAAAAGTTTACTAGATTTCGCCAGAGACTGGGCTGTATTTTCAGACAAAAAAAACTCCTACTAAGTACCTATTTAGTTTTGTAATAATTGAAAAACTTTCCCTCCATCATGTCTGAAAAAACTAGAATACCTACTTATCTGAAAATCTCCAGTCCAAATTAGATATTTTTCTAGATGTGTATGTAACAGAAAATTTAAATTCCTTTCATTTCAATTCGGATTTACCTGCAAGGCAACCCACTTCCGTTAAGTTCCACCTGAAGCTTTTTTCCTTTTGTCTAAGAAGTTTTCTTTGAGTGTTCTAAAGTTTCGACGGCTCTAGTCTGTATTCACCTACGTAGTTCTTCCTAGATAAGAAAGAATGGAAAAGTTTTACTCTAGGTTCAAATTTCATTTGTCAGATTGAAAAATATATATAGATATATTTTAAGTTGAATTGGAACTCTATAAGCAAAATACTTTCTTGCGTGATTTTAGATACCGGCACTTTCGTCATTTTACATATAACATATATATAACTGTTCCATTATTCTAGGATTTTTATAATAAAGTAGGTAGGTACCAACGACCATTTAGTACCTACCTTTAAAATCCGTGTCTCCAACTGCAGGGTCTAGTGAAGTGGTGTAAAAATGCAACAAACGAGGCTGTAACCAATTTACAAATTGAAGAATACTTGAAATAAGCTCGTAGGATCGCTGAAGGAAAGAAGAGTACCTAGGTATTTTTGAGGCAACCAATAATTCCACCAGCAGCGAGTCAATGCTTATCCAATATCAGTTTCGCTGGGCTAGTCATGTTATGTACGCATGCCAGATTCACGTCTTTTCATGCAAATTATGTCGAAGCCCAGGCAGCACAGAGACATCTTAAAGTCTAAAGACGCCCCTAAGATGTCCATAAATGACACACAAAACGTCTGCCTACATTTTCTAGGCGTATTATGACATCCTGAAGACGTCGTATGTTACAAAACCGAACAACTCTCAGAGGTCTGCCTAAAGACGTCCTCAGGACTGATATGCGATTATTATTACTCATTTTATAACTTTCAATTTTTGTCTATTCCCAACGCTAGGCTCTTAAATTCTTGATTTCTTTTAAACGAAAACATACACAAAAATCATTTTGGAAGTAAAAAAATAGGAAAGCCAGGAGTAAAAATTAAAAAAACAATTCAAGAGCCAAAAGAAAGTTAAGAATTTAAAATATACGAAATAAGGAAAAATCAAAAGCCTGGAATAGGAAAAAATATAAAAATTCAAGAATTTGAATTGAAAGTAGAAACATTTTCTTGCTAATATTTCCTTATTATTACTCATCAACGATAAATTTTGTCTAGACGCTTTCTGAAATAATTCTGAGGTTTTTAAATTGTTCTGACGACCAGAGCTGGGCAAAGCCCTCAGTAAAAGGGCTTGAAGCACTAAGCCCTAAGCCCTCTATCAAAGTGCTCCAATTTCAAGCACAAATTCCTTTTTATTTTCAAAAGTGCTTCACAAGCACAAAGCCCTCAAAGTGCTTTGGGCTTGACAAGCACAAAGCCCTCAAAGTGATTTGAAAAGTGCTTGAAGCACATCAAAAGTGCTTGGGGTGCCTTGAAAAGGGCTTCAAGCTCTTTAAATGTGCTTCAAGCGCTTTAAATGTGCCTAAAGCACTTTGAATTTGTAATAAAATTCTCAAAGTGGCATAAGCTACCGCGTACACTCATCACGCAGAATTGGTATAGTAGAGACGAACTTTACATTTCACAGAGTAGCAGTAGTATGTTTTTTTTTGAGATGTAGTTCTGGGGTACTTGGGGTACTACATGGTAATTCAATTTTAAGGTTTTCAAAATGTTCAATGGGGAAAAGTGGAAAAAATCCAGTGATAAAGTTAAATAGGGTACCAATATAAATTAATTATTTATTTGAATAATAAGTTCATTCATCTTTTTTTAAATTCCATTCTAAGCTCAAACCCAAAACCTCCATTGTTAAGAGAGAAAAGACATAAGACGGTTGAAGTTCAAATAATAGAAAAAAAAATTAAGGGACAAAACACGATCGAAAATTTTAAAGTGGGGGATAGGTGGAATGATGGTCAATTCAAATTCCTTTCAAAGTGCTTCAAGCCCTTTTAAAGTGCTTCAAGCCCTTTCAAAGTGCTTCAAGCTCCCAAAAGTGCTTCAAGCCCTCTAAAAGTAATTGAAGCTCATTGAAAGGGCTTGAATTACTTTTTTCAATTACAAATTACCAAGCACTTTTCTAAAGTAATTGACTTTGCAAGCCCCAATTACAAATCTATAAAAGGGCTTGAAGCACAGGGCTTTCAAGCCCTCAAAGTGCTTCAAGCACTTTCGCAAGCACAAAGCACTCAAGCCCTGCCCAGCTCTGCTGACGACCCCTTCCAAAATGCTGTTGGAAAATGATTGAGAACGTTCTAAATGGCTTATTGAAGTTCTAAAGTGTTCTAACTTGGCTTGAAGAGTTCTGGAGCATTTTAGAAGTTTTTCAGTAATTTCTAAATTATTCTGACAGATTTTTAAGTGAATATTTTAGAGCCCTATATTGAAACTCCAAAGTGTTTTATATTGGTTCAAAAGAATTCAAAAAGGTTTCCAGTTCTAAAATACATCTCTGAAGTTTCTAAATTGTTTCGAAATTTTCCTGAAAATTCTTATTTGAATTTGAACTGTTTTGGATGCTCATTAAAGGTTTATAAAGTTCTACAGCAATTTAAATTCGGTCTTGAGCGCCTTCTGAAAGGCGTTTTGTAATTTTTAACCGAAATCCTAAGATTGTGGCGTTTTTTAAAATATTTCTCGAGATTCTATAGAGTGTTTGTGTGTTTTGAAGTGTCCTGAAATGGGTTTCAAACTTCTGAATTGTTCTAAAATGCTTTTGGAAATTTTAAATCGGTTTTTGAATGTTTTGGAGCATTAGTAAAATGGTTTCGAACTTTCTAAAGTGTTCTAAAGCGCGACAGAATACTTTTGGAAATTCTGAACTGAATTTTAACTGTTTTGAAATTTCCAAAAGGCTTACTAAAGTGTTCTGTACCATTTTAAATGGTTTCCAGTAACTTCTGAATTGAATGAGAAACTAATTCTGTAGAAAGTTCGACATTCAAGATATTTTTTAGACGTCTGCTTACGTGTTCAAGGCATCCTGGAAGATGTATACGTATATAAAAAGCCCAACGTCTTCCAAACGTCTGCCTAAAAACGTCTTTATGACATTCTAAAGACGTCTTCAACGAGATTTCTTAAGATGTCTTTGAATCTCTTTTTATACATGAACCGTTATTCACTATGAACGTCTACTAGACGTCTTTTTTATCAGACGTTCAGACGCAATGTAGACTTAAAAACGACATCTTTAAGACTTTGTGTGCTGTTTGGGAAATTGTTCTCAAAACGACAACGAAGAATCCATATAGCCTCAGAGTATTTCAAATGACAAAGGCGAAAGGATGCGAAGAAAAGAACGATGACGTCTGATAAGAGCTGGTTTACAATACAGCGACTAGCTACCCTTGATTGGGTGTGCGCGCAATCGATGTGGGAGAAATTCTGTATCTAGAATAGGCTTTTTTAGCCATCTAAGAAACTACGGATACCTACATGATGATGTTACTTATAGTTCTCGTTAGCGAGTGGAGTGTCCATAATAATGATGATGATGATAATGACCACAAGCATTTGAAAAAAAAAATACAAGACCAGATTTCAAGAAAACTGCAGCATAATAAAGTATATAAATATGTGTGTAAAAGATAATTGGGACATTCTAGTAATCCAACAGTCAATTATTACTATAATGAATTTCAATGGAGTTATGTTTAGTGTTACAGGTAGTAGTTGATCTACTTATTGTCAAAATTTCAAGTTTGCTCAAGGAATTGTTAAGTCACACCTTAGCACATATAGATCCTCTGACTTTAATCAACGAAAAATCCAATTAGTTGTCCAGCGTGAGAGAAGACCATCCTATACTTTCTCGATACTTTGGGAGTGAAGTTGGGAAACGTATTCGATTTAGTTTATAAGTCGAGGAGCAGCATTCAATTAAGCACCAAATCATCCGCTTGGCCTCGCTCCCGGCAATTCCCATACATTTCTC